TTGAAACGACACCCAGCAATGTGATTCATTCGTTCTAAATCACAAAACTCGCAAAGTTACCAAAACACCCCCAAAACACCCCCTAACCCCCTAACAAACCAGAAACCAGCACCTGCTAGGCCTATCCTAGCATCCCTACTATTATTTCCCTGTTTTCCCCGATTTTTATCGCACCTAATACTACCCCAGTACACCCAGTATCGTCCCCAGTACCCAAATCCCAGCCAAAACCCACCCAATTCATGTATACAGCACCCTACCAGCCTGCTACCCATCTACCCCCACCCCCTATCCAGCACCCCAGCACCCCATCCCGGTCCCTACCCTGCCCCTGGTATTTTTTATACCAAAAACCCGAAAATGCACTGGTGATTTTCCCAATTTGACCGGTGCAGAAAGTGACCGGACAGAGTGCCAGGGCCTGGTGTGGCTGTGCGGCAATACTCGTCAAACATTACAATGGAGCTCAGCGTCCTTGCCGCACTCCATTATAATGTTTCTTACAAGGACGGCTGCGGGATCGGCATAAATTTGGGCAAGTATTTTCTCAGGGTCGATGCTGGTCTCCTCTTCCTTGCCAAAAGTCCATTCGGGAGGGATGAGAGGGTGGTGCGAGGGAAGATCGACAGGGGGGCGATCAGTTGACATCCGTGTAGATGAGCTCTGCGACTAAACCAGGACAATAAGACGCAGTCAGGTCTCAGGTAAGGATGGGCGCATGAACGAACACAGACCTGGCCGCAGGCATACACGGCATTGTGGGTGGGGGCCATAGAGCGTGGTATGGGGTCGGCCTGAGATAGCCTCGTCTTTATATACTGTGCATCCACGTGGCTGTCCACATGACGTGAGGTCATCACGTCGATTAAACATCCGCATCAACTCACCCGGCAATTGCCGGCGCGAGTTGACGCGTCTCGTCCGGGGAGCATGTGTGGTGTAAGGTCGCGCCGTATACCTTAGTTTCTGTTTAGCCCCTCTTTTCCTTCATTTTTCAGTCATGCTAATGATATTTGATACTACCCTTTGATATAGGCCTCATCATTGTCCGAAACTCAGTGCAGGCCATTTGTGAGTGGCAGATACCGGCAAGGGGGTGGCAGGAATAAAATAAAAAACCGGATGTAGGGGGGGAGGGGGGTGTTGAACAGCGTCCTCCAAGGCGTGGTTGAACATGGCTCATTAGGAGCCACACCAGTCACATGATGACTGGTGCCACTTAGCTTTCTCATGTGTTCCAGAATCCAAAAAGCTAAGTGGCACTTTGACTTACATAAGTATGTGGCTCTCACCACAACCATATGCTCCCATACGCATCTTGTGCGTCCGCATTCCATTACATAACCTCTCTCGGGGTCGACATTGATGACAGTGCCTTCAACGGCTGCAGTCTAAAACTCCCAGTTACCTGGAACGTCGCCTCAATCGCTGAGATCAATATCGCAATATGAGTGCTTGACGTCATGTACAACAGTTTGCAGACATTGTCGCAACTGTTTGTCACGGGTAAAGAAATATGTCTTCTACTCTCACTACGCTTGTCCCCGTCTTCGATGGTACAAACCTTCCTTCCTGGGCTCCCAAGATGCTCGCCTGCCTTTGCTCTGTTGGTCTCGGCTACGTCCTGCGTGTCGCGCGCCCCTCTGAGGCTGCTGCTGACCCGGCTACTGCCACTCCTAGCGCCACCACTGGCACTGGCACCCAGGCCGGTGGAAGTGCAGCTGGAGGAACCCAAGCTGGTGAAACGACTACGTCGTCCAGCAATGCTGCCTCGTCTTCTGCCGCCGCTCTTGAGTGGGACAAAGATGACGAGAAAGCCATGGGCATGATCCGCCTTTGCGTTACCAAATCCATTGGCCAGATGCTTGACACCAAGTCGACTGCCAAGGAGATGTGGAACGCTCTCGAAGCGCAGTACGGCAGGAAAGGCCTCGGAGGAGCAGGCGTACATGTAAGACCTTTATAAATGATCCTGCTAGTAAGAAGAACTCCATTTACAAAGGTTCCTCTCTCCCTATAGGGGATGGGATCCATTATAATTGATCACTATAGCTTATGATAGTCCTTGTGGGTCCTTCGGAATGCTTCGGATGCTTCGGAACGTCCGGCGACGCTGTCATTATCGCACGCATTGCTCGCTTCATTGCCCACGGCCTTCTCCCGAGGAAAAGACGCTCTTGTCACACGGCAAGTGCCGGGAGCATCTTGTTGTGACGGGAACATCTTTGGGTGGCACCTAGGTAGTTAGTTTGTATGTTCGTATCGGAGGAGGAGGGCCTCTAGCAATGAAAACAGCTCAGAAATCCTTCGAAGTTGGCCGGCGTGACATGATTGATAGATCTGAGGTAATGCCGGGGTATCTGGAAGCTGCCGAATAGCGATAAGATTGATGGACAGTGCCTCGTTTACCGCTTGAGCGCCCGCGGCTATATCGTCTTCTGATCCTTTGGATCGTCTTTTTCCCTCCTCGCCTTCGCTTTGCGAGCGGTTTGGCTGGCACGACAACCCAAACAGCAGGGTCCCAAAGAGACCTTCCTTCGGCAAAAAAAGACAATACAATTAGATTGAAAGACGATCCCTCCGCCCGCGTCACACAGCTCGCACCTCGAGCCGCCACCCGCCCACACTCGAACGGCCCCAGCTCTCCTCGTTGCTCTTTCAGGTTGCCGCTTCGTGCCCAGCATTTTTCTGTACGTTCTCTATACTTCCAAGAAGATGTGTTATTTTTTTCAGGCCGCTCCGCGGCCGCTTTGTATGTTTCATTCCTATCCCCTTACAAGCACACAAGTAGCACATATACACCACCTCCAGTTGTATACCTACTTGCCCAGATTTGCAAGATGACCCAGATATGCAATATCGACAAAGATAAATTCCCCTACACCTGTCCACTCATACTTCTGTCTTGAGAAAAATTGTGTACACTTGGGTGTACTATATATACTGCACAGCAAAGTATCTTGTCGATAGTGCGAGTTTGTGGAAGTGGAGAAAAGCAGAATCATCTCGAATGGCACCTTTTCTGGCGGGGAGATTCTTGCATTGGGTCCCCTGGAGCCATATGACCGCGCAAAATCGTACAATTAATTGTAGGGGTCCGGTGGGCCATTTAATACAGTGTCGGCCATATATTGCACGCACTTTATTTCATATGAAGGTTTTTCTCGGACAATAGTCCTTTAGTGATTTTCAAAACGAGATCACACAAATGAGGACGAAAGAGAACCACGTACGGCGAAGTTGTTTGAACTCGTCTGAGGTCAGACGAGGTTGGCCGAGCGCGGACAAATGCGGACGAGGTTCGACGGGGCCGTCTGCGGTTCCCCAAGGTCCGGCTGCCCGGAAAAACGGACTCGGACTAGCGACGCGCTCAGACGCGTTCGGCAGAGCTCGGCGGAGCTCAGAAAACATTGTCGAACTTAGTCCTCCAGCGTCAGCGTGGACCTCAGTCGCGCAACTCTTCCAGAGTTGTACCAGCTCAGAGCAAGTTCTCACTCACCACAATGACCAATTTAATTTTAATCAGGCTTTTATGAGCTCTCATGAGCTCAGACTAGGTGCAACAAGCTCATCTGAACTCTTCCGAGGTTGTCTGGGATCTGAGTGCGATAAGTTGTCCAAGGTCTGACGAAATCTGAGTTAGTTTGCCAGAGTTTTCGCCGCTCCAAGCCCGTACGCTGAACGTGGACGAACTCAGCCGGGCTCGGCTGAGGTCCAATATAGTTCGATCTGGTTTGGCACGGTCGAATGAAGTTGTCCCAGACCGTAGCTCTGAAGATGTCAGCATAGCCGGTCAGACTTCTTCTTCGCCAACATACTCAGTATTTTATCTACCTTCTGTCCAAAGAAAACCATCATACTTTCAGCATGGGCCTTCGACGCTGTCGACAACGACCGCGAATGCAAGAAGCAGAGCTTAAATTTCTCGGAAACCTTGCATATCCCGGTCAAACCAGCTCCTTCACCGGCATGTCTCTGGCAGTCTTGTCCTCTGCACAAAAAAATATCTGAGTACATAGACCTTTAGAACACATGTATAGTAGCTCGTATGCCAGGTTTTATGCGTATCCGAGTGGTTTTCATGGGACGGTAGTGTGCAATGCAAAATCTTGCAAATCTGGGTCATCCATAGTAGATCTGCAATGGTGTCCGTCCGTGAAGCCGCAATGGAGTGGGTGAAGCGAGGCTGCCAGCCAGGCACCCGCGGAGCTGGCTCGATAACTTCAACTTGGCGTATCTCGGGGAAGGCGTTATGTATAGAGTTCGTGGATAGGTCGTGCAAAGTTGAAGGAGGTGTGGAGCTTGTGTCGAGCCAAGTTTCTCGGTTGCGGAGACTCACGGGAATTGCCATCGACGACTTGAACGCGTTCCGCCATGTCCTCTGCTGGCTCTGCTACGCTTCGAACGGCTTTTCGAAACAATCTCAGCAGATCACAAAATCACGGAGTTTCGATGATAGGAGAGAGTGAGATCTGGTTCATGTCTATGCTTCCGCTCACTCTCACTCTATCGTAGCTTCGGCCATCAGACTCAATGACATTCCTAGAACAACTACTCCTGGTGACATTTCCCGCATGATTAGGCAGTATAATGTTGAAAATGTAGTCGATGGTGCGTTCTTTTACCTTGATCACTTCTCCTTCAGCTCCTAAACAATCATCCCAGTCTCCCTGAACTATAAACGCTTCAGTCCGACTGGTACAGCTTACCTTAAGGTCGCCCGTCCTGAAATGGTACGACCAGCCCTGAACGCCCTCCAAAAAGCTGCTCTTTTTGGCCATCCGGTCTCTCCTCGACCTAGCGCATTCACTCCGCCACCACCTTCTGCTCGAACACGAGGTGTGGCCGGTCGCGCAGAGGCAGCACAAAGGGCAATCGTCACAGGAGATGGCCTCCAGGGTGGCATTCTCGACACGGAGAAATGTGTCGTCCTATGGGGTCTTCCAGGCAAAATCACAGTCGAGGGTGTTCGGAGTTGGATACAGGGATATAAGTTGGGTGGAGGACAGGGCGAAATTGTCAAATTGGACCCACCGTGAGTTTTTGAATATCCTCATCATCAGGTCCCTTTCTTGCACCCACCGGATAAGAGAGAACACACACATTTCTAATGGTTTACTGTAGGCGGTTTCCGACGACATCATCTGCTCGACTGCTAGTACGACTGTCGTCTCCCTCGGAGGCCTACAGGCTCGTCCGAAATGTCCACAAAACTTGGTTCCAGCCGGAAGTCTGGGGCGAAGACTACGTCGTACGCGCGCACGTCATCCATTGATCTGCATGTTCTTTTTTGTAGTATAATTTATAATCCGTGCACGCTCTCCTCATCATCGTGTTAGAACGCTAGTCGTAATTACGGAAAAGGCGTGGAGCTGACTGCTACAGCAACGGTACAAGACGAAGAAACAGAACGAGAAGAAAAGTGTAACACCATGACAGCCTCAACCTCACATCCGGCCCTCATCTTGATCCAATGTGTCGCCCATCCGAGCTCGCTGTCATCGTCGTGAGCAATCAGCACAAACTTCAGAAAAAAAGTACTCACCTGTCTTGAGCCCTCATTGGCATCATCATCGGGCGACCGTTCACGTTTGCGAGTGGACTCTGGAGCCGTATTCTGGTCTTTCCAGTCTTCACCACCAGCTGCGACGGGTCCTCCCGGTTCAGTATCCGCATAACGTGCTTCAACTTCGCGTCGCCTCTCGATCTCGAGTCGTTGAGCTTGTGCACCCCAGCCGCCACGTCCTGGGTCGTAGTCCTGTCTGTGCTCGTCTCGAACCTGGTGTACCACACGCCACACATGAGTGACCGGGAGAATAAGAAGACGGAGGACTGGATTACCTGGCCGCCACTCTTTCCACGTCCGAACTGCCGACCATCTCGGTATCCCAGATCCAGGTCACAACGAATGATACGTTCGTCAAGTTTTGTGCCGCTGATGTAGCGCATTGTGGCGAGCGCCTCCGCGTTCGTGTAGTACTCTACGAAACAGAAACCGCATGGTGTCCTTTGAAAGAATTTAGAACTAAGAACAAGACAAAAAGGCATTGATGAAGAAGGCGAACCTGGTGTTTCTGTCAAGACCCATGATAATTCTCTTGACCCCTCCTCCGTCCTCGGGGTTGGCGCATTTTGAAAATATATCGTGGATCTGCTCCTCAGTAGTGTAAAAGCTCAGATTGCCGACCTGGTATCCAAGTCGCAGAAATGAGCATGCCATTTATGTGTTGAATATCGAGAAGGGGCCGCCTCAACGCTGAAGTTCTGGTGAAGAGAACATACGTATAAGGTTGTGGATTGGGAGAGCATATCATTCTGTTGTCTCCGATCATAGCGAGCCTGCGAATCTTTGTAATTCGAGGGTTTGTCAAGGGAAGTCACGACGTTAGCCATAGTGGGTCGAGCTCTGCACAGTTTTGAAGAAAGATAATATTGCACGCAGACGAGTGGGAGTTGTTACGAGACTTCACTGAACTGTTCGAAGCGCGTTCGGAGAAGGCGCGACCAAACAGGGAAGTTGGTTCTCACGCGACGCGTCCACGGTGACGCCGCGTAAGCCTCTCGTCCAAGCAGACATCGACTTCACTTAGACTCTACTTTTCGTCCCTCAACTCTTACCGTTCCAAATTTTCGACCATGACCGCCGAGGTCGCAATGGAGATACAGCGAGAGGTGTGACTCTTGCTGACTGTTCAATATACCATCACAAGCAGTGAACTTACATCGAACCGTTACAGGAGCCCACCTTTAACTCTGTCGTAACAGAGAAGACCAGTCTCCTCCAAACTCTACAAGACGAGGACGAAGACGATCTCTATATCAAATACAAAAAGCTCGCTCGTCACCTCGAAATGCTTGAGATCCAAGAAAGTTACATCAAGGACGAACAGGCCAATCTCAAACGCGAGCTCATCCGCGCTCAAGAAGAAGTCAAGCGGATCCAATCCGTGCCACTTGTCATTGGCCAATTTCTCGAACCCATAGACCAGTACACCGGTATCGTAGGCTCAACAACAGGCTCTAATTACGTTGTGCGGATATTGTCGACACTGGACAGGGAGTTGTTGAAGCCTTCGTCCAGTGTAGCGCTGCACAGGCATTCGAATGCGTTGGTCGACATTCTACCACCGGAAGCCGACAGCTCCATCGCGATGTTGGGGAAGGAGGAGAAGCCGGATGTGGCGTACTCGGATGTCGGTGGGATGGACACGCAGAAGCAGGAGATTCGGGAGGCTGTCGAGCTGCCGCTCACTCACTTCGATTTGTATAAGAAGATCGGTATTGACCCTCCACGAGGTGTCTTGCTATACGGACCACCAGGTTCGTTAGTCCCTTCAGCGTTTCTCCCTGGGTGATGTCTGACCAGCTCGTCACATCCTACAGGTACCGGAAAGACCATGCTTGTCAAAGCTGTGGCCCATCATACCACCGCGTCCTTCATCCGCGTCGTCGGCTCTGAATTCGTTCAGAAGTATCTCGGTGAAGGTCCCCGTATGGTCCGTGACGTCTTCCGTCTAGCACGAGAAAACGCTCCCGCCATCATTTTCATCGACGAAATCGACGCTATCGCCACCAAGCGGTTCGATGCTCAGACGGGTGCCGATCGTGAAGTGCAGCGTATCCTTTTGGAGTTGCTGAACCAGATGGACGGTTTCGATCAGGGGAGCAACGTCAAGGTAGAGTCCACTTCTTTGGACGGTGGATGAACGCTAGATTGAATTAATGTCCTTGTAGGTGATCATGGCCACCAACCGTGCAGACACCTTGGATCCCGCTCTGCTTCGTCCTGGTCGGTTGGACAGGAAAATCGAATTCCCACTGCCGTCACGTCGTGAACGGCGCTTGATCTTCCAAACAACAACGAGCAAGATGAACCTTGGCCCAGACGTGGACTTGGAAGATTGTGCGCGTATTTCCCTTTCTTTGTGCCCTATGATACTCATTAATTGGTGAATCCATCTAGATGTTTCTCGTCCTGACCGCCTGTCGTCAGCTGAAATTGCATCAATCACTCAAGCTGCGGGTCTTCAAGGTATGTTTGAGTATCACGTACTTGCAGTCCAACATTGTTCATGCTATAATCCATTCCAGCCGTCAGGAAGAACCGCTACGTCATTCTACCAATCGACTTCGAGGAGGCGTGGAAAGTACGTTTGTTTGTCCCTTGTTTGGTTCCTGTCCACATAAAGCTGACTAATCCGTGATTTTCTTTTTCTTCCGTCGACCACGTCCTCAACAGCAAACGGTCAAGAGGACAGACGAGACTCACGAGTTCTGTGCGCCTACTGTTCTTCTTATTCTTCATCGCCATCACTAATGCCTTTTCCATTGCACAGACCGGTGAAGTTGTTTGCTCTGGATCGCTATCGTACGTTGTTTTCCCGTCATCGACGCGTCGTGGTCGGTCCTGATCAATCTGCTCATCCACAGGCATTGTATCTGTATTCTACAAGCAGTATTCTATTCTTTTTTTCTCATCTCACTCTGAGCTTCTGTGTGTGCTGTGTGTGGGACTACTCTTGAGAACGCTCCCTCCTTCACTTTGATGTCTCATCGCTGCCCTACGAAGAGGCATCCATTATTGGGAGCAAGATCAACTCCTGGTCTCGTACCGAGGCCTGTGCTTTTTTTTGCCTCTCTCGTCTTCCTCACCAGGAGACTTCATGGCGAGAGTGGTTCACACGTAGGATACATGCCATCCGACACGGCATCGTCGTGCATAGTGGTGAACGGTAGTCGGTCGAACTTGGATCATCTTGTAATTAACGGTGCGTGGTTTGATCCTTGTCTATCTTCGTATGTCTGACCGTTCACGACTACCACAGTATGAAAAAATCAATATATATCTTTTCAACCTGCCTAAGGCCCTTGCATCTTCACCTTCGTTGGCTTTTCCATTTTTTGAGTGTACCCGCTCCTCAACACTCTGGACAGCGTCAAAACCCATGCGCTATGTTCTCATTTTATAGGAGCAAGAAGGATATGGTTGTCCGTTGGACTCTCTTGGTCTTCGCGATCCTTGACTCTCTGGGAGAGGTGAACGAAGATGAAACGAGAGATACATCCCTATGTAATATGATTCACGATCGACGTTGTGACGTGTAGCAGCACTGTTGATTCGAGAATAAACATAACATCTTCAATCAATCTTTCCTTTCTTGGAGTGTGCGACCCCGTGATGCACGGGTAAGTAGTCGAATCTTAATGAGTCTACCATTGCCTTGGCTAACCTATCATGATCTGCAACAACTCCCGTACCGTTACTTCCACAAACACGGTCTGACTTGGTCCGACTGAGGATCCACAATGAACGGGAGCTCTGCATCACACTGCTAAGGTATTTTTCGAGCGTGAAAGTCCCTGTCTATCACCGAGGAACACTCGAACCAAACCCAAGCTATCATTGATCTCTGTACCAAGCAGGTACTGTGCGCTGCTGTTTTACACCAGTTTGGTTATCCGGTACAATCCGGGGTGGAGATACGTCGACTCTTGGCGTCGTAATGCTTGACCTCGCGGTAGGAGTTTCACTCTCTCCGAGGTCTGCCCTCTCATGCAGTAGGATTCGAGACGCAGTCACTCGCCAGCATACAGATCAGCAGCGGACGGTCGCTGTTACCGTCATAACGCCATTTCTGGTAAGGTTGATATATCGATTGCTTGCTCACTTTGCGAGTACTGACTGTCGCTTCAGAACTCGGTGCAACGTAACACCACGTCCAATCTTTGGAATAAGAGGCTCATTTCTTGCCATTTCCTTGTCACCAATGTGCAGGAATGTTTTTGACGGTGACAGATACTGTCATTCGTGCCACAAACCTCATCGACTCTTAAGCATCACGGGTGCCTTACGAACCTTTCGGCGCCTCACAGCGATCGCCGGCCTGTATAACCATGTGTACATTGCTGCGTACCTGAGTATAAGTACACGCTGTGATCTCCCATTGGTCCTCTTTGTGACACTGGGCGGTGGTGTGGTGTGGATGAAACTTCTCCTCCGGCTCCTGCGTTTTTTTTGGAACACGGTGTTGCTGCGTGGTGCTTGATGCGGATTTAGTCCAATGATGGCTTTCAAATGAATCCAAACATACCTCGTACACCTCCGTGTATTCCCATCGTCATACACCCTCATCTCCTACTTAGATGAAGAGCATATATCACAACTTGGTTGAGCACTCTGGTGTGACCGTCTCCAGCGTTAACGTCCTCCGGTAATTTGGTATTATATCGTAAATAGTGCGTGCCATGATACCCAGCAGGCTAATGCCTCCGGGTGCTAACCACACTTCTACAGAGACGCCAACCAGGAGCCAAGAGATCGCCCAATAGTCAGATCAACTCCCAAGGTCACATCTAAAGCCATCTAGGGTCCGATGCCGTGTTATAGCATGAGGCACATGAACCGGCCGAGCTCTCGACTGCTACTCTCATCTGTCAGACGGAGCCGGCGGTAGGTTAGGCTAGTATACAGTGGTTGCAAGACATACATAACGTGCGTTTGACAGGTGCGGTTTCCCCACTCTCCTCCCCGCTTTACGCCCTACTTCTACTGCAGCTGTCAGTCTTACTTCGATTATCTCTGCCGGTGGGTTGCTCAATCTCCGTTACATCCTTCTTCAAATACTGATAATTTGATCTTACTTGAACGCCACAAAGACACAAGCTTCCGGGAAATGAGTAACAGCACCTCCTATGGGCCAGATGAGGATGAGAAGACCATCGTGACAGAACGCTACTTCCTAGCAGGTGACTTGCTTGCTGGGGTTGGTTACGGTACGCTGTCTATGATCCATCCTTCCGATCCAATTATTCTAATCAAAACACATGTGTAGGGATGGAAGTGGTCCTTTATGTGGCATGCGCGCTCTATCTGTGCAGTCAATGGAGGACGAGAGCATACGCTCGTTATATGCTCGCATTTATCACCCTCCTCTTCGTTGTGGAATCCATCTTCACTGGCGTTCAGACCAGAACAGTTCAGCTGATGTATGTTGACAATCGCAACTACCCGGGTGGGCCTTATAGCTACTTCAATGCGACACAACAACTCGCTGTGAATGTGATGTTTGAAGCCACTCTGTTCGTCATGACGTTCCTCTGCGATTCCTTAGTGGTGAGTTAATTTCAGCTGCTTGTGCATACAGTCCATTGATATCTTAAACAGCTATGGAGATGCTGGGTTATTTGGGCGGCGACAAGCCGGTTTCAAGCTTTTCTCGCCATATTTTTCCCCTCCATCATTCTCCTTGCTTCCTTCGGTAATTATGGTCCATCATCTTCTGTAACAACAAACACTAAATTTACCCTTGCTTTTGTGCTCAGTCATGGGAACTTTTTGGACGCTTCAGTCAAGTAAGAAAGTCTCGGATTTGCTGTGTGTGTAGTGGTTGACGGAAGCCAATATAGGCAAACCTGGGCTTTCCTTCTACGCAGAAACTCCTCTAGCCTTCGGCACCGCCTACTATACGCTTAGTCTCGGAGTCAACGTCATCTTGACGGTTCTCATTGTTATTAGACTGTATATATATCGCCGTCGTATAGCAGCAGCTCTCAGTACGTTTGGACTTTCAGATGATTTTTTCCATACACTGCTTGGCACTGATTCTGAACCCTTGGCAGACGCGGACCATGCACGGCAGTATGTGACACTGGGGATGATTCTCGTGGAGTCAGCAGGTACACCGTCGCATACCTCGATGCATGTCAGCCTTACTGAACGCTTTCTCACGTTGAGCAGCGGTGTACTCTGTGTTCGCTCTCTTGTTCTTGATTACGTATGCCGTGTCAGACACCACAGCTCAAATCTGGCTTGGAGTATCCTCTTCTGTCCAGGTAAAGTCCATGCAACCAATCAGGAAGGCTAATCAACTTGACTGAGTTTGACTTCGGTGCAGCAAGTCGCTACCTACGTGATCATCTACAGACTAGCAGATGGTCGGGGATGGAGACAAGACTCCTTACCGTCCTCTGCAACCTTCACCAGTATGCAGTTTAACGACGGTGTCCCTAAAATGGCCATTACAGGTATGTGTCGCAACCCGTACATCCCCGTCTGTGCCGTCCATTGATCCATATCCCATGACTTTGAAGACGTCGAACTAGGACATCTATCAGAGGCCTCAAATTTTCATTTCTCATCCGGTAGAACAGAGACACGACCGGAATCCTCCACAGAGATGGATAAGACGACTCCCGCACCATGTCGTGACGAGCACATCATTTCCACAAACTCAGCCGACGCACTTCACGACTAGACCACACAGTACTATGTAGTACCCTCACGACCTTACACATGTGTTTTACATTACTTGAACACCCTAGTATGTTGTTCGCTCGCTATCCAAGATATTATCTGTCTGTTGAAAGAGAAGCAGTCAATGCCGACTAATTGTAGCTCTAGAGCTAGCCCTATAACTATTCGGCTCTGTTGTTACTCGCCGATTCGCTGAGTTCAACCAAACCTGGAGGTGGTCCTTGAACTCCGTTACTAATCTCTTATGAACACGCGGACTAATTTGTAGATATACCAAAATAAAGAAAGGACATCACGTTTTGGGATACACCGTGTCGTGGTGGATAAGTATCGCGAATATGATGAAAGGAAGTGCCAGGCTGTACACGTTCAGCTGATCGACGGTGGCGATATCGATGATGCCCCTAACAGTAGTCATTACGCTTTGTCCACCTCCCCTGTGCGCCATGTTGCCCGCTCTTTGTTCCAATTTCCATCACTCCCTTTTATTGTTCATGTTGCTTTGTTTTCTCTTTCGTCCTTCCCTTTGTCCTTCCTTCGCTTTTAAGATCCCTCGTCTGCTCACTGCCAGATTATCTATCTGCGACCCACATCTTCGATACTTCCCCCTCCATAAGCCCAACGTACACACACAGCACAATCCAAGCTTAGATCAACAGTGCTGCTCGCGACTCACACCCTGTTCATCTCCCCCGTAACTCAGTTTCATCTCATCCCGCTGCTACAGCCCTATTACATCTCATGTAAGTGTTCATCAGTCATCTCGATGGAAGAAGTATGCTTACTTTTTCCCCAGTGGTCTGATTTCCTGACAGCCCCATGCCTCCCGCCATTACAATCGCCATCCCCGAACAACCACGACAGGAAAACCCTTTGGTGTATGCCGGGCGTCCTGTGCTCGTAAGGTCGGAGTTGGGCTTATTTCACATCCTGGATTTCAATCCTTGCGAAGGGGAAGACGGGATGATCCTCGCTGTTGAAACCCTCTTCGATGTCGACCCCGACCGCCCCCTACGCATACGACTGGTCCTCGGGTATCTAGCAATCGCCACCAGAATCCGCTCAATGGTCCGTGAAGGCGAACGTGGCCCCTACCTAGTGCGCGCTGAGTGCACGATTCCTCCATTCTCCCGCCATATATATGGGCACGATTTCTTCCCGATCAAAATCGAGGCTATAGCTGCCCAGGACGAGGTGGTAGATGCCGTGGTCGTTGGGGATTTCACTTATTGGCAGGCTCGTAAGTTTTTTTCTCTTTCAGTTTTCGAAATAAAGTCATAATGTGTGAGCGACAGTGGATTAGCGAGTTACACACATGACACAATATGAGGAGTGACCATGGCCTTGTCTGTAAGGATACAGTGGTCGTATCCCACTCGCCTCAGGCTCGTCCCGTGCATCTCTGGTAGAGGTTTATGCAGATTCGGGAGAGTTATCAATGTTCCAGTCATTGTCCGTAGACATAATAGTTTACTTACACCTAATAGTACGAAATCATGCAAATTTGGCAGTGTCATTCGACTCAGCATGTAGACCTTCATCCTCATTCGCGGAAGTGGAGCCAGAGGAACTGCCGGTGGGCCTATCCTCGAAATCTTGGTCAAACCAGTGATTGCCTATCAGCACTCTGATCCGATGCTGTGAAAAGTTTCCTGACATACCATTCTTCGGAACAATTGACTTGGGGGCATATTGCCTTGTTTTGAGGGTATCCTATATGATCCTTGCGCCACGCTCGACCCTCAGCCAAGCGATATATGATCAGGTAGATAGCCATTTGCTCGATGAAGGACCCACATCGAAGGGCGCACTGTAATCGAAAGTTATAGCACATCAATACATACCTGAGCTGCAGATGCCAGCCCGGAAAAGATCTGATTTGTCGGATCGTAGACAGCGTATGTGACAAGACACAGGATAGCGAAGCATTAATAGATGACTATCGTTGTGACTGGATCAGAGACAGTGATACCATACCACACATCCACAGGCGAGGTCAATACTCACCTGTGGATGTCACCTTATACAAATGCGAGTTGGGATGCGAGCCTTTGGAGTTCGGTTATGGTAAGTCACATGTTTGCCTCCGGAATGCAGAGACGAAGAGGAGAACTCTGATTCAGTATTGATGTAGCCCACCGCTAGCATTCGAGGTTAGGTAATATGAAGCCCGCGCCCTACGTTATCGATGATTTTGTGAGCGCAACAGCGTGAGTGAGAATCGGGGCCGATAGCGTTCCAGCTAAATAAGGTGCTCAGTACTGCGGGGCAGCTAAAGTAAGCTGTAATGAGCGTTTGAGGAACATTATCAGACTCGTGCGACCATAGCACATCTAAGGCGGAGCGGGAGAGGTAACAGAGCTGAGAACGAAAGATTGCTCCAAGTACAGATAGCGCAACAGAGCTCCGAAGTGTATGTTTACCGACGCCAAAGAGGACAGATACAAACCGTTCGCTTGTGGCGTATGGCACTGAATGTGGATGTTACAACCATTTGGTATGCCACTGTTTATTTGGCGATTCCTTCCCTTATTATCGAGGACAGAAGTATGAACCGCCGAGTTATTTGGCAGGCTGTCCGAGCTCACTAGCTCGCTCTGTTGCTACCTGAATTGCTCGTGCAATCGTTGACCGCACCTTCCCATCCTCAAGAGTAAGCAGGCCAGCGATAGTACATCCGCCTGGAGCTGTTCAAATGAATTGGTGATCAGTGAACCGAATGAAGTTGCTGTGAATAGACGTACTGGTCACGGCATCCTTGATCTGAGCGGGGTGAGCTCCCGGTTGCAGCGCCATCCTAGCCGCACCTTGAAGGGCTGCGAATATATAAAGCTCAGCTGAATGACGATCCGTCATGTTCGCGGAAAACGTACTTTGTGCGGCAAGTTCGAGAGCCTCTGCTCTTGGCAAGCCCATCATCACACCTCCGTCAGCCATGGCCTCTAAGAATAAGCATGCGAAGGCAGGTCCTGAACCAGAGACCGCAGTGCACGCGTCGAAGTGTTTTTCATCAAGGAAACGGCAGCGGCCTATGGAAGAGAAGATCTTGAGGATGATGGCACGGTCGAGCTCTACAGAGTCCGATTGAGGGAGCGTCGACACGACGGTCATGCCTTCCCGAATCTATAAACAATAACAAGGGGTCAGAACGACGAGATGGGGCAGAGGACTGCTATATCACCTTGCACGGGGTATTTGGCATTGCGCGAATGACTTTTGTGCTGGGCAGAACCCAATTGGAGAGTTGGGGGATGGTGACACCTGCGAGGATACTGATCAACAGCTTCCCTTCGAGGGCCTCCTTAATGCCTTCTTCTTGAAGAATGAGGTATGCCATCTGGGGTTTACAACTATGTACACTGTTACATTTCTCTCGGCCTGGACGATAAATTGGCTGGCACACACCACAACAGAACGACGTCCGCTTGTTGAACTGAGCTGACATTCTGGTCTGCGACGACCTCGACAGTATGACCAGAAAGCCCAGGCAATTCTGCGAAAGTCCTTTGAAGCTTCCTCGCCGTCTCCTCCCGTTTTACGCAGGCGATAAATCGAGAGGGCAGGGAATGATCAAGATCGGGACCGACTACTGGGGTAGATGTCCCCGAGGTATGTGATTCCCATTTTGCATGGATGTTCCCGTGTAACGGATTGCGAGACTCCAAACTAGCAAGTACACCAGATGTGATGGCAATACCCATCGTACCGCATCCTAGAAGATGTACGCTTCAGCTGTTATTTACCTTTAGAACAATGACGAGAATTACCTAGCACGCAAAGAGTGTAACCCATGATCGATTACTATCAAGTCTCAAAAGCAAACGAGGGTGCAACGTAGACAAGAGATGGAGGGAGAAGCAGTTTGAAGACAAACAGGCAACATTTCTCATAGCTTGTTGCGGACGAGTCATCGACCGACGGAAATTCGTCCGAACGCGTCTTGGCCGGCCCTCGCGATTGAACAGCGCGATGCGCGTCTTCGTCACTGTCGGTTCAACGAAATTCGACTCGCTTATCCAGTCAGTGCTTTCTGACGACGTCCTTCACGCCTTCAATGCGAAAGGATATACAGATATTGTAGTTCAATGTGGTAACTCTCAATTGGACCCTTCCTCCGGTCTCGTCACGAACGAAACAGCGTGGACGTTGGAGAGAGATGGCATACGGCTCGACATGTGGAGATTCAAACCCTCTCTGGAAGAAGAGTATAATGGAGCGGACTTGGTAGTGAGCCATGCAGGTCCGTCGTGAGGGCCATATTTACCTCGGACCAGATCCCTGACATGGTAAATTGGCAGGATCTGGAACCATTCTTGACGTGCTGAGGAAAAGCAAAGCATTGATTGTCGTACCCAACCCCACATTACTCGACAATCATCAAGAGGAATTAGCGAAAGCCCTAGCAGACTTGGGACACCTAAAAGCGTCCAATATTCGGTGCGATGGTCATCTCAACGTTTCCGATGTGTTCGAGCGGAAGCTGAGAATGTGCTCAGAGAATTGGCGCGGACCATACGAGAGCTCGATATTTCGACTATCAAGCCCTTCCCGGCCTTTGATGGAAGCCGCTTTCGACGGTTGTTGGATGAGGAGATGGGTTTCGTTTGAAAAAGGGGCCACGAGAATGTAGGATCGACGCTCGCCACACAATAAATCTTGCTCTCCTTCCACCATCATCCATGCAGCCATGTCTACCTCAACCTCAAACAAAGTAACCAAAGTTATCGTCGACGAAGATCCCGCAGCCTACGAAGCGAAACATGTTCACGAAGTCTACGACCAGATTGCCTCGCATTTCGCCTCTACGCGATATAAAGTCTGTCTAGCCCCAATGATCTCGTCCGACGTGCCACTCAATTTCCAGCTCTCTCGTGGCACTGTAGCCTTGGCCCATCATCGCAACCTTCCTTTCTTTCATCCCCACAGGTTGGATAGGTCTTGACTCCGGCACGGGAAATGGCAAGTATCTTCCACTTCCGCTCGAGCGCCCTGGGAGTATATGGACTATCGGCTTGGACAGGTCTCGAAATTTGCTCGAGGCTGCGCGAGTGGCTGGGATTGGAACGGTTGAGGGTGAAACGAAGACTGCCGTTCTGAGAGAAGTTGTCTGGGGCGATGTTTTAGGCAAAGGATGGCGGAATGGGGCATTTGTGCGTGTATTTTACCTCTTCGAGTTTGCAGAAAGTTTAGTCTCACGTTGTTTGTCAGGACTATGCCATTTCTATTGCCACAATTCACCATCTAGCGAATCATGAACGTCGTAAACTCGCTGTACAGGTGGGTTCCTACTACTTCAATACTTGAGATGTACGTCTAACGTCAAGATGCTACACCTAGAGGTTGCTCGAGTCAGTGAACTCAGAACATGGTCGTATTCTCATATACGTTTGGGCCATCGAGCAAGACGAACTGTCAAAACGATCTATCCCTGAGACTAAACCTGAAACTGAAGAGCCCGACCCGGCAGACGTGCAGTCCGCCAGCGAGAGGGGGCAAGATGTCTTCGTCCCGTGGGTTCTCACAAGCTCGAAGCCGCGCGAAGGGTCAAAGACAAACCGAGGCAAGGACAAGAATAGGGGAACTCCTGTGCCGAACGGGATGGAAGAACCGGCTCCCAAACGATTTGAACGTTATTATCATATGTTCGCCGCAGGTGAACTTGCCGATCTAGCTTCCGAGGCCATAAAAGACATGGGACTGGTGATTGGAACGGGTGAGGAAATTCAGGATGACCTTCGTGAGACGAAAGGGGTAGAGATCGTTCAAGACGGATGGGAGAGGTCGAATTATTTTGTGGAGTTGCGTCGATGGTGCAAATGATAAACGGAAATCGGAGGCATCGAGTTTTGAGGCGTGACTTGGGTTCAAGACTTTGTCCATGGTGCCACACTGGGTTATTGGAAAGCAAATGCAAAATACAGGTACGGTGATGAAACAAGAAACAAGACAATCACTCGCTCGCCGCCATGACTGAGGGACGCAAAAGCCGTCAGACATGGTTCTCTCTAAGAACTGAAGATAGGACGCACTGGCATTGATGAGATCACCACCACTCTCCTTCAATACCCGAACAGCCTTTGCTCTCGAGCAGTTGACCTGCTGCATGACGAGCTCGATGTCCTTCGCCTCGACACCAGTCTCGTCAACGGGGCCCTCCTCTTCTGGTGCCTCGAGATCGGGGATATCATCATCATCATCATCATCGGCAGCAGCGCCTGCGCCTGAAAGGTTGGGGATGGAACCACCGCCACCCTGAGCAACGCTCTGGGCAGCGTTCATCGCAGCCGCCTGCTGGTTGCCGTCCTCCGCCTGATATCGACCATTAGAAAGTGTACACTTGGAACGATGGCGGAAGAAGACGTACCTTGGCCTCACCGAAAACGATGTAACAATCGCTATTCTGCGACTTGTAGACATCTGGCGACGCGATCACGAACAGGAACTGTTGTACAATGCCCCAGAGGGTTAGTGTACTGGTCAATCTGACAGGTGCGATCTGTGCAACGCGAAACGTACGTTCTTGGGCCTACGAATGGTGACACGGGTGATGCCTGGGACCTTCTTCAGGCCGAGGCTGATGAGAGCCTTCCTGGCTTTTCGCTCTGAGCGAGACTGGATCTTCTCAAGAGCGGCATTGGATGTGGGGTCCTCAACGGCTCCGTGGTCGTGACCCTCATGGTCGGAGTGGTCAGAAGTAACTTCCTCGATAGTGGCGGACATCTAGAGAGGCGCGATCAGTACTTCATCCAATACAACGCGACTGCATCCACTCCTAGGACGCGTTCTCTCATTCTGTATACGCGCTAGACGTGTCTAAGAACATGATCTTTGCTCACCGTCTGAATTTTAGGGGCGGATTAGGGAGGGGCGTGCTCGTCGTTGCGAACAGTGAGCAATGAAGCGCGTCTTCGGCAAAGTCCGGGCCGGCGCGACCAGGCGCGACTCAAGACGCGTCGGGACTCACTTGCTCTCCTCTTTCGTTCCTCTCGACTCTCGAGGTCTGCAAATAGCTTAGTCTCTTAGCTCATGACGCTCAATCATTTTCTGAAGTGGCCGACCCCCTGTCACGACCTGCTGGTTCTCCGAAGGCACTGCGTTGCTCATCTCTGGTCATCGTGCTTGGAACCCTCTTGCCAGCACAGTCCAGTTTGAGCCTCGACTAGCCGTGTCTCTCTTGCGGATACATAATCGTTCCACAATCTGTGGCCTTCTTAAAAATATATTTGTATACATCCTCGACTAAAGCGGACTCTGAGGGTCTGAGCATGGTGTATGATGCGGGGGCGACGTCATGTCTCCTGCTCCGCTCATGACTTTATATATGAGTTCGAGTCAAGTGCACTCCGTACATGCCCCTATATATGTCCCTTTCTCCTTGTTACTCTTCGACCGCTGCTGCAACGAATCACCATGGACGCCGAAACGAAACAGCAAGCGTACCACACCGAAACATTCAATACTGCCGGTGAGGCAATGATGAGCTTCAAGCCCATCAACGCTATTCATCAACACCTCTGCGCTTTCCACGTTTACTCGTGAGTGCACCTTTCTTTTTTTTAGTTGCTCGAGGTGTCTTATCAGAACCTGAACCGCTAGACATGACCGTACTCGCCACATCGAAGCGCATCATTATTGCAAACATCTGTCCCCTGACGTTCACCAATGCGTCATCTATGACTCGGATGAGCCGGATGCCAGACTCATTGGGATCGAGTACATCGTGTCAGAAAAGGTATCGTGACCTACTACATCCGTTATGAACTTTCTGACGGCTCAATAGGTATTCGTCAGCCTCCCGGACGAAGAAAAGAAGTACTGGCACACCCACAAGTATGAGATTGAAAGTGGCATCCTCCAATTGGTCGTGAGTGCAGCTACTTCTGTTTAATTCTTCAATCCACAATGCTAAGGCATTTGAATAGCCCAAGAACTTCGTTCCAGGTGAGTTTCCCATGCATTGCTCGAATTTCTTCAAACATCTTACATTCAATGATAGGTGTCATAACGGACGCCGCCGAACAGCCGGCCATGCTCGAGCTCCAGAAAACCTACGGCAAGACCATTCACACTTGGGCAATCGACGAACACCCAGACCTACCCATCGGACCTCCTAGCCTCATGATGTCTTATACCCCGGATCATCCTCTCGATCCTGAAGTTGTGAGGAAGAGGGACGAGAAGTATGGTATGGATTCCGATGCGAAGAGGGAGTTGAGGAAAGGTTACTTACCCCCGTATCAGACGGTGAAGGGAGCAGATCAATGGGAGCAGTCTGGCAGGAGTGTGCAATTCACTGAGAAGGAGACTGAGGTGAAGATGTAATACTCATGAGCGGCCACTTATCAACCCCGATGCCTATACTGCTGCAGTTTATTAGAAACTAGCAGCCGGAATGGGTGCGGATTTTGTCCACAGAACCCCATAGAAGCTTCTTTACTTATGCATCACGGGGGGCATGTTATCAAAATACGCAATTCTGGGATGCGCTTCGTCACTCGATGTGTGCAGTTTGCGATGCGGCCCATCGAGTGCAATAAACCGTTTCTTCTCCCGTGGCGCAATGTATCAATCTGTCGGGCTCGAACCAGCGAACTGGTGCCGTGAAGAAAACACTTGGCCGTAACTCCCCAGTGAAGGGTCATCAGTCTACCCATCATTGACGTCGGGATCGAACCAGCGACGGGGGCGTGGAATTGGCCATTGTCGGGATCGAACCGCCCAACCTTTCCGGGATCAAACCAACGATGTAGTATTGGCGGCAGCCCGCTCAGTGGGTCACGCTAGAGCACCAGTGTAATATACATCTTCGATGTCGGAATCGAACAAGCGACGCATAGTAGCTGCATAGCTGCTTACAGGCTACGAGCCGGGATCGAACCGGCGGCATAGTACAGTAAGATTACCGTTTGACGGGATTGAACCAGCATGCACATGGTATTGACGCATTGGCGGTGTACAGCTAGCATACTTATTCGCTTATTGTGAACCGGGATCGAACCAGCGATGTGATTTTAGGAAAAACTGCCGTATGTCCGGGATCAAACCAGCGACAGGATTTGATTATCTCTATGCCATGTCGCAAAACTTGCATTTGGCTGGTCAGCCATAGCGAAGCCTGACAGGGAGCGTGCATGACCGGACCAGCCCACATCGGGCCTGAGCAGGGCTGAGCAAGGCTGGTGCGGGCTGGTCATCTTGAAGTCGTCTGCTGAACAGAGCTGAGCAGGACTGGCAAGGACTGGTCATTTTGGAGCCATCGGCTGAGCAGGGCTGATCCTGGCTAATAATGTCTGTACATAGCTCCGGTGCCGTTGGCCAGTGCTGAAGAGGCCTGACCATGTCTGATCGCTGAAATAGTATACTGGACTACAGGGACCTTGCTAGGCCGCCTCGACCTCAAGAGAGGGAAGATGAGGGGTGAAAGATCTGGCGGAGCATTGTGGGCATGCATTTCGCGCCACGAAAGAACACGATATATTTAGAGCATTTCCAGTACAGACCACTCCGCGATGACGTAGTGGTCTGTTTCGCGACTCCAACGCAAGGACGTGAGCAGCATAACACAAGTCGGGTGTTCGAATCCCTCGCTGGCCTGATACTTGTGGTCTATAAGAGACTTCTAGCGAGTACAATTCGTAAGGAAAGTAAGGAATAAAGGTAAGAGCACTACATGAGTAAGAAAAGGATACTACAGAGGGGTAAAAGGAGAGGTACAAAAAGATGAAAAATCCTTTTTCTATTATTCCTATATATCGTCGTCAGGACTGCTCAGCCCGCAACACGCCGTATAACGCCTGTGCAGGTCCGTCAGGCTGATCAGGCCTGATTGGCCTGACCAGCCCGCTCATCCCCTTTCTAAAGCTCGGGAACCCTGATCAGGCTCTGTTTCCCTGGCGGGGATGTTCAGGCATGGTTTGGCAACATCATGCAAGACCAGCCAGATGCAAGTTTTGCGACACACCGGGATCGAACCAGCAACAGAACCCTCTGTCTTTCTGCTCAGCCGGGATCGAGCCATCGAGATAGTTTACTTTGATTAAGTACTTCTGCGCCGGGATCGAACCAGCGACAGACTCCGATTATTTCTACGCTGGGATCGAACCGTCGACTCGACGGGATTCCGTTTCAATTGTTCCTGTGTCGGGATCGAACCAGCGACATGAACTTCCGTGTGACGCTCACATCGGCGGTGTCGAATCGGCGACGTACAGCTAGCAACCATCCACCTACGAACTGCAATGCGTCGGGATCGAACCAGCGACGCGTCCATCCTGTTCTCCGCCGATTGCCTTCATCGATCCTCGAGTCTGGATTTCGAGACCAACGGAGTCTAGGACTATTCACCTCTCACAACTATGCATGCAGCCCTTGTCTATACGGTAGCCGTTGCAAAGCACAAGAAATGGCGTTACGGTATACTATAAATTACAAACTCCGACTGTGTCCAAACTGTGTCACCGCAAAACGCTAACCTAGTAAAATTCAGTGCATAGCTCGCGAATCGGTCTCACTCAAAAATTGGTCTTCACCGCGATATGCACTGCATTGGTATTTTCAATCAATCTACTACTAGAGTTCCATTGCATATCGTTCGATGAAAACATGCCATTGCTTCTGATGTGTGCTGTTCTTTTTTATTTTTTATTTTTTTAAATCAATTGCATTTGTATAGCGCCGGCGAAAGCCAGGGGCGCTGAAAGTAGGTACTAGTCAACTATCTACAGTACGAGAGGGAGTTGGTAAATACTGTGGAACTCAATGTTAGAGTAGGGGATGGATGCGACGCGGGTGCATAAAGTTCGAAGTCCGAAAGCGGGAGAAATCTAAAGACATGACATCTAATCAGGGGGTCGGGGCACGTTCGGATTGTGTAGGTTAGCGGACTCGAAAGTGAAAGCAAGGGGGTTATTAGTAGATGTGTGCTGTTCGCTGACCTTGAAAGTCGCGGCGGAGTACAGTCGGAGTGTGGCGCACGTTCGTTCTCGACATTCTACAGCGCATGCACATTCTGAAATTCTTCAACGAATGACTACACATGGGCTGTGAGGGGAAGGACTATCTTTTTGTGCTCTTGTGGGGGAAGATGAGCCATTCACGTTAACTTTAACCAACACATGATACCGGGCAGTGGCGGATGGCGGGCATATTGTCTCCTCCACAAAATCTTTCATCCTTCGATAGCTCAGTTGGAAGAGCGTGGGACTGTAATTGGCAATCTTTCAAAATCCATCCCGAGGTCACTGGTTCGATCCCGGTTCGAAGGATTGTTTTGCTAACCTTTTTACATAGTGTTCTTTGAGGAGGAAAGAGGGCGGAGAGTAAGGCCAGACAGCAGGGCAACGGGAGGGACGATTCACGGGCGCCGGAGTCAAGATTCGCGATCACACATGACTACCCCCCTATATTTTTGAAGAGTGTACATTTCAATAATACAGAAAGGGGGTGATGAATACAGGCCACCGGCAGCCAAATACAAATAATAAGTACAACATCATCTATTCGACAGTCAGAACGCAAGCCCTACCCGCATCTCATAAGTCTCGTACATCGAGTGAGATCCCCGCTCGTCTGTCCCTGCACTTAGAATGGTAAGACCCCCATGCGAAGTGCTATCGACCGTAAGATCGTCTGGCTCGAGTATAGGGGACACGGCACTGTGCAGGTTGAGCAGCAGTCGTGACACCATCGTTACGCTGACACTAAGAATGGCAAAAGTCAGCCGGGTAGAGATCGGAAGAGTTGTAGGCATACTCACCAACTGGCCACTGTAGACAAGAGACCTTTTAATATTGGCTGTCATGGACCGTCAGTAAACCATGATTCGGATGGTAAGGAGGCACGCACCGGGCACACCTAAAGAAAGGCTTCAGCAACAAGACACGGAGCAATAAAAGAGAAGGCGCTCACGTAAAGTGTCAGGATGTTTATGGCATTGGTCACTGTGATAACCCTAAAGAAAGAGATGAATACCGAGCTGACCAGCCCCCAATGTATCGTTCTTACCCAAAATATATAGCACCTACGACGGTGTCAGCTTGAACAGATCACATAAGCGTTCAGAGGACTCACCATCCCGAACAATGAGGTCGAGGACCGAGCTCCTTGAGAATTCAAACGGTCGATCTCTCCGCAGACGCGTACGCCACGATTTCATGACGGTGAGCGTGAATATTACTATGTCGTAGACGAGTAGGACCTCCCAAGCAATGGCAAGGTCTGTGGGATGTTCAGACACGCGGAATCTTCGGACGACATTACGACGTACAGATTCCTCTACAAATCTTCCATTAGTATTCATACGCACATCTGCAAAATCTGAAACTCACGAGACTCTGGAGGTGGCGAGGTGGCATCCCTGAACGCCCGGCACGACGGTGCTATGAGGCCCTGTCAAAGAGAACTAACGAATCGGACACCTTCAGTCCGTGTGGCGCATACACGAGATACGAGCGTTCACTTACAGCAGCAGGTGGGAGTAGAACAAGCACCAATCCCACGAATGCAGAGATAACGCGGCGAGTGTTCCCATATAATGCGCATGTTCGCAAGCCCAACATCACTATCTCGACAGTTATAGTCAGCACTGCATGGTCGAGAAGCATACGACGGGAATAGTCTACCAACCACAGATGACGATCTGCGTCACTAACAGGAGTAACTCACGGAATAGACCGTAATGCTCACACCTGCAGCAGCAATAGAGGTCGGTAAAGAGAGAGCGGGGGCGTATTGCGAGACTGTACTTGCCGCTGTAGAATTGTCAGCAAGAATCATAGGGTACAGAGAGGATCCCTCACTTTGGTAGCAGCAACCCAATTCGTGAACGTGACGAACAATATGGCGAGGTTACCTAGAATCGTCATCAAGTCTGGCTCTTCGTCGTTATAGTTAGGAACGAGGGTACCCATACCAAAGAACGCGAGATATCGGTTGAACAGGAACCATAGTGACCCCTTGGATAGCGGGGCCCTCCATATCCGCCGGACCTCCTCTGAGAACGTCAGAGCGTGGTCGTAGTATAAAAACGCTGAAAGGACTATTAGCGTCAATAAACTCCAGTCCGCCAATGGAAGGCCAGACATACTGATAGGGGCCAGCTCCAGATAGTTGTGAATCAAACTGCAGGTAAACGAAGACGTCAGTCAGCAATGCTCGCGATTGCAGATCGTAACAAACATACGCATCGCGAGTATCGGCAGCACTCATCGAGCCTACCGAAGTAAAGGAAAGGGAAGGGTCTGGCTTGAAAATGACGCGTCAAGGGAAGAGTAGACATTCGAGGTACCTTGTCCTTGTCCTTACTTATAGGAGGGAATACCCAACGACCAAGGAGAAAACAAGAGCCAATGACTGAATACAGAAGGCGTCTGCATCCGAAGATCGGCTGAGAGCTCGTTGAAAATGAATACTGCGAGGGAAGCGTTTTCGGGATGAAGCACGGTGTGAGACTGCCACGCAAAAAGTTGTCCAATGACCCAGAGTAGTGTCGGATCCGAACGCAATGTCAGTCCAGGAAGACGAAACAAGGTCACATTGCCATGCGGACATTACTCCCTTGGACCTTTTCCACGACCGAGAAACCACTATTTAGAGCCCGCTAAAGTGGAATCCAAATCTTGGTCAAAATGTCATATATGGATGTCAATTTAGCGCTCTCTAGAGCGAAACTTTAGCGAGCTCTATAGTGAATTCCATTGATTATTCTCTGAATTGCCTTTAGAGGATGCTAAAGAGGTTCGGGGTTGCCACATAAGGCAAGCCCGAGGTGCTCAACAGCCTTTAGCGTCCTCCAAAGTCAATCTTTAGCGTTTGTACGGCATTTCTACAGAAAATGCATAGACCCGCCTTTAGATGACCCTAAAGTTTCTCTTTAGTACTTCCCAAAGGGGAGACCACATATAATATATATAAATTTCTTTAGACACACCTTTAGAGCACGCTAAATAGTGGTTCCCCGGCCGTGTTCATGGGCACAACATGGCCAGTAAGCCATATTCGTCAATTACACAGCAAGCCTGTACCCCGCGGACACAGGCGACCGATGTCGCGTCAATGGTTGCAAAGGCACAGCCCATGCATTAAAGCGCAGCTGACAGAATAACCAGAGAAACAACGTCCATGAGAGGTACTGCAGTCGCTTCAGACTCTTCTGGAAGTCATCTATTCCCAGGTATTTTCCGTCGTTTCCACCACGTTCTGCGGCCCAATGCTCTTGGCAGTGTGTGGGAGGTGAAATCCGGGTATCAAAGCTAGCGGCACATGCTTTCGTCATCCGCTTCTGCACATGGCTACTCGTGTTGCCCTTGCCAGGTCATGTTAATCGTTGTTCATCTAAAACGCTTATTCGGATATTTAGCAAACAACCCGGTACTGATTTTCCGGATCGAGAAAAAGCAGAAAAGTTTGGATGACGGCCATCGAGCCATGGAGGGAAACCAACCACGAGTCAGAACGCTTTTGCTGTAGAGACGACTGCACGGTACGTGCCTCAAACGCCTCGAGTCACAGCTCATAGGCGAGAAAGAGTCTGTAGAAATACACAAATACATTCGTGAATGGTGGCGTGTCTACATACATACAACAATGCCAATGCTATGACGGTCCACAAGATTCAAGAACTCTGGATACTGGATCAACTAGTACAATCAGTTCATCGAACTGTCGAGCAACAAGAGAGGTGTATCCGCACCAGGAAAACCATATGCGTATCGAAAACATGCTAACAACCCTCCATTCAACAATTGCCACATCCACTCATTAGAACCTCTCTCAACTCTGCGCTCAACTCCGGTATTCCTACCGCTTCCACTGTCGGCTGGCTTTGAGCTCGACCAGGAACAGGCTTGCGTTTCCGGAGAAGTCCGCCGTTGCCTGCTCCAGGGATTGAAGACTCCGCACGACGGCGGTCCATGTCTTCAACGAGCTGTGCGAAGGAAAGAAAGAGAACTTCGGCTTGGGCAAGGGTACTGTCGAGTTCTATAGTCATGCTGAGCTCGTTGCAATACTAGGGGTGCAAACGTAGGATGGTCAGTCAGGCCAAGTCAGGCTTCGAATCGATGGGAGGAGTGGCATACCTTCAGAATCTCGTCGAACTATCCGAACGAGGAAATGTAGCATATATCAGCCACATGTGCGACAAGAGGAAGCAAAGGACCGCTGACCTCCACAAGATATCGAAGGATGACGTCGCGGTGGGATTCGAGGACAGCAAGAGCCACGAACAGAACAAAATCGGCGGTGTAGTAATCGGTCCACAGGACTTCCCATAAACTCAACACATCTTCGAAGGGGAACTCGCGCTTGAACGATATCAGGACCCATCTAGAGTCAACAGGCAGTCAGACAGGATTACCACATCAGCGAAAAATGGCTGTCATACCGGAAGCAGAAAAATAGGTTCAAACCGTCGGTTTTCTCTACAAGGTAGACCATTGGATCAGCGAACAATCGGCCAGCTCACAGCGTCGAGCCATGCTTACCGAGGTGACGATACAATTCTGGATCCATCATCTCAATCAGCTGCTGCAACGTCGACAACTGCTTCTTCATCCCACTCTGGTCCCTGAGGAAGTTCTTCTTCATTCGGTTCATGACTTCCACAAAACACCAAAACGTCAACCCTTCGTCGGCGCCCATGACCACATAGATCGGAGCACAAAGATCCGACATGCCCTGCACGTATCCTTCATACCCTTCGGTCAGTGAAACGTAACAGCGAAATCGAGAGGTAACATCGCCAGCGAGGCACAAACAGAACACGAGAAACGTGAATGTCGTCCTATAGAAATAGAAGGAATAAGGGATGATAAAACATACCGAGTTCCTTCTCGTAGAAGTTATAGGTAAGGAGAATGCTGCCAAGGCGGTCGATATGCTCATTTGATGGAGACTGAGCACCAATCTCTTGTGGAGCTGGAGAGATGGTCGAATATCGTCGGTGCAATTGTTTTTCAGGATCGGAACTTGGTGATGGGGCGTTTGGCTGGGATGCGAAGAGCGGATGAGATCGGTCTGTGCGTCTACAGTCCACATCTATCCGATGCCGCTCCTGTAAAATATAAATGAGCCCTGGAGGAAATATAGGAAATAGATGGAGGACGTACATCGATGACATCTTGGCGGTCAAATACTTCGGGAATCCCGAACCACTCATCCTTTGTCTGATGGTATGTCAGCAGCTTCTCCTCCCACTTACTCTTCCTCTCCGTTTCACAAACATCCCACTCATATACCCCTAGCATGAACGGCCACACTTTCCTCCTCACCGTCCCCTTCTCGTCCACTCCCCTTCTGAATACCGCTGCTTTCATTTCCTCCCTCGGAATTGTCGGTCTCCCGTTCTCATCGAACCAAGAGGCCCAAGTCTCTTCATCGATAGGATGTTTAGGATCTCTCGAAGACTTGGGCGTAGGTAAGTTCGCAGTGGTATGCAAGAGCTCGAAGACGCCTAGCTCAGATGTCTCTTCCGAGACAGTGGCCGAAGTCGAAGCGGGAATGGCCTGTGCTTCCCGTCGACGAGCACGTTCGCCCTCTTCGGCTACGATGCGAGCCCACCGAGCAAGGTATACTCTTGCACTTTCGAACTCGCCCACACCGCCCTTCTCAACCCAACTTCCCCATTCGAGATCACCGTTTGCATTAACAAGGCTTCTGACGGGGTCAGGAAGATGCGGGACTATAGGCTTGGCCAAAGGATGAGAGAGTATATTATGAGCCGCATGGCGAGTGGCACGAGTGATATTGGCAAATGACTGGAGAAGGGCCATGCGCGCCTGCGAAGCCGATGGTGAAGCTGCTGGAGGCATCGACCGATGAAGTATGGATGAATGTTGAGAGTAAGGGTTCTGCACGCCAGGAGTAGAGATTGGACGTGGTCTGCGATGGGAAGGCACAGGTGAATGGGAATTGGTGTATGACGAGCGAGCTAGTATGTCGTCAACGGCGTCATCCGAGAAGAGATAGGTAGAATGGGCCTCAATATCCGCCTTCGAGGGGTCCACGAGAAAGAGAGTGGGTTGCAATGTCGAGCGCAGGAGATGAGCATATGTGCGAATACGGGCGAGGAGGTCATCCCCTCCCCATGAAGTCACAGGCCGGCCAGTGGCAGCCTGGGCGGCCGCGGAAGGAGGCGGGGGATATGAGGTTGAAGGGGGAGAATGAGACTCTACCGCGGGACTCTTGGGCACAGTGAACGAGCGAGATTCATCGTCGTGAAAGTGGAGGGTAGGTAGTGTGGCACCGTTGGTCAGGTTGATGCCAATGGAGCCGTCTACGGAAGGAGGTGTGAGTGGCACTAATGCGGAAAGAGAACAGAGCGCTCACACCACGAGCTGAGCGAAGGCGGAACAACGATGAGAGAGTAGATGGAGCTGAGAGGAACAGAAAATGCGTATGATTCAGGTCTCGATGTCGGAAGTTCAATAAGAACAGCGTCTAAAGCCAAGTGTCAGTGACTGGACTGTCGAGGAGAGCACACGCCGCACCTTCATCATCCGATTCGTCCAACACAGGTCGGTCCTCCATACGCAAGAATTTGTCCCATTCTCCCTCTCCCTTCTCGCTGAGTAGCGTCTCCGGGATCCAAGCCAATAGGTAGGTCGCGGTGAAAGCCTCCTGAGATAAGTCATGTAAGTCATGTTCAAGCCACACTCCAGCCATGAGTGCATTGCGACTAGACGCACCCTCTTCACGATGACAGCAAAGCCAGGGATATTATCTTTGGAGTATGCAGTAGGGTTAACATACACCTTGGACTTTGCATATATAAGCCTGTATTTAGCATCGTCTCGAACATCTGAGCTGGAGGCGGCCTCCTCTGGATCGTGCTTGATCTCGACCATGTCGGGATCGGAACCGACCTGAGAACTCAGCGTGAGAGGGTGTTCGGATAATTTGGAGAGTAGAACAGACAGAAAGGGTGGTTATGGATTCTTCGAGAGAGCGATGGTTGCCTCCACCCATTAAATACCAGGATCGAAATGACTCTACTCGCAGCAGGAGCTGAACAAGACTTGCCTGCGCGCACCGCGCCAACCGCGCTCGGTGCCACATTACGTCATGCCGGCCCGCCACACGCCACGCGTACATCTCGACGACCGAATGCGCTCGTCTCGTCTTTGCTCTTCCCTTGATGGGCTGTCTAGAGTTGGAACGGTGAACTGCTTTTGGTTTAACGCTCCTCAATGTAAACAAACTGATATACAGCTCAAACAGCGCACACTCAGTCTCTGTGATGTGCTGTGGCACAAAGCTGGCTCGGAAAATGAAGTGTTCAGTACGTCTTCGAGGGTGAACACGAGGCTCACTGTTTCACAGAACGTGCCCGGACGTGTTCAACTTGTCTTTTGTCTCTGTCCGCTCTCGTTCTCTCTTCGTCAACACTTCTTGGAACGCTCTTATCCCTTTGACTCTGCGTAGTATTATCACTCCTTCCTACCCGACGTACGAGCAGGAACTCATTGACTATAATAACATGGCGAACAGCGACTCTCCCTCTTCTCGCTTGAACACTACCACGCGTAGCGATCTCTGGTTTGCTGACGGAAACATCATCATCCAAGTGACCTACCCAGACAAAACACAAGAGCAACTGTACAAGCTCCATCGTGGCGTCTTGGGTCATCATTCCTCCGTTTTCAAGGATCTCTTCGAAGTCGCGTCTGCCAATGGATCACAGACGTTCGAAGGTCTCCCCTTGGTCGAGTTGCACGATGACCCGACCTCCTTGGACCAATTTTTCAGAGCTCTTTACGATCCACTTTCGTCAGTAACTCATACTTGCTTCTTCGTTTACCTTGAGGACCGTGTTTTCTGACGAGTAGCCGCAGCCATATATGTCACGACAAGCACGAGTCAGTGTCGCTGCAGAAACTCGACCCCTTACTGCGCTTGAGCACGAAGTATAATGTCGAGGACTGGCGAAGGCGCATCATTGCTTTCTTTGAGGCGGAGTGGCCTACGAGTCTCAAGGGCTGGGACGCTCTAGAGCTCGAAATTGATACCCTCATCAGATCCAAGGGTTTAACGGGACACGCCATAGATGAACATCTCCCCGAGCCAGGTAGGCCATCGGAAGTTATTTTGTAAGCATAGACCTCTGAACAACCATTGCATCTACCCTAGCTTTTGCCATTCGCCTTGGCCGCGAGTGTGACGTTCCAAGCATTCTGCCTGCTACCTTCTACCACCTCTCGCGTATCCATCGCACCAAACCTGAAGGTCTTTACAACTTCTCTTTCCGTAATGCCAACCGCGCCATCCTTACCGCCGAAGATCTCGATGCTCTCCTTGCCGGCGTACACAACATCCGTTATAAATTCGTCAAGATGCTTGCACCAGGTAAACTCGGTTACCACTGGCTCTATCCCGACGGGAGCGCCTGTGTGGGTATGGACAGTCGAGGACGTCATGTACCGGCGGAGGGCTGGTGGGGATGCGAGGAGCGCTTGAATGATTGGTGGACCAGGGAGTGTACGCCGATCGTATTTGAGACGCAGTTGGTGGACCCGTTGGATGATTTGAAGAAGTTGCAGAACAAGGCGAGGACCGTGTCGGATGGTGTCATATGTGCTGGGTGTCAGACACATTTGATCGGTGCGCTGGAGAAATACCGCGAGACCATTTGGAGTGATTTACGCAAGGATTTCTTGCTGGTAAGCCTTGTTCACCCTTTATCTCTTATCTCAATGTTGACCACGAACTGCAGTAACTCCGCCATGTCCGTATCCGGGAAAAACACATCTCGCACGAGCGCGTTACAATGTTCATAGGCGACCCCATAGGGAGACCACCAACGACAGGTCCTACATATGCTTTAACACTACAGTAATTAATTCGGTCTAGCGTCCCTCCCATTAAGGAGTAAGACTACCACCCTATATGGTAGAGGACAAAAGTATACTGTACAAAACCTTCACTGCTGATATCAGTCAGTCGTCCGCATCGATCTCTCGTCTTTTCTTTCCACTTGTAGAACTCGCGGCCGTGTCTGATGTCGGCCCTGGTTCATCTTCGCTCCCGTCTTCTCGTCCCCTCTTGCGCTCGTTGACCGTAGCCTTGTTCGCAGCCTTGTTCGCAGTGGTTTCATCCGGATCGTGTTGTTTCTCGAGCCGGGCTTTCTCCCGCTTCCGCAGGTTGTCCCATTCGGTCTGTAAATGCATCTTGAGCGCAGGTAGATTTTTCTGCGGTTTGTGACATCGGAAGCACACGAGATCCTCTTTGAGAATGGGTTCGTACTTCGAGGGTTTGAGCTCTGCCATCTGTCGTAACGAGTATCATTTACCAGCATCAGTTCAAAACTCCCGCGAAGCGATCAGTGAGTAGGGGCCACAATTGTCGCTTGTCGGATCCAATCAGGCGCAAGAGGATAGTACCCAGGAGACGTACCGTGTCGAAATACAAAGATTCTGCATCGAACAGGGACACGATATCTTCTAGGTGGAGGAAAAACCCAAGTTTGGGATGGAACGAGTTGTAATGTTTCTTCTTTTTCATCGCAGGCGCCGTCAGGTCCGCGGAGATCACATGCAAGTGCATATGTCTATCGCAGATAGTTGTCTGAGCACCCCCCGAGTCAAGCCGCATGTAGGAAGGTGATACAACTTACTCCATAGACTGCACCGCGTGAAACCCCGTCCAAACCTCCCACACAAACCCATACCTGTCCCTCATCTCCTCTTCGATATCTTTTTTGAGCTTCTGCGCCTCGTCTCTGAGCCCGAATATCACCTCTCTTGCTTTTTCTCTGTTTTTATTCTTAAGCAAGGTACGCAAGGTGGCCAGATCGAAAACGTTAACAGAGGTGGAGGGGCGAGGAAGAATCAGGAAGTGGAAGATGGATTTGGGGTAGCAGTCAAAGATAGTCAAAGTCGTTGGGGTATGTGAATAAAGGATAGAGGAAGGGAGTGTGCTTGGGTTAGATTTTTGAGCGTAGGATCGGAGGAGGGTTAACGCTGGCGGTGCCATCTCGCCAAAGGGTTCCGAGTCGATGTGCCCTGATGCCCTGACAAGATTAAACAGCCCGTGTTTATATCAGGCACGCAAATGCAGAGTAGATTCGGGAAGCAGAATAAAGCAAGATTGCTAGTCTGCGACGGTGAAGGTGGGGTTCAGACCAAGTTCAGACAACGCTTGCCACGGACGCTCGCTCGGCGTCGACCTGCGTCGACGCGATCGGTCACATCATGACAGGCTGTGACGCGTGACAGAATCGGACAGGTGTGACCCAAACATCCAGTAAATTGGAAGTCAGTTCCTGCGTATACTTGACCATCAAGCACAGATACAAGGACTCTTGCCATCTGAAAGTTCGGTCACCTCATCGCGCGCAATTGGTGTCCTGAGATCGATATGTGTATTTTCGAGGGGATGAGACATGTGCATAATGATATATTGGTCGCAAAAGTACAGAATGCCGTCTTCGTCTCCAGATCATCTAGTTGGACGCAAACTTAGGCCTGGAAAAGGCGGAGGGACCGAACCACTGGCCCTTGAGCTATACGAGCAAAAAAAAGTGAGTGATGAAAAGACGATTAAAGAGCGCAAATCACATACGAAATATTGGTAATAGACCCAGGGGAAGAAGTCCTAGGTAGGAAGGAATGTGGCGGTTAACGTCCGTCTGAAGAGAGAAGGAGAAAATGGGCTTGCCTTCTTCATGTGGTAGAACAGCCTTTGAGGCTGCTTCTGGTCACCGAGATACCCAGCAAAGGTTTCCGAGGGGACAAGACCATACTTGAACTCAGCGAGCATGAGTTGACCGTAGCCAGTGAGGAGCTGTACATAAACGGGTGAGAAAATATCCGAACGGTCAGGAAGAAATACGTACAGGGCAGCTAGTGTAGCCATCATATCTCGCGGCACCAACCTTGCCGGTGTCCATGAATTGGAAGAGGTTCTCAACTACCGCGCCCAGGTTAGCGGGAAACAGAAGATACATATTCGGAACGACACTTACCAAGGACAGGTGCTTGAGAGGCAATGGCTGCAGCAGTCTTACTTGTGGGCAACGACGAGGCATCTCCCAACGACCAAACGTTCGAGAATTCAGGCTTATTGTGCTGAAGAGTACCAGCGTTGACATCAACCCAGCCTGCAGCATCCGCGATGGGCGATCCCTTGAGGACATTGATAGGGCCCATGGGAGGCACGGCATGAAGGAAGGTGTAGTCTTCGGTCACTGTGGAGTTGTCCGTTAGGTTCTTGAAGGTCGCCTTTCGGTTCGCCGCATCGACTGAGACGAGGTTATGCTGGAATTCGGCACCAACGCCACGTTCTATCCTCAAGTCGTTCAAGGCATCGGAGTACTTCTTGACACTGAACATCGAAGGCATCCCAGTCCTGAAATCAATCTGAATGTTGTCCCGACGACCTGTCCTTCTGTATCTGTCCCAGGCCATCCACATAATCTTTTGAGGGGCTGTGTCACAGGGATCAGCGTTATTGACAGTCCAGATGAACTTGGAATTCAATCATGTCGAGCACTTACCTCCTGCACATTTGATGATACCCTGCGGTTGTGTGAAGATGGCTCTACCCGAGCGAAGTGCGTCGATGTCGCGCCAGACCTTGTCGCAGGTGTTATAAGAATAGATGGACGAGACGCCAGAAGACGGGTCAGCGAGGGCCTTTGACAGGCCTTCAATCTGGTCGAAGTTGGATTGGAGCCCTGGTGCGACGATAAGGGAGTCGTATGAGAGGGTTCGTCCGGAGCTGGTGGTGATGGAGTTGGAGGTTGGGTCGAAAGACTGGACATTCTCCGAAATATGGCTGAGGTGGGATGGAATGAGACTAGAGACAGGTCTGCGAAGTTCTGTCTTCGTCTTCAGACCAGAGCCGACCAGTGTCCTTTGAATATCTCAATGTGAGGCTCCGCTCTGATCAGATGTAGGCGTGTCAGGCTGAACACGCACCATCCAGGCTACAATGCATTGATTAGACGGTATGATCACGCTGATATACAGGTAGAAGAGGAGCACACACCTGGTAATGGTGATACTCGGCTGAGTCTATGATAGCGATGTCGCCTTCGTTCAACGTTTTCCCAGCAGCTTTGAAGCGGTTGTATAGCTGATTCGCAGCAGTAAGCCCTGCTGTACCTGGATATGATGTGGCTCAATTGTAGACATTCAGTCTGGTAATGAAGTGATGCAGAATAGACGCACCAGCACCAATCACCACGACCCTGTATTTATCCTTCGTCTCAGCTGTGCTTGCACAACGCCTTCCGAGCGTGCGAAGCGTCAGACCAGATGTTACTCTTCGAGAGGCAAGCATAGTTGTTGGCGAGACTAATGAGACTCTATGAATGAGCAAGTCGTACAAGTCCTTTGGAGTGGTAGCTGTTTATAAGAAGCCTGGCTGGCCGAGAATTAGAAAAGGCTGAGAAATGTTCTTCATTTTTCACGCCCACCCGAGGAGATTGCGACATCATGGTGAGCTCGATCAAAGCCCGATTCCACAGATCGCCACTATCTTATCAGAAACAATATTATAATAATACCTCCCACGTGGCGCTGATTCCGAGAAAATGGTTGTCGCACGCTTTGGTGCATATTTCAGCGTTTTTCAGCACCGGCAACCAACGATCACTTTATTGTTTGCTTCCAACAATTGCGGCGTCTGCACATCATAGGTTGTTGTCCTACCTGGCCATAACACATTCTTCCCTCAAACTACCTATTTCCATCAGACCCGTGATACCCGACGCCTCGGAGTGAATTGAACATCTTGAAGCAGGGGTGTTCTAGGGGATATGCCTCCTTTCGAAAGTGCGCCGCTAGAATGAAGCAATCCATTCCAGGCGTACAAACGACTCCTCGCTATCCGGGACGTCTCTTGACTTAGCCTGGTCTCACGAGGAACCACTTATACGCGACATCAAGCCTCTAGTTCTGATTATCGTCACGGCACCATCCTTGATAGTCTCTCCGGCTCACGGTGTTCGAATTACTGTGCACGAGCTCAGGAAACATATACATTGACATGAAGACCTAAAGGGATCTGTCAATACAGCCGTCGCCTCGAAAAACTTGTTCATGTCCACTTGAGGGAATTGGTAGAGTCCAGGCGCTATCTGAGCGAGATATTATCAGTAGATTCTGGAGTCGATGCCCTGGGGCCTGCAAGCGAGAGAAGAGTTTACCTGCCGCCTAGGTGCATGAAAAAGGGCGAAATATGTATGTAGTTTCTGCATCTACATGCCATATCGTCGATTTTAACGTAGCATATGGACCAACTAGGTACTCAGAACCACGATGAAATCTTCGCATTAGAGAAGGTGAAGGAAGGGCCGAGCAAAGGTCGTGAATGGGAGCTGATAGTGAAGCGATCATGGCGAAGTGGGGGCGATTCGTGCAACAGCATTATCGCGCCGAAGAAGACTTCTTTACCTGAGGCTTACCTTCTGTGGAGGGTAGATGCTTGAACATGTACAGAGCAGACGTGCGGCGACAGTCGTGTTGTCCATTTTCTGGGATAACCATTACTGTATTCTACCGCGCGGGCCACCGAGTGTATCAGACGTTTTTACGCATAGGGATAATATTTTCCTAGAGGTAGGTTAAGGACAAGGTTAAGAAGAGGAAGAAGCACCACCGAGTCATGGGTGTGCCCCCAGTTTATATCCTTGATTCCCATATGTTCGACGGTGTCTCAGTGTGGACCGGTCTCAACCACATTGACCTTGACAACGAAAACGATGCGACAAGCATATCCCATGTCCCGGACACGATCATGATGTAGATGGCCGTGGACCGTGTTGAGTCCCGCTATCAGTCATCCTTGCATGCAGAACAGGGAGCGCCATCAAATTTCCCAAAGCGCGAACACAGATTGCATCAAACAAGGTACAAGCTTGTGTAGCAGATGGGTATGATGCAGACTACCTCTGTGTATCGCCTGCAGGAGGTTGCTCCGACCTTTGATGGAGTGAGGGAGAGTGTCACCACAGCCAACAACATTCAAATGCCCGTGATCAATGTGACGATCCGCGGCCGCCGCAGAGAGAAATTAGGATTGCTGGCCATAGCAAGTGCCGAGATGTAGAACGCAGAAAAGTAGAATGAGGATAGATAAACGCCAACCGTCGAGTCCGTCACTCGACTTACGCTTTGAATGTCGAACAGGTCCTGTGCCTTATGCCACAGCGCCGTTTAAACCCCGCCGGTCACAGCCGCTGGTATCCAAGCACCGGGCCGGCGACGCACAGAATGCAACGAAGACAATGGCCGGAAGCACTCTTGACCTCAACGACTCGAACGATCACCACGACCGTCTTCTCTCTCTCTGTTCTCCCTTTCTCGACAGCAGGCCTGTCTTCCTGTCTTTATACTTTCTGGGTCTTTGTATCGAAACGCTAGCGGGTCTAGCATCACCATCTCACATCTTAAATCATACTTCATATAGGCCGCCATGACCTCAGTGCGTCCGAGTCGCTCCCTGGCAAACGGGCTTCCTCAGGGCCCTCGATCACGCTCTGTTGGACGGGACAGGGATAGAGATAGAGGCGGAGCTCGAGATGAAGATGCCTACGCTCCTTCCAGCTATACTAGCCGCTCGGCGGCGGCGGCACCACCTGTCCCAGGTCTACCTCGACAAATTCGTCCCCAACGGTCCATCGCGACCATATCCTCTCGTACCCAGACCAACTCAGATTTTACTTCTAATACTTACGAACGCAGCCGCGCTCGCGAGCCGTCTCTCCCTCGTGGTGGTCGTACCCCCAGGGACGAATACGCATCTGCATACGCCCCCGCCGGGTCCAGCGATATGCCTCGCGAACGCTCTAGGTACCGAGAAGACCGCGGCTCGATCTCCTCCCACTCGAGTGCCTCATCTGGCTCGGGCTCGTCTTTCCTGGATAGGATGAAGTCGAGGTCGGGCTCGGGGTATGCCTCTTCGCGTACGAGTTTGGAGAGTGAGGCGGAGATGCCGAAGGGTAGGGGCGGTAGCGCAGTTGAAGGGAGGGGTAGGGGAGGTTGGTTGAAGGAACGCGAGCCGGTGCAGGAGCCTCCTTCCCCAGACTATGGTACATCACCCGTCCAATATAGGTCTGTTCTTGTACTCACGTTTGACGTCGGAACATCGTATATCTTTGTAGAGCCTGAGCGGCAGCCTACGAATGCTGGCAGCAGCGAAGGATACTCGATTTGGAGTCGCGTCGCAGAAGCAGCAAACACGCTCACCGTCAATGTTAGTTTGGCATGGGCCACAAACGTCGCCACCTACTCCGGTGAAGGTGTGTTCTATTCTTGTCAGAGCGCCCGCTGCAGTATTGCTGAACTCCCGAGTTTCTATCGTAGAAACGCCGCCCGGACAAGAATCTCGCCTGACACGCGCCATGAAAGCCTATCACCTCGAGAAGGCGCGTGACCCCTCGGATCTTCCAGATTGGCTTTTCGACGAGCACGAACGTCGTCCTGCCCGTCCTGTTGCGGGTCGCCCTACTCGCGGCAGCACCGAACGCGACCGTAGCGATACCGGTCCAGTTTCGTCCTCTCGGCGCGGTCAAGGGCTCAGAGACATCTACGACCGTGTCGAAGCTTCGTCTCCTCCCCCGCTCGCTCAGCGCGCACCATCTCGTTCTCGCTTCCGCGACGCTGACGCCTCCGAGGAAAGGTCGTCCAAGGCCAACGACCGCTTGAGAGCAATTCGTGAAGCGAAGCGAACCGCCGTTCAACGCAGCGCGACGTCAGTTTCTCGATCTGACGAAGGAGATGGAGGTCGTGGAGATCGTGGCAGGGATTTCGGTGGGGAGCGTAGTGTTCGTGCGCCCATGAGTATGCCTGAGCCCGCGGCCGTGAGACGCCCTGTGAGAGGTGGATTGCCTGCGCGACCTATGCCCGCTGCACAGAGAGTTTACTAGGGCATATTGTTGTATGCATGTTATTGGTTTGTTTTTCTTTTGGGCGTCTCTATATCTCTAAATCCTCGAGATGTATCATTATGAGGTTTTTTATGAGGATGTATTGATGATGACGTTGGGAAGGGATGGTGTTTCGGGCTGCTGTGGGCGCGACAGGCTATATTCCGTTCGGCAGAAACAAGCCAAGATCGGCCTCAAGACATGATGAACTTTCACAACACCCAACGATCCTGACGGTGGGCTTCCATGATATGGGGTTAGCACTTATTTATGGACATGAAGCGACAGTGGAGCGTATATCGAGGGTGACGCGGCTGTCCCGCCGCTGTGTTGCGGGGTGCAGGTGATGGATTGATTCTTCACGAAACGCGAGAGGTTGAACGTTGAACGGGTGCTCTAGGAGGCTTTCGCGAAGCGATTGGAAGACAGAGGTAAGTCATAACGCGGTAATTTTAGAGGAGATCTAAAGATAGACGGCGAGTGATTGGTTCGAGAAGCGAACCTGGAAAAATGAGCTTGGCGTCCATGGACGTTCCACTGAGTCCGAGCGTGGGGACGGTGGGCAGAAGGAGAATGATTGGAGGGTCCGTTGCGACAGCGTAACATGCCATCGCCGCTGATGCCGAATAGACCGGCTTAGCGCTTTTGGATCTTGTATTGGCCCTTGCCCACCCATGCTGATTGCACGCACACATTAGTGATCCAGCAAATTGTTTGCACGACGCGGCCTCGAAGGGTCGACGTTGACCACAGTTTCTAAATATGGACTACGGTGAGTGGGGAAGACCGCTGGAAAGGGGCGGTCGATTGGTTGCGCTGGCGACGGCTCACGGGGATTCTGTCTAAAGAGCTTCGAGGATCATCAGACGCCTGTGCCTATGGGTAACACGCCCCCGAGATAGCTATCAGCATCCTTGGCAGGCGGTGGCAACGAATCAAATGCTTTGATGAGGCCTTTACCGCTCTCTCGTTCCCCTCCCGATACACAAATACCCACCCGTCGCACACATGTCTTCCCTTTTCCTTCACCCCCCTTCGTCTTTCTCTTCCCCCCTCTTCTTCTTTCTGCCTCTTTTCTTAGTCGAGTTGACTCGTCTAAGCCTACTTTCTTTCACGTGAGGTATGTGCTCCTCCTCCATGGCTCTAAATATTCATTGTTATTCGAGCTATCAGCTTACCATGCTGCACGGTGGACAGATCTCCCTCTTTGACAGAGAAACTTCAGCAATTTCCCTCTGAGAGGAATTCGCGCGCACTCTTGTTCAAGACACCCCACACCTCGACGGTCTTCCCTTTCTTTCAACGACTTCATTCCTTACCTTTACGATGGTCAAATTCACTTCCGTCCTCAGCGTCGCTGCTCTCTATGCGGGTGTCGTTTCTGCCGCTCCGATGATGGATGACAGCAAACTGTAGGTTTCTCACGATCTTGTTCCTGGTCCCACGGAATACTCACGAATATTTGTCTTGTGTTTTGGATAGTATGGCGAGAACCGACTACTCCTCGAGTTCGAGCAGTGGATGTTCCAGCGGCGATTGCGGCTCCTCAGGCTCTTCGGGCTACTCAGGCTCTTCGAGCTCCTCAGGCTCTTCAGGCTGCGGCTCGTCGGGCTGCGATGCTGCCGCCGCATCTTCTAGCATGATGATGTCCGCGAGCTCGATGATGGCTTCCGCCTCCTCGATGATGGACTCTGCCACCGCGATGATGACCTCCTCCGTGATGATGGACACCACTTCGGCGGCAATGATGTCGGAGGCTACATCGACCGCTATGGCCTACGCCACCTCTTCTGCTGCCATGGGCTACGCCACGTCCTCTGCTGCAGCGGCTTACACCACGTCAAGTGCCATGGCCTACGATACCTCTATGGCGTACATGACCACCTCTACTGCCGCCGCTATGACTACCTCCGTTAGTTACGGTTCAGGTAGCTCGAACTGGGGTGGCTCTTCTTACTCGTCTTGTGTCCAACGTAAGAGCAAAGTTTAATACTTCACCCGGACAGTTGAAATCTGATACGCTTTTTTCGCTAGAATGCATGGCTTCTTTCGGCGGCGCTTCTAGCATGACTCTCGCTTCGTCGACTGCCACCGCTACCTCTGGCAGCTCCGGAACTGGCTCTACGATCACCGTGAGTTGGTAGAACGCCCCGAAATCGATTTGGACTAATCAGGATGGTTCCATTTCAGGTTATTGTCGCCCCTACTCAGGGTGTTCTCCGTTACGTGCCTTTCGCCGTCAACGCGAGCGTCGGTGACACCGTCCAGGTACGAGCTTTTTCCAATATTTGTCTCGTAAACGCCTTTCTGACCCTACTCTGTATTTCAACAGTTCGTCTGGGGCGCCAACAACCACACCGTGACCAAGAGCTCTCAGCTCGAGGTTTGCAACAAGACGAGCAACGCACCCTTCGCTTCCGGCACTCAGAACCAGTCCTTCGTCTGTTAGTACTCGTTTCTTCTATGCATTGAAGTGACTTATAGGCTGAATGATATGGTATAGTCTCCCAGGTTGTCAACGACACCAACGCCACCTTCTTCTACTGTGGCACTCCTGGCCATTGCCAGAAGGGTATGTTCGGTATCATCAACCCTCCCAACGCTGCCGGTGCCGCCTCTTCCGTCGCCAGCATGATGCCCGCCATGGCCGCGAACGACAGCGCCATCTCTGCATCCATGACCTACACCAACTCGATGACCGCCGGATCCGTTGCCGCCGCTAACTGGGGAGCCAACATGGACATGTCCAACATGCCCGCCTGGGCACAGTCTGCGTTCGCTGAGAACGTCCTGTACACCCGTGCTTTCCTCGGCGCCAACCCAGACGTGCTCCAGTCTGACGGCTCCGTCGACCTTTCGGCCGCTTCGACGAACGCGATGATGCTCCCTCAGGATGTTGCTGCTGCCGCCGCTTCAGGAACTAGCAGCAGCTCTGCTGCCCAGTCGGCGACATCTGCGACCAGCTCAGCCGCAGCCGCAGCCTCGTCTTCGAGTTCCGCAGGTACTTTGGGCGCGTCAACGAACGGTGCAGGTGTGATGAGCGCTTCGCCGGCTATGGTTGGTATTGCTGCCGTCATCGTGGCTGCTCTTGCGTTGTAAACGCCTTCATCACGGACTCCATGTCTTTTCCTCACTTTTTCGGTCTGTTGATATACCCCCCTTACCTTACCATCGATGGACGCTTAGACATGGACTCGGCTTGGTCGGACACTTTCCATATATCATTACGCTGTTACCTTTTCGTTAGTGCTTTTTGACCATCACATTACCTAGGCTGGGCAATTGTTGTCGCTTGTAGATCTTGCGCCGTCGCGGAACCTCCCCTCGACTGGGGAGCCGTTCACCTCTTTTTAGTTCGGTTCGTCTTGGACACTTTCTTACGTTTAACGCGTGTTTTTCTTCTTCCTCCTTTGGGACTCTTTAGTTATTGCTTTCGTTTTTCGTTGTGATCTCGCTTTTCCTTTTTTTTCGATGCTTCATGTTGTCGCTCACTACTAGCCTGCGATTGTTTGGCAGTTACTGTATCAAATGAACCAGGTTCACCGCCGCGCTCTTTGTGTGAATCCCCGTCTTCAAAAAACCATAAGTGTGAGAGGGCCCACCGTTTGCGAGCTTGTCCAAAGACGAAGTGCATCAGGAAGGACTGATGTGGCGTTGCGCCACACAAAACAAGGCAAGTTATGTTCGGTTCGAAGACCTGGTTGAAAGCCGTCGCGGTTACGATATTTAACACGACCTGCTTCCGACATAATGCGCAGTAAGTTCAACCACACAGGACAGTCCTTATATGTGCGGTCAACGCATATGTTCGAATTCGGCAGATCTGGCACTCATCTCCGCAGTCGACGACGCATCTCGCTAAGCAAAAACGTCGACAGATCTCGAGCGTCATGAGGAATTAAGGTTGCCGGAAGAGAATATTATCCTACTTTATTGAATGCCGAAGTGACAGAAACTACAAGGGTCTACAGATACAAAGGCTCTTCAACAGGGTCACCTCGGCAATGGAGATGCTGTTGGTGGTCTGAGGGTAAGCCGAACTTGCTGGTCGTTATGGTTGTAAGGAATTACTGTGTGACGGGCCTCAAACCTCGCTGACCTCTTTTGCCGTTCGAGTCCTCCACCAGAAGCTCAATTGTAAATGAATGCGACGGCGAGGTCTGAACAACAACGTTGCTGACTAAGCAAACGGGGCGCCACTTCATGCACGCCACAACTCACTTTACAACCCTTCTCTCGACATGAATCTCCATCATACTAGAAGCAGACGTTTCAACCGAAGATATCGTCGATTTCATCCCGCTTCTTCTTCTTCTTCTTGACCTTCTTGGGTTGTGGCTCCTCCGAACCTACAGACGGCGTTTTGGCCTTGACGTTGGTGGTGACGCTCTCGGAGGCAGGGTCTGACTGTTTGCGTTTCTTCACCGCTATACCAGATGAAGAGGAAGATGCTGAGAACGCGGGGGTTGGTAGGGATACAAGAGCTAATGCAAGTAAGGTATGAGTGTCAGATTTGGGATGAGGATGGTAATTTTGTTGACTGACGTATTGGTTTAGGAACCGTTGATTGGTTCGCGGTCGAAGACAACGACGGCAATGATGAGGATTGTAATTCGGAGTAAGACAGTGTCTCCTCCTCTTCCTCTTGCACAATTATCTGGTTCGCTGAGGTCGTCGACTCAGTCGTAATGTTGGCTCCTTCAGTACTTCTTGATGTCGCTTGGCCAATATCCTCGTCCCCAAGGTCCCCGTCCACCGTGACAGGTTCGCTAGGACCTGGGATCGAGGTCGGCAGGAGTTGTGGAGGTATTGAATTCTCGTGTCCACGACGCAGAGGTTTGACTTGAACCGCTCTCTTCGACTGAAGTCAGGGAGATGTATCAGTCAACTGTCTGCTTTCCCGAGAACCATTTTAGAGAGCGTACATCTAGAGACTGAAGCAGCTGGTGGCAGGCTGCATGCCAGTCTCGGATAAGCGAGCTAGCAGAGAGGAGAAGTTGGTCCAGACGGCAGGCAATGGCGATCATAGTCAGAGTCAGGTGGAGGAATGCGCCGTCCTGCATCACGAGTACGAAGAATCTGCCCAGGATGTCAGTTTAATGTAAAGTCATATTGTGCAAATCGACGAACCGGTAGATGTCTTGTAGACGAGAACGACTCTGGGGAACATCAGAGAGTGGATGACTAGATTGGGTCGATATTCGTACCTTGTCTAGGAGCTGAAAAGATAGTTCGAGCCGTCTCAATATATAGTGGAGGCTAGAAGCGGTAGGGCAGTGTGTCCAAGCACCCTTCAATTGCTTTGAGCTGCGTGAGTCCATGAGCACAGAGAAACTACAGTCGAACGTCGAACTACTCACTCACTTAACAGGTGCTTGCAATCCGTAAAACATTGCGCGGTTGTTTTCCATCATCCCAGTGACGTTCATATCTTGTAACCGACGACCATACCGACGCATTTCGCAGACACGCTGCCAAAACAGAGACATGCGATGTTGGTTTTTGCCTTTATAGTAAAGGCGTTCAAGGAGGGCCATTTCTGCTTGGTGTGAGGAAAAGATGGCCTGAGCGTCGCGCAGATGAGATTTTGCCCGCTTCAGAAAAATGTCTATGGCACTGCATGTTGGAGGCAAAATATCTGAGCGTGGTGTGGGTGTACATGGTGGAAGACGAAAGGGTTTTGCTCCAGACATGTTCGATATGAGCGCGTCCAGGAAACAATTTCGACTCCAGTGGCGAAACGGTCCGTTCATTTCCGGGGACTTCACAAGCTAATAAGCGCCGTTACGCGACGGTCACCCACACTGTCCTTGGCTTGCTTTCTTGCACTCTCTTGTGCGCTCGACTTGGCTATATTTCATTCGACCCAAATGACGACACCAGGGCAGGATGCTAAGTTCTTTCAGCGCGGTAAGATTCAGGTGCGTCCATGTAATCCTCTGCAGGTCCTGGTTTGGCCGCTCACCATGCATTATTGCTCAGGAATTCCGCGCGGAGTTGCAAGCCGCAGAGACGAAGGACAAGAAGTTCACTAAACGGAAAACAGTGCTAAAGAAGATTGTGGCTAACATCACTATGGGCAATGACAGTCGGTACCTTGGTCGCCTAACGTCGCGCTAGGCTGCATGCTTACCACCTGCTTACAGTGTCCGCTCTGTTCACTGACGTCGTACAATGTCTCGGCACACCTCTACTCGAGATCAAGAAGAGTAAGCTTACCTCTCTCTATATATCTGCTTGACTACCTCCTGACATCATGATATAGTGGTTTATCTATTTCTGGTGTACTATGGTCGAGCGAAAGCCGAACAAATACACATCGTCATCCCAAGCTTCCTTCAAGTCAGTCCATTTCGCGCTGTCCACTCATGCGACAACTAATACAACCCAGGACTGCAATGACCGCAATCCCCTTATCAGAGCTCTCGCCATCCGTACCATGTCCTACATACCTATACCCATCGTCATCGAGAACCTCACCGACCAACTCCGCCACCACCTCAAGGACCGCGACCCGTATGTGCGCAAGACGGCCGCTATCTGCGTTGCGAAACTCTACGCTGCTGATTCAAGGAAGGCTGAGAGGGGTGGGTTCGTGGAGATGCTAAGGGATTTGATGGTCGACAGTAACGCGACAGTTGTGGCGAACGCAATTGCTGCTCTGTGTGAGATCGGTGATCGCCCCGACGGCGTCATCTTCAAGCTGAACCTCACAATCGCGAATAAGCTAATCACCGCACTTAGCGAGAGCTCTGAGTGAGTGTTCAATATTCCTCTTCCTCGTTTCATTCCGCGTTTGGTCGTGATTCTCACATAGCGAAAGATGGGGTCAGATTTACATCCTGGACTCTCTGCTTCGTTACGTGCCAGACAACCACGGCGACGCACAAATGATGGCCGAACGCATCATCGTTCAGCTCCAACATGCCAACTCCGCCGTCGTACTCACCACCATCAAGGTCTTGCTGTACTTGATGAACTACATGGAAGACAGGCGGTTGATTGATTACATCTGCAAAAAGATGGGACCTCCGCTGGGTATGTCACCCCCAAACATGAAGTGTATGGCTTTTGATGTTGACCTCACCCGTGCCATCTCATGGGCGCAGTTACAATGCTGTCGTCTGGTCCTGAGGTTCAATATGTGGCCCTGCGGAATATTTTATTGATTATTCAGAGGCGACCGTCGGTGCTGAAGAACGACGTCAAGGTGTTCTTCTGCAAATATAACGACCCAATCTACGTCAAGCTGGCCAAGTTGGAGATCATGTATCGGTTAGCACGAGAAGAGAATGCGAAGGAAGTGCTTGCTGAACTCGAAGAGTATGTCTAATCCCTTCCATACGACTGCAGTATAGAGACTTACCCGCGTATAGATACGCCTCTGAAGTCGACATCGACTTCGTGCGGAAGGCCGTCCGGTCCATTGGCCGTCTCGCCATCAAAGTCGAGCCCGCCGCAGATGCCTGCATCAAATCACTGCTCGGCCTAATCGACACGAATGTCTCGTATGTTGTGCAGGAGGCCGTTATAGTCATCAAGGACATATTCCGTCGCTATCCCGGCAAGTACGAGGGTGTTATTCCTACGTTGTGCGAGCATCTTGATGCTCTGGACGAGCCGGAGGCAAAGTCCGCTATGATTTGGATCATTGGCCAGTTCGCCAACAGGATAGAAAACGCGGACGACTTGATGGACGATCTCACGTATAATTTCTTGGAAGAGCCTACGGAGGTATGTGGACCTTTACGAACGATCTACGACTGGCGCTGACAAAAAAAAATGGTTACCACAGGTGCAACTTGCCTTGATGACCGCTGTCGTCAAACTCTTCATTTACAAGACTACTTCTGATAGCGTGAAAGCCCTCGTTCACAAGGTTTTAAAGTGGGCCACAGAGGAAGTTGACAACCCCGACCTTCGTGACCGAGGCTTCATGTACTGGCGGTTGCTTGCGATTAACCCTTCCGTCGCAGGCGAGATCGTTTTAGCGGAGAAGCCTGCGATCACGACAGACTCAGATCGTATGGACAGAGGTGCACTCGACCAACTCCTACTACACACGGGCACGCTGGGAAGTATATACCACAAGAACCCAGAAGTGCGTCATTTTCACTCGAATGCATACCTTGGGCTGACCAACTGATATTTTCGTAGACCTTCATCAGGGGTGCAGCGGGCAAAGCTTTGACAGATAGTCCCGCCCTGAATGAGCACTCAAGACAAGTCCTCGTCCACCTCGCACGGCCAAAACTTCCCGCCCTTGGTCCTCTAGTCGTCTCAGGTCCAGGACCAATAGAACCCAACCAACGTCCCCCAACATCACCATCAGCTCTCGCAGCTGCTGGCAGCAAACCACCACCGCCATTGCCCGCAGACGCCGATGCCAACGGCAGCGGTGATCTCCTAGACCACGACGACAGCGGAGACCATGATCATGATGCGGATGGAGATGATGATATGTTGACGAAGCCGGCAGCGGCTCAGGTGGGGGCATTGAGTGATCCGTATGCATCACTGGACAGTGCGTTTGGTGGATACATGGCCGATGCTCCGCAACCAATGTCGATGAACTCGGGCACTGGTCAACCTTCACTGATCTGAATGAACGTGAACATAGTAGGTGGATGGACGGATTCAGACGGACGATTGCGGATTTGTATATCTAGTATCGTGTGTTCGTGCATGGATACATTTCGACTATATTGATACATTTGGAGGATTGAACCAGATGATGCTATACGACACATCACAGTCACGAAGAGAGGAGCTGCTTGATAGGACTTGTTATCCTATGTATTCCAGTTTTTGGTCGTAGAGAGTTATAGTGCTATAGGGAAGAAGAATGCGGTAAGTGGACGTTATTCACTGCGGAAATGGTGCGCTCCAACGTACCTCTCCGAGCCCATACATTCGCCGGTGATAACTTATCCGGACGACCTTCGTATCCTTCACATGAGACTCGTCAGATGCACCAACCGGTTCATGCATCACTATAGGCTGGGGGCCGCTCTGCACGACGTGAATAGGAACCTGATAGGCTCTGCTCAATGCAAGGATCTCTGGCTCGCCACCCCACACTCCCGTATCACGGATTGTGGCACAGTACGACTCAAACTCCCGAGGACCCATCATACCCTCCAAACCGGCACCTACGCCATCTTCGCCAGTGACAGAGGGGAGGAATGGCAGAAAGTCGTCTGGGTGGTTGAAGATGTATTTTGCGGCGGCATGACGAGTGGTGGCGTATGTGGCGTCCGCGGGTGGTATGATGCTGAGCAAGGCGAGTTGGTCGGCGATGGCGGCGTAGAGACAGTGACCATCGGGATTGATCTTATACCGCAATGAGCCCAACATTAGCGTGATCCAACAGTATAGATACCAACTAAACTCACCTCATACATCTCTAAACCGAGTTCATCGCATACTTTCTTGATGTCCTTCTCTTCCTGCTTCGCCTCACGTTCCAACCGAGCATCCGCTTCGGGGTCTGACGCTGGAGCAGCCTGTGCAAGCTCTGCAGCCTTCTTGGCCTAAAACGCATTGGTATATCATCAATAACCATATCTCAAAGAAGTGTATCATCCCTGACTCCTACCTGTCTTGCTTTGTGGCGCTCTTTACTGGATTTGTGCTTCTTACTGCTGTCCGAGTCCACAGAGGGCACAGAACCCACGGAGACATCGCGATTGTCTTGCATTTCAGAAAGTACGTTAGCTGACTCTTGTTGTACGGTCTCGTCTTTCGAGTCGAGCTGTGAGAACAGATCATCCATCAAGTCGTCATCCGGAACGGCGCTCTCGTCGGGGGTGGTCGATGGAGATGGGGAGAAGAGTTTCTTGACTTTGGCACGCTTGCTTCCAGCCATCGTGAGAGTTGAGGGTAAATTAAAGGTGTTGAGAATATGAGGGGATGTGAGGAAGAAGCGGACTGGTTCTCAAGTGGAGTTCAAGACAAGAAGATGGACAACATGGTTGGAGCCACCTGCCAATGCAGCCGGCGGTAAGAAGTATGGGGCGAGATAAGATAAGATGAGCGCCGGGCCTCGTGATATGTACTGGTCCGAATCTGATCATGAAATGCAGACCCTTTCTCAACTCGAACCAAATAGGACAGTCCCTCTGCCCTCATCCTTGTACTTGGTGTATTCCATATACCTCAAATCCTGGCCTTCTGCCTTCACTGGCTATAACTGTGGACTCTGCGCTGTATAGACAACACTGTTGCACAACGCGATGGCTTCACCTGCACCCGACTGTCTTGCATTGGCCTCTAAGCTTTCTGACCTTGCATCAAAAATATCTCCTGGGGATGACGAGGTCTGGAAAGAGATTACTCTCACTTCACAAGCTCTGGCGAATGGGCTACGAACGCGCTCGCCTGAGGGTGCGTGCCTGAGCAGATATCATATACGCCACCCTGGCTAACCTGGTTGATGACAGACTACCACACCGCTCTCGGTCGGAAGAAGTTGCCACAGACACTTTCGACAATCCTTCGACAGGCTGGAAATGGGTCCTCCACCCCAGGCCCTACTCAGGTTCCAGCCATTTTCGAGAGTCTAAGAGTAGGAGCCAATCTCTGTATGGAGCATGGTGAGTTGGATAGTCCATTGTAATCTATTTTCTCCCAATGAGCTGACTCGCAGGCAGATGAGAACAGAGGGTATCTTTTGGACTCGGGCTATATCGATGCAGTCGTTGCCATACTCAATTCTTACGCCGAACTCCTTCCTCCAATTCGACGTGACACTATCTTCCCACTTTCTGTACCCCATCTCAACATCATCAAGACCTCTATCGGTGTTCTGCTCAATGCGTGCATGGGCTATGGTGTGTTCGAGCATCACATCTTTTCAGACCCTTTCTGACGATGTTGATAAGATCCCGTCAAGTCACAATTGATCACATTGGAAGCACCGACTACCATATTGCGCCTCTCTACCGCCATATACCCCCCGGGCGCTTGGATACGGACAAAACCTGAAAACATAATTCCCGATGCTGCTCTTGAGGTAGCCAACGATACCCTCACGGAGGTTTGGACCATCCGAAGTACTCTATCCGAGTGGGCATGGCGAGCTATTACCGAAATCAAGGACGATGGTCTGTGTCGTCATTCTGTCCCTGACATGGTATAGCCTGCTGATAATTTTTGCCCATCAGCGCTCGATCTCTTCGGTCCTGACGAGCTGCCGCTCCTTGTGGTCCCACTATTTGGCTTCACCCGGCCTTACCCAACACCTACCTCTTTCTTCTCATCTGACTCGGCGCTCCGACGAGCGCTCCTTAACTGCGACCTAGAAATCCTGAAAGAGACTTGCTCACTTCTCGAATCGCTCACCATCGATGTTGAAGATATCCGGCTATCTCTAGCTCGCGGGATGACATTCCCGGACGAGCATGGCGGCGTCGGTTGTCTTGCAGAAATCTTGCGTTTTATCGATCAAGGCGACCATCACCCGTTGTGGGCGAGTGAATCTCAGGCGGAACAGACGAAGAAACAAAAGGCTTTTGACCTGTATAAGGCTGCGATGGTCAAGTCTGTGGTCGAGCTCGCGGGCGAGGAGAAGAATACGGATGTACTGTGGGATGAATCAGACCCGGAGAAGCCGGGAGGCGTTTTCATCTCGCAGATGGTGAATTGGATCAAGTCGCAGAAGAATCTCAAAGAACAGGACCGGGATGATCTTGTCATTTGCGCCACACTCAGTCTGGGGAACTTGGTTCGCTTTGGTTTGTCAACCCTCTTTATGTTCTTGTCGCTAGTAACTCACACGCGTATCGCATAGAACGCCACTCGGCTTTCCTGGTCGACGCACCCGTTTCGCTGTCGCCGTTCCTTGCAGCCTTATTAGAGCCTGACGCCGACATGAAGGTCAAGCACGGCGTGATCTCCCTACTCAAGCATCTCGCGTATGCACCGGCTTCGAGAGCTCCCTTGGGTGAAGCAGGAATCGTCTCCCGAATCATCGAATCCAATATATTCAAGGATACTTCCGACATCGTTGAGACCATCCAAATGTCTGCCATCGGGACTGTCAAACACCTATGCACCAACAATGGTAAAATCTCATGTTCTCTGTTACTGGAAGATGTGCTCACTAAACTGCACCATAGCCGATAATTGTTTCGCTTTGGTACTTCCATCCAGTGGAGGATCGTCGGAGGATACCGGATTGAACCAGATCCTGGCGCTGCTACGTCGATCAGACACCGTCGCCGTCAAGAGTGAAGGCACACGAGTCTTCGTGAACGTCATCCGTACATTGTGGTCTCAGGTGACGCCCGCGAGCGAGAAACGAACAGCTTCCATGAATGCGATCACTACACCCTCTGTGGCCCTGGCGCTCGCTCAGCTCATTGGCAGGAGCAAGAAGTATCCTATACTCATCAACGAGGGCATGGTTGCGTTGACGCTTCTCAGTCTACATGGTCGTGGTGGTATGCTTCATCTTAGTTCACCCCGTCTCCGTGAGCATGATTAGTTGACTTCGAATTGATATAGCCGACTATGTTCTCGATGCCATCACCACGCCTCTGCCAAAGGAGATCCAACCAGTCAACCCTCTACAGCCCGAAGAACCTTCGGACATCACTTCACCCATCTCATCTCCCGGTCGCGCACTCGACATGCTTGTCAGCATGCTCAGAAGTAGCGATGCTCGTATTCGCGAGGAAGTTCGTGTCAACGTCTGTACTTTACTCGGACAAGTCGGCCGGGAGGGCAATGTTTCGGCTGAGCGGGCGACGGAGCTGGAGAAGATGAAGGCTGAGGTGAGGCCAGTTTTGGAGAAGGTGTCGACAGCGGGAGAGGAGGAGACGAAGTTGAAGGGAGCAGCGAAGAAGGCGTTGCATCTGTGGAAAGGAAACAAGGAATAAAGGTGAAAAAAATAATTGGGTGACGAGAATGTATGACTTGGCCTGGGAGCTGCCATGCGTTAGGGTTTGGCAAATTTCTCCCGCCGCCTGCGGTTTGTATCAGTGGTTGACTCTGGAGTGTATTTTCTTTCTTCCCATATGTTGATTTGATGCTGGTTGTGCTTGTGTAGTAGCATGATGTATTCCTTGCTGTTCTGGTTTTCCGTTCTTGGTTAGACTTCGTGACGCTTACGAGGCCGTACGTCTTGACTCATTCTGGAGGGCCGTTATTGTCTCTGCTAGTAGAACAGTCCCTTACTTTTACGACTTTTACAACCAACGGTCCGATGCGGGATGACCATCAATATGAAAGTTGCTTGACTCGTCATGATTCAGACGGGCCAACTATAGCTTGAAGTGCCACAAAGTCCATTTCTAACGTGGAGTAAGTGCTATGATAGCAACTGCCCTCAGTTATCCTGAAATGTTTTGTATCCGAGTCGGGAGCCACAGGAAAAAGGGTCGATTCGGGCAGTTGGGCGCTTCGCCCTTGTCAGGCAGTGCCACACTGCTAGAATTTCCTTTTGCGGTCTCCATTATTGGTCAATCACACCGCCGAGTGACGGTCACTTGGTCTCCTCCTTCGTCCCCGGAATAACCGGACTCATATCACAGCTCCCATGAAGGCTCAGCCTTGTTCTGAGCCCTTTTACATGTTCGCGGATACATCGTGAAGCAGTGTTCGGAACGCTCGTGCGTCACAGTGAGTCGACCCAGCTTTCCCAAAGGCTGGAAGTATATAGTAAAGCCCATCGGTCGTTCAAGTTCAACATCGTCCTCAGTAATACCACCCCATCCTTTGCGACTTGAACGACACTTTCGACCTCTTAGTCAACCATGAGCAAAGTCGTCGTCGATATCTCTCCCAATGATAAGATTGCCACCATCACGTTCACACGAGATGCGACGCTGAACGCCATCACCAAAGAAGGTAGGTTTCCTTCATGCCATTCAACATAGGGTTGGTTACGCTCAGAAAGGCTGACGACGAGTCTGCTATGATTTAATGCCCAGATTACGATGCTTTCGCCATCGCTCTTCGGGAGATCGACGCCAATCCTGACGTTTTGGTGACCGTGTGGCAAGGTATGTACCAGCGAAGTGCAACTCCCACAAATTTATATATTGAACTTGTGTGATCTTCATAAAGCCACAGGGAAGTGGTTTTGCGCGTACGCATGACTATCTATCTTCTCCGCTTCTGTCAGATACCTAATAATGCCTCCTCTCTGATTTTTCAGCGGTACGGACGTGAAGTCTCGAGAAGCCACCGCACCGACTTTACGCCACAACTTCTTACAACGAGTCGCAGCTGCCAACACCGAAACGAGCCACGCAGTATGGTTCCGCCCTTCACCATGGACGTGTTTTCCTCCGTTGACTTCTCCCTTCTATTCGTCCAGTTGTATACACATAGCAAGATTTTGGTTGCTGCGCTGAATGGTCCAGTCATAGGTAAGTCCGGAATCTATCAAAGTGGCTGGAATTCAATATTAACAACCGATACAAACACAGGTATTGCTGCTGGTATGTGCATATATCACTGCTTCCGACTGGATGAGCTCATATCATTCGGCACATGTAGCCTTCCTGGGCAACTTCGACTTCATTTATTGCATGGAGAATGCGTGGCTTTCGGTGCCATTCGCTTTCCTCGGTCAGAAACAGATTTTTCATGGCCCTAATTCGTTGTGGCTAACTAGTCTTTCCACAGGCCTTGTGACCGAGGGTGGCTCAAGTGTCAGTTTCGTGAATCGCAGTAAGTGGCGTGCTGTGGTGTGCCAGTTCTCCACTCGTTCTCACTCGTGTTGGTTCAGTGGGTGTGGCAAAGGCAAACGAAACTTTGATTTGGGGCAAGAAGCAGACGTCCCGAGACCTGCTAGCTTGCGGCTTCGTCAAGTACATCATTGTCACTACCTCCTCATCTTAAACATAACACTAAATCTCTCGCTTTCTCACAGCCAAATATTTCCCCAACAAGACGTGGCTTCCTTCCATCGCGCCGTTCGAGATCTCCTCCTCTCAGAATTGTCAGACCTCGTCCCCAGCTCTGTCTTGGCCGTCAAGAAACTCATCAAGACCGGCTTGCGCGAGAAGAACGATCCGGACGCGGTCAATCTCAGGGAGAGTTTCGAGCAGGCTGCGAGGCTACATTCTGGGATACCGGCAGAGAGATTTCACAAGATATCGACGAAGAAGATTCGGCATAAACTTTAATTCTTGGCTACGCCATTAGTTCTGATTGTGTGTATCTTGTTTATGTAACTATTTCTGTCCATTTGGGTGGATTCCTTGGCTGAGGTCCGAGCTTCAGTGCTGATACGGAGGATACACTGGATTTGCACTGTTCCTATTGTGATATTTAGTTCAGGCACCGGCAATTACTTCGTTTCATTCAGGCGTCTAATCTTGTCTTTAGTAAGCCGAACAAGCTGTACCAGACGAAGTCTCCAAGTTGATCCTCTTGCTATATGTTGATATGTGCGAGTCGTGCAGGTTTTGCTTCCGTGCCTCCTGTTTGAGTCAAATTTCCTTCCTTCCTAGGAGTTAAATGTTGAATCCGCAGCGTTATCTGACTTGCAAGGTACCTGCTCCGATCTTGAGTTGGCCGTTTTGCTTCGCCGGGTCTTGACATGCTTGACAGCCAATCGTGCGATACTTTCATGTTCGCGTCCAGATTGTGCACGCCACATGTCGTGATCCAAGCCGAAATTTACGGTACTTGGCTTGCTCTTTTCTTCTTGGCTCTTCAGGGGGTCCCTGGCGAGGCGTCTTTTGCTCCATGGCTGTGCCATATACCTGCGCTTGGTTGAGGTACATATGGGCGTGAGTATCTGATCACTTGACAGGGTTTCTCCTTCTTCCTGGATATCCTTCTCCTTCTGCGCTTCTGCCTGCATCTCTCCAGGGTTGTCTCTTCTAGGTCTCTTTGAATCTCAGACTCTCAAGGGGATGAGTACCTCGCACGAGAAGGGCAGTTTTGGATCCAAAGAAGATGTCCGCAGCGTGGGCGAACAAGAAATCCGGCATCGTACGGTGACGGAACATGGTGCTCAGCTCCTTGAAGACACCAAGGGCGATGAGACGCTGCATCGCGGGCTTAAAGCTCGTCAAATCTCAATGATTGCTGTAAGGTTTCATCTTTTGTTTGGTCTCATCGCGCATGGCGTATGGCACTCATAAATCTTGTCATTAGCTCGGCGGTGCAGTGGGCACAGGTAATCTAAACATACCAAGTCTCAGTCCCTTCTACGGGCCGCTTTCTAAATTCCGATGTACTTGTCCTTCTAGGTCTGATCATTGGCTCGGGAACGGCGCTCGTCCGTGGTGGGCCACTTGGGATTTTTCTTGGGTATTCCTTCGTTGGAATGGTGTGCTACATGGTCATGGTGGCCCTTGGAGAGATGGCTGCATACCTACCCATCAAGTCCGGATTCTCGGGATATGCTACTCGTTTCGTGGATCCTGCGTTTGGGTTCGCCATTGGCTGGAACTACTTGGTAGGTTGAACCGCACGCCACTCTCGGCCTGTTTGCGTCAACCTGACTTGTGCCCTTTTTCTATAGCTCAAGTAAGCACTGTATCGTGGTCGTTCATATTCCTCAGTACGTTGCTTTGTTTACTATATCTTGATACGCTGCTCACATTACTCTTTTCAGGCTCATAGATCGTGCGTAGATATTTGATCGTCACGCCAAACAACATCAATGCCGCGGGGATCGTCATACAGTACTGGACACGGAAAGTTCCCCTAGAGGTTTGGATGGGTACGTCGATCTCAAATTTATAGACCAAAAGTCTCAATCTAATACGTGCCCTACACAGTGATTTTCATCGTCTTCAGTGAGTCTGAAGTGGTAGCCATGAGCAATCTTTTGTACTCATGCATTGTTCACCTCTAGTCGCTGGCGTCAACTTGCTTGGTGTTCGCGTGTTTGGAGAGATCGAGTTTTGGTTCAGTTCTATCAAGGTCGTCTCCCTGATCGGTGAAGTTCACATATCTATGATATGAGCATTGTCCTTTTGACTTACATTATCTTCTAGGCCTCCTCCTTATGGGTCTCATCATCGACCTCGGAGGTAATCCAGAACATGATGTAAGTTCCAGTCGCATAAACACTGAATGACTTATTCATTGTCCAGTAGCGAATTGGATTCAGATATTGGCAACACCCCTACGGCCCCATGGGCACATACCTCCAAAGCCAGGTCCACGACGGTCACCTTTCAATCTTCCTCGGTTTTTGGAGCACGCTCATCAATGCTCTTTTCGCCTTTATTGGGACGGAACTCATTGGTGTGACTGTCGGCGAGGCCGAGAACCCACGCAAGAACATCCCGAGGGCCATTCGTAGGACATTCCTCCGGATCTTGATCTTCTACGTTGGCGGTGTCTTCATCATAGGCATGATCGTGCCGAGTAACAGCACCGTGAGTTTAGCCTTTACTCACTGCGTATCCGATTGGATTTAATTAGTCTCTATTCTCGGTGAGTAGGACCTTTTCACAGCGAACAAGTCAAAGACGGGAGCAGCAGCTAGTCCCTTCGTCTTAGCTACGACTCTCGCCGGCATCAAAGTTCTGAACCATGTTATCAATGCCGCAATCTTGATCTTCGTCTTGTCGGCGGCGAACTCTGACTTGTACATCGGTTCAAGAACACTCTACGGACTCGCGATCCAAGGAAAGGCACCGAGCATATTCAGACGGGTGAACAGGTTGGGTGTGCCATGGACTGCACTCATGTTGTGTATCTTGTTCTGCGGACTGGTATTCTTGAACGTTAGTTCGTCAAGCGCCAAAGGTACGTGATTCTTCGTTCATGCATTGACTGTCGACTGACCTCCCACGGTTCTTGCGCGTCTGTAGTCTTCACTTGGTTTGTCAACCTTGTTTCGACGTTCGGAGCTATCACCTGGATGTGTATCTGCTATTCACACATGTGAGGATAATGTCCTTTGAGAGAAGTGTTTTTCACTGACACGAATATTTAGTCGCTTCATGAAGGCATTGAAGGCACAGGGAATCTCCCGAGACAGCCTTCCCTACAAAGCCCCTTTCCAGCCCTACGGATCCTGGTTCGCCCTGATCGCAACGGCCATCATCACCTTGTTCAAAGGTCCGTATATCATATTTATTTATTTGCCAGCATACCACATATTTTAACCTTGTCTGATGATACAGGGTTCGACACATTCCTCCCGTTCACGAAAGACACGTTTGTCACTTCATATATCGGTATACCCGTTTTCATACTGCTCTGGGCGGGGTACAAGGTTTGGTACAAGACGGACCTTATCAAACCTGAAGATGTGGACTTGGTGACTGGGAAACGAGAGATTGACGAGGAGGAAAAGGCGTTCAATTTGGCACAAGAATCAAGGGGGCCGAGAACGATATGGCAGAAGCTATGGGATTCGCTCTGATGTGTACTTCAACTGGAGAGGTTTTTACTCCTACCGTCCCGACTAATGATGTCTATGGAAAAAATCGGGTGTATGCTTTAGTGGATTGTAGCTTGACTAGTAGTAGATGAATCAGCGTCTTTGTGTTGCTGAACTCTTCGCGTGATTAATAGGGCCACATACTGTGGCGTAAGCAGAAACGCGAAAACGGTAGCGTCATTCGTGATTTGTCATGAGAAGATGCGTCCAACAAAGGCAAGGGTTGCTTACAGCCTCCGTCAGCGAGCTCAGGTCTTGAATAAAAGCAGCTGTCGAATTGGCCATGGCGCCTCCCAATTTATATGCATTCGTCCTTCAAGCTTTTCCCCATCCTTTTTGCCGTCCTTGCAGCGCTCTTCGCCTACTGGTACCCCGACGTCTTCAGCGACTTTAAGCTCGACTTCATTCCGAAACAGCAATCTCACTCCACCCCTATTATTCAACAAGTAGAACCCTCAGCTAGTATTTTGACTGCAGACATGTCAGTTTCGAGACAAGTCATCAAGAAGGTGTTTGCGGTAGAGACTGCCGAGGTAAGTTTACTGGATGTCCAGAGAGTTTGGAGACAAGGTTGACGAGCCGGTCTCGGTGCTTACCAGGGCGCAGGAGCCCTCGTTCGTCGTTCGATAGGGAGTATGGGCCTCAGGAATCTTACACCGTATGTTCAAGTCTATTACGGTGCATGATACCTGTGTTACTGAACTCATGGACCACCTGGCATTGTAGGTTCTTGATGCTAGACCACTTCCACATCAGCAAAGTCAGTCAGAGGCAGCTTCTAGATCTGTGTCCAGGTACTGACACTTTTGATCCTCTCTGTTATCCGTTAGGGAGCAGTAAGTATTGCGTCAACTCTATAGATATAAGTTGACAACTCATGACCGTCGTAACGTTATTAGGGCTTCCCCGAGTGAGTGTTTTCGCCTGACATGCCTCAGGCAAAATCATCTAACGCTTCCTTCTGGCGATAGTCATCCGCACAGAGGTCAGGCCACTGTAACCTATATGCTCGAAGGGTCAGTGTCTTTGGCATCTTCTCGGTACCGCTGCCCGCGAGCAAGATGTCTGATCATGATCCTCCACCAACAGAGAGAGCAGACATGAAGATTCAGCTGGACATGCTGGTTTGATCAAGGCTGGCGGTGTGCAGTGGATGTGTGCTGTAAGTTACGTATCACAAATTCTCTGATCGTCTTCTGTCTAACGTTTTCTCTTCTTGCTACAGGGCCGTGGAAGTACGTTACACTGTGCCCTATGAGACCGTTGTACCAACTGACCATCGTTTATCTCCTAGTCATCCATGCGGAGATGCCTGCGCAAGCCCCGAATGGTCAGGAGCCAAGAGGTCTTCAACTTTGGGTGGACTTGCCCGCCAAAGTGAGCTACTCGATATGTTCCTATCTGAGCTGATTTGTTGACGTTGACCCACCTTCCAGTACAAGATGGTCGAACCTAGCTATCAAGAGCTCGATCCAGAGGGGTAAGGACGCTGTCTGTTCGCGGCTGATCTCCTACTTACACGGCGCCTTCATTCCTGCCACAGCATCCCGAGCGCATATCCCGACGGACCGGATGGGCCTCAGATTAAGGTTATTAGCGGGAAGAGTCACGGAGTAGAGTCACCTGTCAGGCCTCTTGGCGGATGCTGGTACTTCCACAACATTTTCAAGAAGAAGGGCACTGTTTTCCAGGATATTCGTAAGTCTTGTTTACCGCCATCACATCCCGACAGGCACTGACGTAGACGATACATAGCGGCTGGTTGGACTACCTTCATATATAGTACGTCGGTCTCATATACTGAGGTACAATGAGATTGTACTGACCAGACCTGGTGCAACACTTATTCATACAGCGTTGAAGGGCTCGATCAGCATCGGTACTCAACCAGAGAAGTACGAGCAATATTACACCTTGGTCTTGTCTTCCAACAGTAATGAGACTGGCATTTCGGTGACCGCTCTTGAGGACGATACCGAGTTCGTTCTGGTGTGTACATCTGCCTTATATAACAATCACACAACGGTTCTGATCCGTGTCTGGATTGGGCGGGCTCGTAGGTTGCCGGCGAGCCTTTGGACCAGGAGGTTGTGCAATATGGACCATTCGTGATGACGTCGAAAGAAGAGATCCAGAAGACGTTCATCGATTGTAAGTCTATATTTTTTTTTCCTGCGGTTTCGTGCAATGATTCACATTCCGTCTTTCCTCGCAGACCGCATGGGCTTGAACGGGTTCGAGAAGGCGCACACTTGGAAGAGCAAGATCGGCGGGCTTTGAGCCATTAGGTCGTGACACCCTTGTATTGTATCGGCGTTCTTATTTCTTACTTATGTATCAGGGGCTATTGGAGAATGATATGGCTGTTGTAGTCGTTTTCTGAGACGACTATCGAAAAGAAGGGCGATCATCAAGTGGACGCATTTTGTGCGACAGTGGCGAGCGTGGTGCAAGTAACTATTTCGCCCGACTCTTCTTGCTCTTGCCTTTCCTCTTGTACTCCTCGTCACTCTCATCTTCATCCTCGACATCCTCCATCCCTTCCCAAAGATCCTCATCGTCCTCGCCATCTGCACCCTTGTTCTTCACCTCGTCCTCTTCATCCGCATCCGTATCTTGATCCCACACAACAACCGTCGGGATACTCTTTACATACACGCTCTCCAAAACTTGGCCTTTGTTTTCTTGAGCTTGGCCGGCTTGAGCAGGAGGAGCGAACGTGCTGTGGATGCGGGTGTATCGATCAAGAGCTGTTGAGGCAAGGTGAGTGGGTGAGGGAGCAAGCGAGGTTATGGCGCCGGAGATGCCTGCGCAATGGTTGTAGGGATGGGTACGAGTTAGTGAGAGCTGGTTGAATGGCGATAGGGTGCAGCGTTACCTTTGTATCCGTAGCCAATGCTACCGTTCCGAAGGTCGAGGGAGAAAAGATTGCAACCTTGGTCTGCGACGAACAACTCACTGTAATTTTAATCAGAGACATGTCAGCGTCAAGCATTCTACGACCTGAAAATGAAGAAAAACGGAACGCACTGCTCATTGAACCCTTTCGCCACGGCCCTGACCCCACCCATCTTCGCCACACCTTTCCAATCCGCCACAGGTCGACGAGCACTCCGCGTATCGTATCTCCTTACGTTACCGAACTGGGTACCTGTGGCAATGTGATGGCCCGGTTGTGAGGTCGACGATGAAAGATTGAGGTATGTGAGACAGGTGTTGTAGACGGGTTGACGGAGGCTTAGGGAGTCGTTCGCAACCTACGCAAGAAAAGGTGATACCCTGTCAGTACTGCGAAAAATCGACGGGATAGAAAAGACGGTAGTGAGATTCTCACATTCTTCGCTCGCCAGGTTTCACCTGGAAGTAAGTCGTCCCTCTTCCGTTTCTTTTGAGTCGATTCGCTCGGCTTTTGAGTGGAGGGAGTCGTTGACGCGGTGAATGCGCGCTCGGCGTCCCAGACTGAGAGCTCCACTTCGTCGCCACCGTAGGCGAATGTCTTCTCATCGGGAGAGAGGCGCCAATCGCAAAGACGCATAGGTAAGACAGCAGTTTGTGATGTGGTGGAGTTGAGAGAAGTGAGCCGCAGAGCACCATTCGATGTGCAGGAGTATACTCTACACTCGAATGTGAAATGAATAGAGAGGCCTGGGATAATGGAGCAACTTGAATACATACCGGGAACCAGTAGAAGAGACATCGATCCCAACATATTTCTGCCCTGTCCTCAATCGGGGCTCCTTCCATTCCTTGACTAGGTCCAGCCCACCTTCTTCGTTCAGAGTGTACGCAGACGCAGAACCGTCAGCACATGCCGCTGCTACCTTTGCTTCAAACGGTCGCAGGTCAGCTCCCCACATACCATGAACTGGAAAGGAAAGAGGTGCCCATACCATTCGGCTTGAAGAGGCGCCGCTGCTGCTAGAGACCGCAAGAGCTTGAATGGCTCTAGATTTTCCTCCAGCGCTGCCATCATGAAGAAGAGTAGCCTCTGGAGTAGAAGTTGAGGCTGAGGGATATGTTATGGATTTGATGTTGCCAAGTTCATCGCCTGTTAGGAAGCGAGGCATTTTGTGAGGGTTATTGCAGGAGGAATGAAGACGGTCTCCAAAAGAGAAATTTCGTTCTGCAAGATCGCCGGTTCCGCCGCACGTGGGTCGCCACCCGTGCAGAGCGGACCCAGTTGGGCCACACTCCACGCCCGTTCGTCGCGTTTCACCCGTCTGGTCGAGTGCCTCTGGCTACAGCGTTCTTACCGCCATGGACGGGCTCCTCAAAGAAATAGCCAAGCTCGAGAAGCTCACGTCTAACTCTTCCGCCGTTAATAAGAGTAAATCTCCTGCTATCAACGATTCACTCGACTCACTCCTTCAGACCCTCTTGGAGCAGAAGGCCAGGATCGAGCGCGGTGCCTCATGCCCCGAAGCTCAGTTCCAGGACTTGTCGAAGACGATAGAGCAGAGGAAGAAGGAGATTGATGATAGGCAGAAGGAGGTGTATAACTCGTTGGCGAGGTATGGGAAGGCTTTGGACAAGGTCCGTAACCTCAGTGGCTTGCTGATTTGTGTTGCTATAGAACGATATCTTACGAGACTTACGTTGGTTGTTATTGTAGAGATTCCCAAACCCTCTACCAACTTATAACCCGCTGTTCACAAGCCGGTCTGCAGAGAATGCGCTGGAACATGTTATCGCCATGCACTTTCTCCGCTCCGGTCAGTTCTCGACGGCAGAGACGTTCATTGAAGTATGTTATCACTCCTCCATGCCCGCCATACCCTGTCTTATGTGTTGTATAGGAGTTTGGCGTAAATATTCCAACTGAGCGTCAAGCCGAGTTTATTGACTTGCATCGTATTCTTCTCGCTCTACGAGACCACAACACCGAGCCTGCGTTAGAGTGCGTTGTCAGGCTACTTCATCTTGAATATACACTTAATCCCTGCTACTTTCTCAGATGGGCCCGGAGGAACCGTGTGTTCCTCGAATCACGATCCTCATCACTGGAATTCTACCTCCACCGTTCCGAATACATTCGCCTTCTCCTCTCCTCACACCCGCCACAACCTGCACTGGCAATAGCCTACGCTAACAAATACCTTCGACCCTTCTTTCACACTCATGCCACCGAATTTCAACGCCTCCTATCCTGCATCATGTACCTCTCGAGACTGGACAAGTCACCGTACGCTGACTTGGCATCACCCACGGTGCATTTTGATTTGGAGCCGATGTTTGCGACGGAGTTTAGTGCGAGCTTAGGCATGAGTAAGCAGGCCCCTCTGAGGGTCGTGGGTGATGTGGGTGGTGGTGGCGCGCTGGCGAAGATCGAGAAGGGGAGGAGGATTATGAGGGAGAGGAAGGGCGGGTGGAGTCAGGCGGATGAGCTCCCGGTGAGTTTCCTGGAAATACCATAATATTCGAATGCAGCGTTGACCTGAATGCTGCCGGTAGATTGAGGTACCGTTACCCCGAGAGAATCTCTACCACTCGATCTTCGCATGCCCGGTCTCGAAGGACCAGTCGACGGAGCAGAACCCGCCCATGATGATAAAGTGCGGGCACGTCGTCTCTAACGACAGTTTGCACAAGCTGAGCAAGGTTGACGGGTGGGTGATGTATCCGCTCTTGTATCTGATCAGGAAATGAACTGTCTTCTTTCTAGGCGAGTGAAATGCCCCTATTGCCCAGTGGAGTCGACTCTGGGCGGCGCGTTGCGAGTACATTTTTGACCTGTTTTTATGTTTTCACATCTCTCCCTCTATTCGTGTATCTGTCTGTAACACTACATATCCCATCTGTAACATGTACAATCACTATCACTCATTTGATCCTGGACTATCTGTGTTAGTGGGCCACAACGGGTGCCACCTGTAACATGTAAGCAGGTCCCAGGACACCGTCACGTGCCGTATACGCGACACGATCAACAGATGAAACGAGACGGACATCCGAACAACATCTTCCTCAACACCGTCGTCATCGTCTCCGGCATCGAGCCCTCAAGCTCGCTCAATGTCACGCTTTGCGCCCATACGGGCCTCTACACCACCAAAGTCAACACGATCACAATCTACAACTATCACCGCGCCCACCGTCGCACCATCAACCCATTCCCGCTCGTCCGCCGTCTCCGCCCCGGAGCTCTCTAGCCTCACCCCAGACCAGATCGACTTCATCGAAGCCGTCATCTCTCGTGCATCGCCCTCTGCAACCACATTCCTAACCGTCTTCAAGGCCTATAACGATGTGCTGAACGATAGGGGCCTCGACCCTGCGAACGAAGTCGTGTATTACGGGAAACTGCTGAAGCTGGGGACGTTGAAGGGAAAGAACTGGGGCGATAAGTGGGACAGCGTGAAGGAGAGGTGCGGATACGTCTCTTCTGCTGCTAAGGCTGCCCCCAAGAAGCCAGCTCCTTCTGGGCCGGTGCGTGCGAAGGCACATCCTGCGCAACCCTCCACTTCCAAGCTTCCCCTGTCTAAACCGAATGCTGTCGCTGGCTACGGTCGAGGGGGGCGCCCGGCAGAGACTAAGATGGTACAGTCTTCTGCGGGCAGACTACTCTTGAGATTGCGGAATCTCCAGCATCATCGACAGGACAGCGACCATACAGAACCATCTGTGATTGACGGTACGGATGCGACGCCAACCGAGGTCACAGACGAAACAGACGTAATCCCTCCTCGCTACCAACATCCTCGCGCCGCTCCCAAACCTATAGCACACACACCAGCCACAACATCAGCCTTCACATCTACATTCGACTCCATGACACCGTCGAGCTACCCTCTACCGCCACATCATAGACCTCCTCCGCGATGGCCTTCTCCCGACACTGATACATTTGATGACACCGCGCCTTCTGTGTCCACCAAGCCACCATCATATAAGACTACCGCCCGCGATATCAAAGCCCCTCTTGTCGCACCGCGAGCTATCCCTGCTGCACAAACACATACACGAACACGATCGTACGCCCCTCCCATCACATCACTACCACCGAAAGCCCCCAGGACACCACCGCCTCTTCATAAACGAGGAAGCGCTATCAACGAGGATGAGGCATGGAATAAGGTCAAGATGATGCAGGACGAGAAGGAGGCGGATCGGTTTAGGGAGGAGAAACTCGTCGAGCGCTGCTGGGATGTTTGGAAGCAAGGTTATGATTGGATAGTCGTAAGTCTGCATCGTCCATCCATTACCGCTCTAAATTCTGACTTCATCGTTCACCAACGCTTAGACCACGAGCGAACAAATCAGCCAAGCCCGCGACACCCTCCTACTCCGCCTGGCCATCCAGAAATGGCGCCAACGTCTCCAAGCTCTCCGCGACCTCTCTTCCCGTGTCGAAATTCTACACTCCCAGCGCGTCCTCAGTCAATGTCTCGTCTTCTGGAACCACAAACTCAAGGTCAAGCAAAGAAATGACCGGCACAACGATATGCGCGCCAAGATGAAACTTGTGCGCCAATCGCGTGAGTCCAAGATCACGAAAGATGCATGGGCGAAGTGGAGACGAATGCACCAGTCGAGGTTGGGCGATCAACATTACGAGGAGTGGGTCGTTAGGAGGTTTTTTGGGGTGTGGAAGAGGAAGTTGGCTGCTGTGGATGGGTTGGAGGGCAGGCTGGAGGAATTTAGGAAGAGGAGGGATGGGGAGTTAGCTAGCAAGGCTTTGGAGGTTTGGAAGAGAAGCACGGAGCTGAGGGTGATGGAGGGTACGGTGGCGAGTACTGTGGCGAGAAGGATGGTAAAAGATGTTTTGGAGGTTTGGAAGAGGCGCATGTGAGTCACGAAGTTCCTATCTTCCTCTCTTTGCCGGAAGGTTTACTTATCCCTTGTTAGGTCAAACTATCAGAAAGCTGAAGAGTTCCACGAGTCCCTCATTTTGAAGGGTGCTATGAGGACGTGGAAGGCCTCACAAGGAAAGATCCGGGTATGTTCCTTAGATTGCTGTCGTGTTTGCGGAGCTCTACTCATGGTCGTCATAGGCTTTGGAGCGTCGTGCGGACAAGCACTTGGCCCGCCAGGACGATGTGCTCGTCCGGGCTCTGACTAGGATTTGGAAAGCGCGTGAACGTGGACAGCTGCTGCAGAGAGTGAGATCCATGCGTTTGCTTCGGCAGGCATGGGCAGTATGGATACAGCGCATCCGGACAAATCAAGAACGGGAAGGTTAGTGCCTCTTTTCAATAGACAGTGTCGCCGATTTGATGCTAAGATATTTGGCCCCGATTAGAAAAAGCATTTGCATTCTCCCTCCGCGCCAACTCAGCCCTTGCCACAAACTCCCTTCGCGTCTGGAACCAGCATCTTACTACTCACCGTAACGCTTACGCTTTCGCCGTCCAGTACCACAGCGTGCAAGTACAATACAGGACGCTCTTCCAGTGGAGAGTGAAGTTGAGGGAAAAGTTCAAGCTGGTGAAGCAGGCCAAGATGGCGGAGAAATTTTTTGTCCAGAAGAAGGCATGGACGGCCATGAAGGCGAAACTGGAGGAAAGAAGGAGGGAGAGGAAGCTCAACGAATGGGAGAAGGAGAGGACCAAGAAGGTGTTCGTGGGTAAGTCGCTCCTGTTTTGTGTATCATTCGTCCGGATGTTAATGTTGAGATGTTCTTTTGTACTTGTAGGATGGCTTCAGAAAGCACTACGACAGCGGCAGCATCGTCTAGCTGAGCAGGAGTTGCGAGCCCGATTCGAGGCGAGTACGAAGAAGAATGTTCTTACCAAGTGGACAAACCGCGTCATCGAGCTCAAATTGCGCGAACTCGACGTCGCGCAGAAAGCGGACAAGATGATCGTCAAGTGAGTGCCAATAGCCTTTTTTTAGAGCAGTCCCTGGAAACGACGACTGATATTCTAAATTTCAGTTCTGCCTTTATGAAATGGAAATGTGTTTGCATCCGACACGTCGAAGAGCTCAGTCTCATGGAGAGCTATCAAGATGTCAAGCGCGAGGGTAGGTCAATTTCTCTATACGCCTTTGACTTGGAAGCTGACCGGGCGGATTATCGCAGAAAACATGCGTCGCATGTTCTATAAGTGGCTCACAGCAGCTCGGACGGCTAGACATCGACGCGTGGTCTTGCAAGAGAAAGAGCAAGAGATGAAACGATACATGCTCGCGTCTGCCTGGGATAGGTGGAGAGGGGCCTATAAGACCGAGAAGCTTCGTCCTGTGGTATGTCTTATGTCAACTTTCCATAGTCTTGGGCCACAAACTAACTTTGGATGTTCAGGAACGCATGTTTACGCTTCAGAACCAGAACGCTCTCATGTACAGGGGTTTCGTTACTTGGCATGCTAAAACGAAGGTAAATACTCAAGATCAAGATCGCAAGATGGTGGCTGACATGATCTTTTGTAGTCATTGCCGGCAGTTCGTTTCCATGCATCGAATACGAAAGCGAAGTTTTGGAAGGTGTGGCGAGACGCTATGCCTCGCGCTCTTCAAGCCAAGAAAGCCCGCGAGATGGACAAGAAGGCCACATTATGTACGTCCCATTCGAGTTGTCTATCACTGATCCAGCTTGGTGCTTACCGCCCTGTCTTTCTAGCCAAAGCTTTGGAGAAATGGATTCAAGCACATCGGACCAAAATCGCTCTAAGAGCTGTGGCGTAAGCATACTTTCTCTTCGCTTTCCCATACGACACGCAGAAGCTGATCACCATTAATTGTAGTCGTGCACGCTACATGCGTTTGCCCACCGCCGCTCCCCGTCCAGTAACCTCCGCCTTATCACGCCCTCTACCACAACCCTCTTCATCCCGCGTCTTAGTTCGCCCCCGCGCTCGCCCTCCCAGTCCCGATCCTACAACAGAAGTCGAAACCGACGCTGACAATCCTCCTCATCCTCTTCACCGCCCCGTTACCGCATCCGCTCCCATTCCCACTCATATCCGTGGTCCGAGCACTGCAAGATCCAAACCGCCCGGCTCTCGTACTGGTATCGCTAGTCTTCTTTCCTCCCGCCCTCATAACACCGGCCTTTCTAAACTTAGCAAAGACAGGGATCGCGACTCGAGTCCGACGCGCGATAGGCCGAGGTTCACGACTAGGAGCGTCGTCAGTGGTGGGACAAGAAATTCAAGTCCGACGAAAATGGGGAGGGATTTGAGTCCGACGAGAACGGCGCCGGTGATGGGGCCTGGGTCGGTGGACACTATGTCTGAAGCAGGCGGTGGCGGTGGTGGTCGCGCTGTGAGGGCAAGAGGGAGTTTGTGGACGGAGTTGAAGGATATACAGAGGAAGTCGAGGACGCCGACCGTGAGGAGCTTCAGGTCGACGCCGGACCCGCCGTAGTGGTCATATAAGTTTTTTCTTGCTTGTGGATTCGTTTCGTTTTGATTTTCTCCCTTGATTTATGTTTGTTTGCTTTTCTTTGTCTCCTAATTTTCTCGTTTTCTGTGGGATATCCCCTCCTCTCTGCTTTTCCCTTCCTCTATGTCCTCCTCCCCTTTCTTCTTCTTCTTCACCTTCGTGGCTATCTTTCCCTCGCAAGGCATGTTTGCGAGTTTTTTTAATTTCATGTAACGTCCCCGATTTCTCCTTGTCCATGTCGGGGACTGTCAACTTGAATGTGTTAGTCTCTCTGGTCTTGATTGTTGTAAACTGGGCATTTGTACGATGTGGCGATCTCCACCTGCATTTATTTACAAGTAACTTATGGTCTGGGCTTGGCTATCCTCCATCTATATCCCATATTTTGAGTCTCTCATACAACCACATCACTGTCCAATTCCTTACTCGGTCTATACGGCACACCACTTAGAGGTATAACCAGCGTCGAAAGTCGAGAATTGAATGTTGTCGTACTGTAATTGCTCGCCTCGTCAGCTTTCTCCACTGAAATGAAAGATATTATAGCCCGTAATGGTGTGAATTGTGTGCTCGCTGCGTCAATCACGGATTTGCACCCAGAGCTCAACCATTTTCTTGCTGGCAAAATCACTGCTTTCAAGACCCGGGGGCCGGTACGGGAGAATTATTCCAAAGAGATATATCACACTCGTACGCGAGGATCAATATTCAAAGGACCTCGGTCTCGCAGTGTGTGGTCATGATACGAGGTGTTAGGGCTGTATTAGTGTTACTCCTCGCGTTGCGAAATTCATCGCTTGCGATGCAGTGTCATATTGTGAGGCTGTCAAGTCGCAGGCTGTCTTTTGAAGGGCGACGAGCACAATGATCATAGTGGGGTATATTCCCTGGAAAGAAGTCAGATGTATGCTAGCTATATTAGCTCAGGAAGATACATACCGACAGTTGAATCATAAGTGCTGGCATGGAGTTCGTGAACATCCTCATGGAGAATGATTGGGATGCATCGAAGCCTCGCGATTGGTGGTATATGTAGTACTCCAGGCTGAAGATATAAACGCCCTAGAACAGGGAACATTCATCTTGGCTGCCTCGAGGAACTATCAGAATAAACACGTACCCATATGGCGCAGTAGAGGGTTCCCGACTCCACAAGGAGGGTGAAGACCGCCTCACTTTTTGTCCGCAGAGTACGCCCCTCGAGGTTCGTTCTGATTGCTGCTCTGTGTTTCCTTTGAGGATATCAATGACATGACAACAGACAGAGTTGTCAGTTGACCCACCAAGCTTCATACGCGATCAATCCTGTGGCCAGCACGTTGGAGAATAACGAAGTGCACCACACGAAGTAGGAGGAGCCCACAGGGCCCCATCTCGTGGAAGGATGAGCAGACGAGACGCTTTCAAACAACGCGGCCACTAAAAGGGGAGAAAATCATGTTCACCGAATTGATCCCTGGATCACCAGTGAGATGTCAGCTCACCGATATTGCATAAGGTACAGAATCCGCAAACCGCTGCTATTCTGGGACTCTTGTCCCACAATATCCACGCTCTCCAGAACACGACTAGGTCGTTGAGGATATACTACCTTTTCGTCCAAAGGATAACTCAACTAGATGTCACGAAGATATGGTAAGCACTCACGTTGATATTGGGGAGACACAGAAAGGCGACCAACAGTCTGTTCATCAACTTTTCCAGGTATTTAGGGACGTCGCCAGACCCGCCACCGCGCCCTGCGCAATCTTCGATGTAGACATTGATAGTCAGTTGATCGGTATCGAGAGCAGCATTAAGAAATACCCAAGATAGGATATAATGCACTGTGGAAACGGAGAACATGACGACGGTGGTGAGCCACATGGCAAGAATGGCTTTATTTCGGAATCCTCTCGAGCTGGATGCACACTTTCAGTAAAATACAATTGTGAAAAGCGTAGCACCGGCCCACCTCAACAAGTGAGTAGAAACAATGAACGAAGCTGTGGAGAGCGCTGTGATAGGTCGAGACGCAGACCGTGAGCGAGAGGTTTGGTACGAATGAGATAGAGACATTTGCATACCAAATAGGGCGCTTTCGACTGCGAGGGAGAAGAAATTGGTGTACAGCTCCCAGACCTGTGTGTTTGTCAAATCGTACAACTGTAACAATTCTCGAGGAATAGAGGTGTCGTTACTTTTCACCATCCTGTCTCCTGTCGGTAGACCGTGTTCAGCGAGCGAAAGCGGAATGCCAATGCGTACGCCCCGTCGTCTTTGCTGGGAGCAGCTTTAAGTAACATAAGTCGCATAATGTGGATCTATCGCAATCTCTCGTAAATAGCATCATGATGTCTCTACGCGAGGCTCGAGGTTCAATGAAGCACTGGAATGTTATAGATCCACTGATAGACCATCAGATGCATGACCAGGTGTAAGATGGGCAACGATCATGAATGTGGCCTGTCGCCCATATAACTCATGGTGGCAATGAGGATATGGATTGATGCGAGTACATTCACCATCAAAATTCTGTGACAGTTATAGCAAGGACGAACACAGTTTCGCTGCCGTCATAGTAACTTACTCCGAGTCAGGCGGCCGCTCGTACCTTTCCTCAGAGTGTGCATTGTCAACGGCGGATCCCCGTGGGAGTTTGAGGTGCATTATTCGCGAAGCTTGAGATCAGATGCAAGGTGTCTGCTCTACCGACCGCAATAAGTATGTTGTACACTGGCGGTAACGTAATCACTTTCCCGGTGCAAGAATCAGATCACGCAAATCAAATCCACATCAAAAAGCAACTCACATAGATCATGAACTAACAAAATACTGCCACCCCACCCAGTTCGCGATCACGAACCACGACGTCGTGGGTATGATCAAAAGGGCGAAGTACTTGTAATGTGTATCTCTCGCCAGCAAGTCAAGAACCTGTAACAGAATTCAACATCAGATCTGAGATCGAGACAACGAGAGCTATGCGTTCGTTGGAGAGGAGTAGAACGCACGAAGTTACCAGGAGGAGGGAGGAAAGCACTGAACAGGGTGGCGTACGATGCGAGGAAGAAGAAAGCGAGGGAAGAGACGATGAAGATGGAACCCGTGCGAGTGGATGGTAGAACGACTTCAGTCATGGTGCCTTTCCTAACAGGAATGTAAGCTTGGAGGGATGGATTTCAGTGGAAGAACAACATGATGCAGCCAGTGCGAGCGGAGAAAACGGCGGTTCGTGCTCCGAGTCGTTCAAGTCCAAGTTGAACCACGCACCCAGAAATGGAACGCCACGTCAACCCGGCTTTGCCCGAAAGTGGGCCACATTAGTGTGGGTGGCGTCGAAGACCTCGTCGTGCAAAACTACGGTGCAGACAATCCGAAAGCGTACCCAGATATCATCAATAAATATTAATAGCGTTGATACTATCGACACACAAGCCTTCAGACAAAAGGATGGAGTTTGACAGGTAACATGATTCATGGTACCCGCAAACGCTGGCAAGAACCGTCCATCTGGCAGTCACGACTCGGAAGACTCTTCAGCCTCTACACTATCGTACAATACAGACACAAGAATTACAGAACGATCGCGAACGAAACGAACGAACAAGCAGACAACGAGGATAGCTAGGAGAAATAGTAACTAGTAACAGACTAACTAATAACGCAACGCTGGCGGGACGAAGGAACAAGACTGTAAAGGATGACAGGTACGCAGGCGGGACGATTGCAAAACGGAGAGGAAAGATGCAGAGGAATGGGAGACAAGATGAGTACAAAGGATACTGTACATACACAACACAAGATGTGGCAAAGCTGAGACGAGTTCGGGGTGGTGGTGGATGGTGGTGGTACAAGTACAAGACAGAGCAGAAAAAGATTAATTTACGTCGAAGGTCGAAGGGAAGGCATGGTTGTAAGTGCACGAGATGTATCAAGACATCGAACTGTAACGTGAATGGTGATATACACTGGCGGAGGGGGGTGGAGATAGGGTCGAGGGCAGGGGAAGGGGAGGGTGGATGGGAGTGAGAGCAATACAGTCCAAAATGATTGCGAAAGAGTGTAGGCAAGGGCACACACTTTTAACCCATCATAAGACCCAAGAAAAGAAAACGGATCAAGAGAACGTGCAAGTAGTACAAATACAACCCGAAAGGGGCGAAGAAGACTAGCAGCGTGGGTGTGACGCTTCGAGGGCTCAAAAACTGCCCATGTTCGCGCGTTTGCGTGGCCTGCGGTCAGGTTGCGAGCGTGAATCAGAGAGGGAGTAAAAACCCCCAACGTGGCAGGGTGTATCTGAATCGGTGTTGCCCATGGACAAGGGGTCGATCGACGCCCTGGCGGAAGACATCATGAATGGGGGCCGTCCACCTACACCATCTAGGAAGGGCATATCGAAAGCACCATCTACCCCATCATCCGTCTCCCCTTCAGCATCGGCATCACCATCGAAGTCATATCCGATATCATCGCCCATGAACATCCCTCCGGCCGGGAAGATTCCGAGCATGCCACCATCAGCCGCACTGGATCTCCGTTTCCTCTTACCTCCTGCCCCGCTGACCTCTGACTCGCCTACTCCGTCGAAACCGTCATCGAAGTGAAGCTTCGCTTGGAAGCTGACCTCGGTTCCAGCGGGAGACCTTCCGTCCATGTTGTCATGATTGCTATCCGCACCGTACCCACTTCCGGGCAGTCCGAACGGATCAAGACTAGCGTGCCTTCCACGTAAGAACGGCGACTTGCCCGTCCGTTTCTTCACAGCGTCAATGAGTTGATCGAGACCTTTGCCAGTTATGGCGGGGTCTGGGAAGTCAGGATGGGGTCGCAGGGAAGGGCAGGAACGTATGGCGCGTGAGCTCGTAGGGGAAAGGGGTGATGTGATTGGGGACACGGGGGAGTCAGGCGAGGAGAATGTGTGTAGGGTGCTCAGGTCGGAGAAGGCTGTCGATGCTGAACCGGACGGGCGAAGGCGACGATGAAGGGCCTGGGCGACGGCCTTGAGGCGAGGTTCTTCTTCGGAGAACATTGAAAGAGCTTCGCACCGACGGATCCAGTAACTCAACTATGACGGACGCGGCGTCAAGAAGGTCAGCGGATGATGTCTGTGGGTAGTATAGAAAGAAGTGTGCAAACCTGCGTGTTTGACCATCCGGAGAGTGAAAGGATGGTGGAACGGGTGAGAGTAACATATCCTGTCGGGGAATCAGGATACGGATGCGAGAGAGATTTGAAAGGATTATACGGGTGGCTGCAATCCGAGGCGGCAACCATGACGAGAAGAGCGGCTGTCAGATACCATATGACATGGCATGGAAGATAACTCACGGAACGTATGTTCGAAGTACTTCTTTCACAACCTCGACTTTGACAAGATAGTCAATGGCTGAGGCGCCGCCTCCGTTTGCGGCGACGTCATTTTCCTCGACCGCAGCCTTCTTGGCTCGCGAGCGTGGCTGATTTTGTGCACGACCCAGGCGACGTTCGTACAGACGGGCAGAGAAGATACCCCATTTTTCATCGCCAAGCTGTGATTTGAGAAAACCAGCAGCATGGGGATCTATCTCAGGAGTCTGAGCAGGCTTTGGGCGCTTCGAGCCGTTCTGCTAGATAGATCCAAGAGGGTCGCCACAGCCCTCTGGGGTTATTTGGGAGGGTCGTTTTAGTAAGATGAGCAACGTACGGAGGAATCAAAGGTAACGATGCTATCCTCGACAGTCAAAGCGGGTGACCCTTCGGGTAGAGCGGCCTGGGGACTCGGTGGCTGCGAACTGGGATCAAACCGGAGAGTACCAGTGCCGGGCAGCTCGTTCGACGAGCGTACACTGACAGGGGAGAGTCTGGTACGAGTAGAGTCAGGCAAGGAGGATGCTGAAGAGGGCGACAGCGGCGATAGCACGGAAGCGGACGGCGGCACGATCATGGATGGACTGTCGTCGTCCTGTGCATAGGAGACGCGTTGTGAATAAGCGGATTGAATATTAGCGCTGGGCTCGAGGGGCAGATCGCTATTCAACTCCTCCTGCAAAGAACGGCGCGAGTAGGGAGGCCCAGGCGGAGGGGGATAGGAATAGGGGGCTGCACTGATATCAAGGGGCGTGAAGAGGTACGAATTAGGTTCTTGTGGTGCGGGAAGAAACTGATGGTGTTGAAAGGAGGCGACGGGGAAGCTGTTCGTTGAGTAAAATCCGGGAAATAATTGCCCGGGAGTGCGCGAAGGATTGGAGGGTGGCGCGAGCTCGAGAGAAGAGTCTGTGCCTGAGGAGCTGGTCCCGATTTCGGGCCAGTCAAAGGGAAAATCAGCCGTCACATCGGTCAAGAGGTTCGTAGTCGCCATGAATGGCGCCTGTGGGCATAAGAAAGGGTCGTAGAGACAAACGGGCAGTGCCACCCAGCAGCAAAGAGGCAGGTCGGCAAGCAAAGGGGATGGGGTGGACGAAAGAGAAGGAAAAAGATGATAGATGATGGTGGACGGGAGGAAGAAGAGGCGTGGTGGACGGCAACGAAGAGCAGGGTCGAGCGTCACGGTTGAGGATAACGTTAGTCGCTGTGGCTGAGACCACGCCTTTATGATCTGTCCAAACTGGGCAATAGGGGTTAGCCGGGGTCCATCGTTTAGGAAACTGTCGCTGTTTATTCGCGCTTCGACCACAAGCACTCTCCTTATACCCTCTTTGCACCATGAACGCCTCTCAGGAGAACGTCGCGACTGCCTCTCGGTGCGCAACTCATCTCACGCTTTTCAACTACGAACGACGCGACTGATCATCATCCACGCGTCCAGGCCTTCGCAACCAGCCCATGCTGACCATGATCGCGCGTCGTTGCTGGACGTTCCAGCAGACGACAAGGCAGAAACTTCCTCACTCATTCCACTCCCCGAGATCCCCTCTACCGATACCCTGGACCTCAACTTTACTTTCAGCTCCATCATCGGTCCACCATCTCCTGCGTGGGTATCAGATTTCGGTCGAGCTCTACTCTTTCCACGCGCTGACCTTCGTTGTCGTGCTCTTCGTCAGGACGGAGAAGGTGCAGAAGCGGGCGTCGAACGTCTTGAAGCTCGCGGAGGAGAACGAGAAACTGAAGGAGGAGCTGCGTGCGATGTCAGAGCGATTGGAGGCTGCAGAGCGTCGGCGGGCAGAGCTGGACATGAAGAGGCGGGCTCAGCAACAGAGGCCTCCGGGTGCAGCATGACGACGTTCTCTCCTCATTCGCTCTTTCGTGGGTTTCTGCCGCAGGAGGAGCTACTTCACATCGGGCGGGCTTCACGTATGGATGGTCCCTCGCAGGGCCTTATTTATACCACTGCATCCAATATTGTTCTCTGTATATATGATACCCTGTCGCTGAGGACATCCAGCCGTCGCGAGCCACCCAAAAGCATACTTCGAGAATATACCGACACGTATGACATGTATGGAAGCATGCAGCTATACCTAAATTGGACTCGGCGGACAAAGTTTCACGAAAAACCAAGAAATGAGTGGAGAGAGAGGGCTTGCGATGACGTAGAGGCTGGATATAGAAAGTTATCCCGATCCGGCTGTTGAAACTAGCCTGGTCAGCGCTCTGCCGTCAATTCAGGCTGCAGTCCAGCGCCTCGCCTATAAATTCTCATATCTTAACCCATCGCGGCCGCTCTTTCTTCTTTACCATCACCACCACCATCTCTCATACGTCTTATAGCTCCGTAAGTACCGCCACCATCGCTACAACATACCTAGCACGTCATGGTATCAACTCACCATCAGTCACCAGCACCAATTAGTGTATATTCGACATGGCGCCCCCAGGAAGTCGTAGGCCCTCTGAGCGTCGCGGCTCGGAAAGGCGGGGATCTGGGATGGACTCCAGGCGTCCTTCCATCGACCCGTCGCGTCTGATTCGTATGGACAAGTGCGTTACTCTCCTCGGCCAGATAGCACTGTTCGGTGCCCGCCGGTTAACTACGGGGACCATGCCGCCCATGCCTCCCAATGCAGTCTCTTTTGACCTCATTATACTCGGGCGACGTGTGCTGACAGTCCCCTCTTTGATACAGGACGCACCATCTCCAAGGAGCAGATGACTTCAACGTCGTCTTCGTCGGTGCTGGGAACATCATGTTCGGTGTGTTCGCCAGTTCTTTGTTCACGATTACTCCTCACTGATGCATACCCATCCAGGCTCTGATGAGGGCCCCTGGAACCACTCCTTCCGCCTGGAGCAGTGCGTAATATCACGTGTCCGGTACTAACACGCTTCGCGTTTTACTTACACTCCACCCCTATCGTGCTTCTAGCAAACTCGGTCCCCGTCTCAAAGTTGTTGCACTCATCGATCCGGCTATTGAACGTGCCACACAAGTGTTGCAAAAGAAATGCGAGACCTTCGTGCGGTCTGCGTACGAGAACACCCGCGTCTTCAGCACTCTGGAGGACTTCTTCAAGAACATGGCGCCTCGAGACCGGCCGAAGGCTGTCATCGTGGGCTCGCCTCCGATGTTCCGCGGTACCAGCAAATCCGGGAGGGATATCGAGTTGCAGATCATGAAGTTCTTCCCTGGCGTTGCCATGTTCATCGAAAAACCGATCGCCACTGGACCCGAGATTGAGCTGGAGGGAACGTTCCAAATCGCGGAAGAGATTGAGAAGAACGGTACCGTTTGTTCGGTCGGGTATGTTCTCGCGTTCTATTGTCCGTGTGTCTGATGAAGCTCATCGATCTGCGTGCTCTTCATGAAGTTACATGCTGAGGTACCTCAAGGCGGTTCAAATGATTAAGAAGGTCATCCATGAGGAGAACCTTCAAGTCGTGTCTACCATTGCCCGTTATGCCTGTGCCTACGAAGCCATTGCCAAGCCTGACTGGTGGGACAAGTCCAAGAGGTAACATCGTTCTCAGCTCACATACTACTCCTGTGGCTGATCCATCTGATTTCATTTGCGTATGATAGCTACGGTCCTGTTATCGAACAGGGCACACACTTCTGTGATCTCTCGCGCTACTTCGGTGGAGATGTCGACATCTCATCCGTCGTGGCCCACTCCCTCGAGTGGTACGAGAACCCAGGGCAGTTGAGCAAGCAGACTATCGACGAGTCCAAGATCGCTCCTGAGAACAGAATCCCGCGTGTTACCTCCGCAACCTGGTACGTATCGGCACCTACCATTTAGATTTTCTAGCTCATCCGTATTGCAGGAAATATGAGAGCGGTGCAGTTGGCAGCTTCATGCACGTCGTGGCGTTGCAGGGCCACAACTACAGCTGCGAACTTGAAGTCTACGCAGACGGATATCAGTTCAAGTAAGTGATTGTGAAATATATCGAGGAAAGCGGCTTTGCTGACGGTCTCTCCGATGTCAACAGGCTTATCGACCCCTACGTCCAGCCCGTGCTCTACATTCGTCGCCCAGGGTCAGATCTCGAGGAAACCCATCGCTTCCCTGACGACGATCCCTTCTTCTCTGAAATCTCGAACCTGATCGACGTCGTCGAGGACATCGAGGAAGACCCAGAGGGTGCCACGATCCTCAGCTCCTTCCAAGGTTCGTATCCCCTACCTGCAGAGCAGATCCAGTGACTAATATCGGTGCTTTCGTTGCAGATGCCACCAAGACCTACGAGCTCACTTGGGCCATCCGTAAGGCCAGCGAGGCGTCCAGGGTAAAGAACGCGGCCTGAGAATTCCGTTTGACTCTTCTTTGTGTTCGCGGGAATGGCCATGACGATCCAGACTAGACGGTATAGAGTATCCAGCGAAAGAGGCCTGTAGAACCCAAAAACAAAAGCAATTACTCCCCTTTGTACTTGTACAGTCCGCGCCGTTCTGTTTCGAATATGTACTGAACTGAATGATGTGGATTTTACCTTCCGATGATGTGCGGCCAGCTTAAGCTTGTCCAGGATCGAAGAGAATAGGAGCGAAATAATCGGGAATAGGGGCGGCGAATTACGGACCCACAGGGGTCTATTTCACGTGCGTGGGAAAGGCTGAGTCAGCAATCTTTGTTGATCGTCCTGCGTGACGTTCGTTTGGAGCGCGAGACTTGCACGCGCTCCGCTCGACCACTATCATCTCCCGCCCCGCCCCTGCAGGCTGCCAGTGGCCACCACTCTTCCTCCGCAAGCTAGTCACCAGCGCCACAACAACACACATCGACTACTACTCAGAAGAAAACAACAATGTCCAGGTCACTGACCTCTGCCCAGATCATCGCGCTGGGGGAGTACCTCGAGCCCGACTTCGAGGCGGGTTCTCTTACTGTGTCTCAGCTGCTCGGGATCTTTGGATATCACAACATCAAGTACCCTGCGCCCTACACGAAACCGAAGCTGGTGCAGCTTTTCAACGATGAAGTCAAGCCGAAATCGAAGAAGTTCAAGAAGGAGAGGTTGAAAAGGGAGAACAGCGTCGCTAGTGACGATGGGATAAAGGACGGGCTTACAGGGAGATATATCAATGACGATGCCTTGGTAGGCTTCTATCTCTTCCTTTTGCGCTACTTCTACCGTACATGTAATGACGATTCGACATTACGTTGTTAGCCTTTAAGACGCTCTTCGAGACGATCGTCTAGGGCTCCGTCCCAGGACTCTGAGATCGTGGAAGTCAAGCCTGTGCCCGTGCCGGTGAGCGCCTAAATGACTCCTCGACGCGCTAATGCTGGGATCCTCATGTTTGACTGCTGGAATAGGCACCACAGCCCCAACCGAAACGGCGTCGTTCGTCTGCGAAACCTGATTTGGGGGGCCCGTCGAAACAGGTGCCACCGCCACAGTCGCCGGTCATGGAGGAGAGCGAGCCGGAAGAAAGTGAAGAGGACGTACCGGTTCGTAAAGTGAGCAAAGGAAAGAAGAAGGTATGTTTTGGGCGTGGTGCTTCATCTGCGACGTGTGCTGATGCTTTGATATTAGTCGGATGCGAAGTCCCGTCGATACTCTACGGTGCGTCTTGTTGACGTGGCAAATTGTTTTCTTCGCACTGACCTTATATTCCGTATTCCTCTGATACAGCACGAAGACAGTGGATGGGAAGACAACAATATCTTCCAGTCTGGCGCTGAATCTTCTTCCCCCGTTCGCCCCTCACCCACCAAACCACGAGCAACCCGCAAGAGCAACCCACCCAAGGTCGTCACCCGACGCTCCTCCCGCAAGGCCGAATCCGCACCACCTGAGATGCCCTCATCGCCGTCCCGAGAAATGCCCGACCCGATCGACTTCCTAGCCCCTGTGGCCGAGACTCCCCTCAAAGCGCCCAAGTTCGAGCCTGTGCTCACTCCAGATGTGTTCCGCGAGAGCAAGATCATTGCGAGTGGGGGCTTGACGAGCAGTCCGTTCAAACCCGCGATATCCACGCCGGGGAGTCCTTTCAAGACGCCGATCAGTCCGTTCAAGTCACCAGTGTCGAGGCCTTCGCTGGTTCATCAGGAGACACCCAGCTTCGTCAAGGATGCTCGTGACGATGAGGAGTTAGAAGAAGTATTGGAGGAAGGGTCGAGCAACATGTTCAATTTCGATTTCGATGCCGACAAAAGCGCAAGTGCGGATGTAAGTAAAGTCGAGGCTGACGACGAGGCCTCGGGGGTGCCAGACGAAGAAGTAGCAGAGGAAGGGGAAGAACAGGTGGAGGAGTCGGAGGCTAAGCAGACGAACGCCGTCACGCGTCGCATCGCTGACACCAGTACGGCTATCGTACAACGAGTACAGGAACCTACATCCGGAATGGGTCGCAAATCTCTCTCTGCTATGATCCTCTTCATCGCCGTCTCGCTTCTATCTCTCGTTCCCTATAAGCAGGAATCATCGTCTATCGGTTTCTGCGACCCCGGACTCGATACCAACGAAATCCTAGAAGGTCTGCGTACCAGACGGGTAGCAGCTGAAGAATGTGCCGCGGAGAATAGGACGCTTCTCTACATCACTCCCGTCGCTTCCGCCAGCTCTTCAGCCGTCGCAAGCGAGAACAGTGCCGTCGCCCAGTCGCAGGCAATTGACCAACCTGTTTGCCCTCCGCCAGCCCTAATCCCTATTCCCAGTCCGAACGCCTGCACACCATGCCCCGAGCACGCCCAATGCTCACATAACAATATCGTCTGCGACAGCGGTTATATCATCCGCCCTCATCCCGTCCTCGGTTTCCTGCCCTTCCCCATGACCAACTCTCTCAACTCGCCTCTACCATCCCTCCAACCCATCGCACCCACACGGGCCATCCTTTCTGGTGTCTCCACGGTGTTCGACGGTCTGCCTGGTTTTGGCCCCGTCGCGTTCCCCCCGCACTGTGTTGTCGATCCTCGACGGAAGAAACATATTGGTGTCCTGGGGAAGGCCGTGGAGGCCGTGCTGGGACAGGAGAGGGGCAAGCGGTTGTGTGCGGGTGATACTATCCCTGTGAAAGATGAGAACGGAGGCGAGGCGAAGCGTTGGGGCCTGGAAATCAGTGCCCTCAAAGAGGCCATGAAGAAGAAGACCGCGGTATGTCAATGGTTTTTGTTGTGTGGTGCTCGGTGCACTCATCACGATTGTGGTTTCTAGCCCCAGCTTATGGACACATTTGACGACACTTTCGATGAAGCCATCGAACAGCTCCTGACTTGGGGCGGTGTCTTCACCCGCGTTGATACAGAGTGCGTCCTAGACATATACGCAACTTAATGCGATGTGCTAACATCTTTTGTAGAGGGCACAAGTTCATTGCACACAACACTCCGGATCTCGACTGGGCCTGTGCACTTACAGTCAAGTCGAGAGAGGGCTGGCAAGAATGGAGACTTACTCTGGGCGGTATGTATTTTTCTTCGTCGAAGTTTGTATACGTCCTAAGCAATGCTTTCTATAGGCATCCTCACGTCGTTCATTGCACTCCTTTATGGAAGAAACTCGCTGCGGCAGCGCGCGATCGACAACAAACGCGCCGCAGAACTCGTCCAGATCGTCCTTGACACTCTTCGCAACCAAGAAGTTCGACACTACACAGATCCCGTCTCTGAACCCCATCCTTACATTTCTTCAGTCCAATTGCGAGACCAAATCCTGCAAGATGAGCATTCGGTGAAGAAAAGGCAATACCTGTGGGATAAAGTTGAGCGCGTGGTAGAGGGCAATGCGAATGTGAGGGCGAACCTGGAAGAGGTCGAGGGCGGGGATGAGTTGAGGGTGTGGCGCTGGGTTGGCGGTGGCGCGAGAAGGAAGACGTTGCTCGATGACTAAGGTGAGGTGTGCTAGAATGTAAGAATAATGGCGTGCCTATCTCGCGATGTGTCTCTTTTTTTATGGTTGATTACTTATTGTCAGTATCTTTTGAATTCGTTTTGTTTTGTTTTTGATCTGCTTCCTCCTTTCGTGCCCGGTTTCGTCTTGCCTCCGTAGCCTGTCTCATGGTGTACTTGTGGAATCGGCCTTCTATTAACTTCTCTCTGGAACTACAGCGGATGGTTCCAACGCCACACGCTACGTACTGGTCTGCACTGTCTTCCCTGTGGCTTATGATCAGGTCTTCCTCACGGTCATCTCCACTGAGTGCCGTTAGCTTTTTGCGGTGCTTCAAGTCATATACGTTGTCTCGCTTCTTCCCCACCTTCGAGAATTGGTTCCATACAACGTCACCAACCGATTTGCATAGACGTGAGCGACACACGTTTCGTCTTTCACCGGCCAGCCACCATAATCTCCACTTCTTCGTCTCCTTCTGTCGTCCACTGTCGTACTATGTCCCTACCTCCTCGGCTCCCTCTGCGTATATATACCCAGAATACGATCAAATACTTCCGTCACGATGTTACTTATTGTCGTCCTCCTCGGAGTCTAGCACAAGTCTGTAAGATGAATGTTCTGACGTCTGGGTTCAAATTCTTCAGTTTCCCTGCACCTTTCGCTCTAACCTTAGCAAGATTCAACAGCCTGTCAGTTATTTCGTTGGGCTCCAGTTCGTTGGTAAATTACGATCGGGGGTACGAAACGCCAGTTGGTCCAGGTCTGTGAAGGACTAGTCCGGTCGGCCTTCATTGACCTATCGCCATCGGCCCTCTAAGTTCTGAATCTCGTGTGCGCATTTCAATTTGCAAGCGTTTATGTTCGAGGTGATTGGATAGATATCACGAGGCGAGAGTCTGGACTAAGCGTAGTCCAGAACGTCCTGTATCAAGAGGCTTCAGGAACTCGCTAGTGAACGCCACCATTGAACTTCTGAACCTCCTTCCGCGAGAAATCCAGGTTTGAGCACTCTCCCAGGCTCCGGAGGCATCATAGTGGCACTGTGACACGTTTACTTGTACAGCCCAAACCCGAGAGCCCCATATACTTCCGTCCATCGAGGTCCATCGCTGCATAGTATCAAAAATCATTCCATTTTCCCCAGCCCAGCAGCCGGCAGTGTCAGCCAAGATTGGCCTTCAGTGCCATGCCAGCGAGACACGCCGTCGTAACCTCCCTGCCCTTCCGGGCCACATTGAACAATGCATGCATGCCAACGATTGTGCGAATGACGAATTCATTGGACGATCCAGATCGCATGCAGCAGCGAACTCGGAATTTGCTTCCATTGCGCTTTGACGAAGCCCGCGTCTGTTCGCCAATCAGCGCGTTGCGGCGTCTCTTTCGCTTTGTTTCTGCGGCGTGAGCGATCTGGGTGGGTGAGAAGAGAGATCTTGGGTCTCGATTGCTCGATCGGAAGCAAACGAAGGGGATTGAAATTGGAAGTGGGGTACCGGTGGTGTCCCGGGGGATAATTGCGAGTGGATGATGGTGGTGGCTCGCGAGTGCCTGTCCTGTCTTCTAGTAGAGAACTCGAAAGTCTGGGTCGTATGTGTTTATGCCATGGGCCTCGACGTCGACGTCTCAGACAGGACAGTGGAGACGATTCGAGTTCGAAATTCGAAGAATTTGAGGGTTAAGGCACATCTTTGTGACAGTGCTTGACAATTGAAAGAGACACAGAGATAGAAAGAGCCTAGGCATATACAAGTTCGAGGGTACAGTACAGCATCCACTTGTCGTCGAGAAACCACCATCGCGACCTTCGCGAACTCAGGTTCAGACCACGTATGTGACTCTGACTCTCAGGATATTCGGGTAATAGGGCAAAATGAGTCTGGACCCGAGCGCAGTGAAAGACATACCCAATCGGGGTATAATAGCGTTAGTATGTCTTCGTCGACTTCGATGTGATTCGAAACATTCAATGGATCTATGTAAGTAGTGCTCGTAGTTCTGCCTTCTAGACTTCGCATCTTCTAGGTTCCTTGCCAGTGGGAGTCGAGAGCTACAGTATGAGTGTGCGCGCGAGAGCTTACTGCGACTAATCAATCACGACCTAAAAATGGGCACACCACAAGCACGCGAACATTGCGTTCGTCACATTCATACCGAACAGGGAACGACCAGAATCTACGATCGAGACACTGCCGGCGACAATGACCGTGGGCCTGTGGCAAGTTTGTGGCGACAGTGGACCTTAAACCATACGATGCGCCCAAACAGTATAGTAGTCAACGGCGGCCGATATTAACTTACAACCAACAGTCCAACGTGCGCATGCATCATCAAAAATCGGCGTAAACCCCGTTCAACTTGAACCATCAACATGGTCGGACCGCGCAGTGGCTGGTGATTGTGCCGTATCCTGATGCACCACTGCGATAGTGTCTGTATGTGTGCACAGTAATAGCGGGCAAAGTCGACCATGTGCAAGATCGCCTGGATCAGTGTTGTGCTCCTAGCGTCCGATTGACGACGGAGCGCTCTGTGCTTAGGGTCGTCAGTAACCGTATGATACAGACCCCTTGACCAAAGGTCGTTCGTATCGGTCGTGGCGTAGCGCGTCCGTCAAACACACTATATCACGTTTTAGTCCAAATCCTGCACTCGTAGTCAGATGTTGGCCCCTTTCCGTTTACGGGTCCCGGTGTACTATGTCTGTGTACGATTACTGCACAACGGCGGCATAAGGCCCCCACCCTCCAGCGTTCGCGCTGCTATGCATGCTCATAGAGGCACCCATGGGCATCCCCACCTGAATCTTCTCGATCAACGCCCGCTTCATGAATTGTTCCTCGGCGAGCACGCGCGTCGTCTATTTTTCCAGTCGCGATTTTTTTTTTTGAGTATTTGCGTTTTGATGTCGTCGTCGCGCCGCGGAGTTGTGGAGTGGTTGAAACAAGGAAGGACGTGCCAAGAGCAGCGATCCGCCGTTTGAAGGGCGGAGGTGTCAAGGGAGGCAAGGTGCAGAGAGCAAAGTTCAGTCAGTCTCACATGCAACGCGCGCCACAAACGGACAGCAAAAGGGAAGATGTAAGCTGTAAGCAGCTAGGGAAGTTGTCATGTCATCGGACAGACGGAAGTGAAGGTGACCAAATAATTTGACGATGGGAGATCGCAACAACAATAGTGTGGTGGCGGCGGAGACAGCGAGATCCGATAGGCACGAGATCGAGCACGAGAACGAGGATAAGGAGGAAGGCGAGGGAAAGAAGGGGCAAGAAGGGCAGGACGTACCCGAAGAAACCGGTCCAGGTCGATTCGGCCCGCGTTCAGGGCGCGGTGCAAGTGGTAGATGGTATCCTCGATGGCGTTGTCCTCGGCGACCAGGTCAATAAGCCTGGCAAGGTACAAAAAAGGAAAGATCAGTACGGATCGCCCCATGTCCAGCAATCGCGAACCAGACGCATCAGTGTGGTTGTAGACGCGGCACATCACGGAGGCAAAGCAGACGCGGCGTCTGCATTTGAGCGTCCGAGAGCTTGGCCACGAGCCATTCGGGTCGCAGTTACGCTACACAGGCATGACGTGCCAGGATAGGGTAACGGTGGATGCCAGGGGATTGATGATGATGACGAGGAAGAAAAAGGCTCACTGATTGTGAACAATTGACGTCGAACAAATTAGCTCGTCCACGGGCGGATCTCCCTTCCTCTTCAGTTCCGACACGTTTTTCTCTGCTTGCCCGACGGTCCCGCTCAGTCTCCCCGCCACACCCCGACAAACGTCGCGCACGGCCTCAAGTCTCGCCATCTCGTCCTGAATGGCTGGCATACCCGTGAGTAAATCGGCTTGTTGAGCGCGTAACCGTTCCGCGTCCTGCGTCATTGTATGTGTGAGCATGGAAAGTTCCGACGTCAGTTCACCGTGCACACGAGCGTGGAGGCTAAGCAGCTCGGGGTTTGGAGGACGCGGAGGTGCAGGCGCTGGGGCGCCTCCTGCAGAAGCAGGAACAGAAGATACAGGCGCTTCCTCGAAGATTTCTTCGTCCAGGAGGTCGGGAACGGGTTGGGGCCGGGGTGGTGGGACCACCGATTGTGGTGTTTGCACTGGATACGAATGCTGTGGTGGTGGGACGTGTTGCGGGACATTATAGTTATGTGTTTGGAAAGGTGGTGGTGGTTGGGGTGGTGAGACCGTCTGAGGATTGACAGGTACAGGAGACGCTATAGTTCCGGGAGGAGGAGGGACTGGCGCTGATGATGGTTGCGGTGGTGGTAATGACCACCGATGATGTGTAGTTGACGCTGAACTTGGCGACGCCAGAGAACTCGACTGGTGTGGTGGTGGATTCGGCACTTGAGGAGAAATTACACCTATGGACGTACTTCGCTGATGGGGCTGTGCAACCAGTCCCGGACTGCTGTGAATTTGCTGTGAAGATCCGGCCCAGAAAGGTTGAGGTGGAAGTGGAGGTTTCGGGGGAGGTACTGGCTAAAAACGAGAATACCATCATCAGAACAGGAAAGGGGGTGACATAGAGAATATAGACTGACGCTCTGGTACCTAGCGGGCGATGATGTACCACCATTGGAGTACGGAGGTGATTGAAAGCCGGGAGGCGTAGAAGAAGGGGCAGGGGTAGCCGTCGCAGAAGGGGGCTTGGGAGGTAATGCCGGACGGACATGGTGAGATGCGGGAAGAGGAGCAGTGATGGGGGTATTGGAGGTCGTTCGAGAAGAAGGAGTCGGGGGTGGTGGACGAGAAGCATAGTCAGAAGCTGGGGAAGAGACCGTGCGAGGCGGTACGGGTCCAGCTTGCTGCTTCGGTTTGGAGTACACCGGGGGTTCTGCTGAAAATTGGGCTTGGAGAGCTTCGACCAAGGCAGGTAGGCTGCAGCCCTATGGCGGCTGTGGTGAGATCAAGCGAGATCAGGGTAGCTTCCTGACATACCTCGCTCTTCCTTTCCCAGGATGTGATGTAGTCGATGGTGCAAAGACCGCTGACCTGGACGAACCTTCCTGGCCTCACGAGCATATCTGAGGTGGGGATAACATATGATATAGGAGGTCCGCGAGGGTAATCCTTTGTGACCCAAATCGCGACGGGGATGTGATAGGCCGCATTGCGGAAGGTTATGGGAAGGAGACCGTGGAGACAGAGTAACAATTGCGTGCGCCCGTCGTCATAAGCTGAGTATAATAGCAAGTGAGCATGGCCTGGCCGGAGGAGATAGCAGAACACGACGCACTGTAGACGTCTGTTTTCGGGCGGAGCGTCGGAAAGCGAACGAGAGTCGCGTCTACGTCTGCAAACAGCCTGTCCTGGTGCTGGTATGAGGATATGTTCTGTCTGAGCCAGGCGTGGACGAGCGCGTTGGACATTGTGAGTTGGAGAGCGCGCTGTGGCCGGACAGCCGCGGGTCAGGGATTGGCGGGGCACATGAGCCGGGCCATCGGTGCGGACCCCGCATGCCCAATAGGGGAGAGGTGCTGGCGGGCTGAGCTGGTGGAACCTTTTTGTTCTTGTTCGTCGTCGCAGATGGACTGATCTCCGGACGTCCGGGACTTGAACCCTTTGCTGTTTGCTCTCTTTACCGAAATGACCTCGAATGAGCTCCGACTATTAATTGCGAGTCTATGCCTTACCGGCTCTGCCGGGGGGAAGCTTGCCTCATTTGGAACCTTGAATGGCCCCATCATGGCTACGACTCATCGGAACTTGCATGCCGTATCGAATGGCGCTCGTTCCGCACAGACTGTTCCTGTGCAAGACAAGCACGTCCATGCGCTCGACGACATCGCTGGGGCGCAGCCAGTCAAACACCGGCCTTCTACTCCGCAAGAAGCCCGGATGCGGCACTCGTATTGTTTCACACGCAAGACATCGGGACACGATCTCGCCGACCCCTCGGCGGCGCTGGGGGCGCTCGTATCTCCAACCCACCGGTCCGAGCTTCCCTTTTTGACAGCCCCTTATTACCATCTCCAACTATTTGATCCTCCTTGAATGACTTGTATATAAAAGCCTCCGCGGCCTCTCCCTTTCCTTCTCCCCGCCTCTTTCCGCCTTGTTCCTCTCCTCCGTCCACTCGCCCAGCTTCCTCCCTCTCCAGCGCGCACTCATGTCGCCATCATCTACTGCGCGCTCCCATAAGAGCCCTAAGAGCTCTAGCTCTACGTCTTCCGCGGCCCGGAAGACTCTGACTCCGCAGAGAAAACATCGGAAAATGCTTCGAGACGGTACCAGCGAGGTTTGGCCAGAAAGTGTCGAACAAATATTCGTTCAAGGTCTGTTTCACTTTGCTTTTCGTTCCTTCTAGCCATATTCACGCAGATTTTCGCTCGTAGGTCTTCGCCAATACTGGGAATCGCCTTGGGCAACTTACTCCCGCGGTCGTAGCCGCTGGCGCAACCAATATCTCGTCGACCATCTTCGCAGTGCCGGTATTACTCGAACAAAGAAACAAGTCGCAAGCCATATTCAAGTCTTGCGAAACATGTGGAAGGGCGAGGCCGGTAAATTTTCTGCGCAGTCGTTAATTGACTCGATCTCCACTAACCACCGCTCTTTATGAATAGAATATCAACTTGTCGCAGGAGGCGAGGAGCTATTTCAGGAGGATGGGCTCCTTGTATCCCCAAATACAAAGGAACGCAGCCCAGCCTCAGCCTCTTCCGGTCCTTCCGTCAAGGAGGAACGTACCGAGTCCCAATCACCGCTGACATCTCCCACGGCTCCTCTCCTTGATTGCAACTTTCACAGCGATCCGAGCTCGCATTCTTCTTCTCCTATTGGCCTTCCTTCTCCTAACTATTTCCTCAATCCAACTCTCCCACCGCCGCTTGCTCTGTCTTCGCCGTGTTCCTCTTCCTCCGGGCCACGGCGCTCTGTCAAGGATGAACCCATCTTATTGAACCCACCGTTATATTTCAACGATTCGTCGTCTATACCCCTCTCCAACTCCATCCTTCATTCCCTACCTTTGCCTCGCAACTTTATCTCTTCCGTGTCGGTCTGGGCCGAGGGTGTGAATAGCCTCTCCATCGACGTCAGACAGGCCTCCCTATACGCGCACTCCTCGAGGAACGGCTCCTTCAATAAGGCTGTCGTTTGCTTCCGACTCTGCCTCCCCTCACTCAACAACGGCTCTCCAACCCTGCACGGCTTCTCCGCCGCCATCGCCTTCGGAGCTCCATGGACGACTTCCGCGCTGTGCGTCACCCGTGCCTATGCCGATAACTATTGCGATACTCGAGAGAGCGCGAGCCTCGGGCTCATGAACTCATCGCGCACAGCTGGGAGTGCCTGTCAGCCCGTGTCAGTCGTGCTACCAGATTCGTGGCTGTCGAGGTGCAGATGGCGTCAGGATGGTGAGTACTTTACACAGCACGGCAGCTTTGCCTTTTTATATTTCACCGCCCTCAACAGCGTGCGCGAGCCTCATTGCTGACACGTGCAACGTCGTGTTTTTATAGGCATCGAGAACCATGTCGTCCAGGACATCACAGTCGACGGCGAGGACCTGCTTTCCATCGTCTACGAGCTCCAACGGACCCCGTTCGGGCCTGCGTCGGCAGAGTTCATGGGGTACAACAATCCCGAGAAGATGCGCTTTACGACTGGCACCGACAACGTCTCTACGTCGAGCTCGTCCTCTTTCACACCCGCCGCTGAACCTCATTGCGCATCGCCATCATCGTCATTGTATACCATCCCCATCGCCTCGAGTAGCTGGAGCCACACGAACACGTGTACGGTACCTCGATCAGAGGACTCGTCACTGTACAATTTCGGGCAGGGCAGGCACTGTGTATCGCCCTTATCACCGGCAACGTCTGACATGGGATCGACTGCGTATCCTTTTTCCTCGTCGGCCCTCTTTTCGTGACCTCTCCAACCCTCTCGGAGGTCGATGTCGCGGTGGAGCAGGCCTGTGCGTTCGGTGCTCGGGTGTGATCGTTGTCATCGCTTCATCGGCGAAGTTAGACATACGTAGTCACATATGCGCTTTTTTCTTTTTCTCACCTCTTGTCTCTCCGTATGCTTTTTGCTTCTTCCGTTTTTGTCTTTGGCCTGGACACGTGTAGGATACCGATCGATGCGATTGCATTGCTGTGTGCGCTGCGAACGCTTGTCTCTGTTTCTATCTTGGAATTTGCTTGGAATGCCCCAGCCGGGCTATGGATACGATTTCAACTTTTCACTTTTTGACGACTTGATTTTACGAACCTGCATCTGACTGAATCTTACCATATTCCCCCTCCGGCTTCGTCCATCCTCCGAGTGGGTGACGAGTTCCCGCTACTTACTACTCGGTTTGGTCCGCCGTTGTTGTTTATCCCTTGCTCTGCCCTGTTACGTTGTTACGAACGCTCCCACCCCATCCCGTCTCAAACAGCCCATCCCATATCCATCTGTATCTCTAGCACGGCTCAGTACCAGTTTTGGAATTCCAGTGATGAAATTCGCATCTTCTTTTGTGTTTGTTCTCCGGTTCCCCGATGGGGCTCTCACGGCTATTCGGAAGTAAGCTTGTGCTTCGGAAGGTGATCGCAATCCTTTAGGAACAAAGGACACTACCTTCGCTCATACTTTGCTCACGGCAGCTTTGGGAAGCGGGGACGTCGACGCGCAGGCTAAGTGAGAGCAGAAATAAAGAGGCGTGCGTCATCGCCACATTGGCATGCCTCAAGTTTTGCCTCGAGGCTCACACAGCCTCTGCACGAGTTTTTATCTTTACCTCCCAAAACACACGTCCTCTTCGCACACACGTACGCAAATGACGAGGTACGACTCAGCACAGACAAAAAAAAGGGAGCAGACGACCGAACGAAAGAAAAAAAAAGCGCGATAAAAATCTGTGCTGCTGATCTGGTCTAAACCTTTTCGAACCTGGCCAACTTCTCCGCCTGCTCCCTCACCCTCTCATCCACATGACACCTCCCCAACAACCCGAGTTCCCAAAAGCTCGTCCCGAAAGGATTACAAAGCTGCGGGTCCTCCAGATCCGGCCGATACACGCCGTCGACCGTCCTGTCCTCCGTGCTCAACAGCGCCTCGAGCTTCGGGTCCCTCACCAGGAGCGTACGCACGAACTCGAGCGTTCGGAGTGTGGTGGGTGCGGGCCAGTGGAGTGAGGCTGTGAGCAGACGTTTTGCGAACGCTGCGGACCGCCAGGGGGGGATAGGACCGCCGGATGTGCGAGGGGAGAAGGCGAGTTGGAGGGAGCGGAAGAGGAGGTCGGATGTGGATGTGCTTTTTTGAGCTTTGGCGCTTTGGGGTTTGTTGACGCTCCGAGCGTCTTTCGAGGCGGAGGCGCTGGAGGCGCTAGAGGTGTAAGACGCTGTGGGCGCTGGCGCTTCTTCAATGTCGGAAAGGAGAGCGCTAGAGAGGATGATGCTGTAGAGTTGGGTCATAAAATCGCTCAAGTCGATGTTGAGCGCCTCGCCTGTGTGTGTAAAAAAATAGACCGAGCAAAGTGAGAAGGACAAAAAAAAGTTTAGCAACTTGGTGAGATCTTGGGGCAGTCGGAGATGCAGCTAGGCCGAGGACAGAACGAGAAGATACGGGGTTTAGATGGATCAACTAACCTTGACCCGAGAGCAGTTCAAATGCTGTCACAATGCACTGTAGTCGGAGTCGCATATCGTTTCCCCGGCTCACCGCATGCGACTGAGACGGTACAGCTACTTGCTCGTCCGCTCCAGCAGATTCGCGGACGATCAACTCCTTCAAAACTTTCATGAGATCCTTGAAGAAATCGATGCTGACGAGGTGGGCAAATCTGGAAATACCCTGCAGCGCGGCGGGTAGAAGCGGAGTCGGAGACGGATTCTTCATGATGCGGAAGTAGAGAACGAAAAGTAGCTTCAGGGTCTCCGTTTGCTATCGATCATGAAACGGTCAAGTGGGCCGCGTCAGTGGTATGATTTTAGAGCTTGGACGGCAAGAAGAGAACAAAAAAGGAGTTCACTCACATGTGAAGATCGTTCCTCCTTATCGACCTCAGCTTCCGCCTCCTTCATCTCCTTCTCGATCTCTTTCCGCTCCTTTAGAACCTTCTTCGCTTTCTTGCTCAGGTGGGGCTGCTGAGGCTTATCCTTCCCTTTCTTCCCTCCCTTGCCCTTTGCGGGCGCGGTCTCTTCCTTCTCGGCCTTGTCCTGAGAGGAGCGTACGCCGAGCTCGGATTTGAGCCGGAGATGAAGGAGACAAGAGAGCACGTTTGGATGTATATTGAACCGCCGTTCCTTAACCATGCGGTTCAATAGACGAACAAGCTCGAGCGAAGCTACGCCAGTCTCGTCATTTCGAAAAACGGAGACGATTGCGTTCAGACAAAGGTCGGAAGACTGTTCTCCGGAGAAGTCAATAACACCAAAAACAATCACAGAAGGGGTCAGAACGCAAAGCGATCGCGAGCGAGAGGACGAAGCGAACGGACCTCATCCCAGGATTTCTTGCTCAGCCGAGCGACGATAGCCGTGGCCAGGTTCTCGCGAAAGTTGAAGTGTGTGACATCGACCAAAAGCGTACACATACACCGGAGAGCCACGTCCGCTAGTTCAGAATTCGCTATCATACACAAAGACAGTCAAATCCTAATTCATAAGCGGCCCTGAGCGGTAATGAATCGTGTGGCGGAAAGACAATACCTTTTAGTTCTGCGTCGAGCGATCGTAGATACGACTGATACACCCCAACGAGCCCCTGCTCCCATTCTCGCGTCCTAGCGACCATCTGACTGACTTTCTCGGCTTTTTCCTTGTCCGTGAGGGCTCGTATCCTATATCCCGGCAGGACGTCCTTGAAGACCGAAAGCTGAGAAAGGATAGCGAGTTTGCGAATCATAGGGTCGTTAGCCACAGGTTCAGGATGGGCCGCAGTGGAGACCTCGGGAAGGGAAAACGTATGCAATCGCCGGAGGAGTCCAAGCTGCGGGACAGTCTGTCAGATATCGAATATGCGAGTGATATGTGGCGTACTTACACTATCCTCGGGGTCACCAATGATTTCCTGGCAAATCCCCGCAATCTGCTCCTTCGCCGCTTGTACCCTCGCCTTTCGAGACTTGGTCTGAAGGACATCTGTGACGGAGGCACGTCCAAACCGAGCACCTGTCAAGATATCCTCCCGCTTCGACCAAGGTTTTGCGGGGGTGGGCTCTTCCTCCTCATCCTCGCTCTCTTCCACCTCCTTCTCCCGTATAACGATCTGCTCCCCGTGTTTCTGTATCCGACCGTCAGCCAGCTTTATCGGCAGACGATCTATGGCCTTCTTCTCGTCCTCGTCGTCCCAAGAAGGCCGACGCTTCCGTGGCAGGGCCTCGTACGACATTTCGACGTCAAAGTCAGAGTCTCGTGGTCTGGCGCGGGGTTTACGAGCAGAGGGCTCAGAAGCAACGTCGTCGTCAGAGAGAGCAGAGTCAACAGTCGCCAAGTCGTCATCATTGTCAATAGCAGAGCTCCAGTCGTCCTCTTCCTCATCGCCGGAGTCGGAGTTTATAGACGGAAGGTGATCTTCTGCGAGGCGTTTTGCCGGAGCAGGTTTCGTCAAGCGATGTAGACGGTCTTGCTCCTTTTTACTCCTACTCCATGTAAATACTCGCATCATCGAAGAGCGTAAGAATAACTTGCCTGGCGATACCTTTGGCGTCCAAACTACCCAAGAATCCAACGGCTGGGCCGTACTCCTCCAACAATTCCAGGTCCTGATCCGACAACTCTGCCTCGTACTCGTCGTCTTGACCAGGTATCGGTATCATCAGTCTGTCGTATGCATGGTCCTTCCCTTTTCCCTTGGGCTCCTTCGATTTACCATTCTTGGAGGGTTTGCTCGATGATAACTTGCGTTTCTTCGAAGGACCCTAAATAACACAGAGAATTAATGAAACAAGCTCTGACCGAGAGAAATTAAGAAAATTGCTGAGATACCTGGGCGGATGAAGATGGTCGTTTGTTGGAAGATTTGGTACCCATGATAAGAGAGGCGAGAGAACGCCAGTCGTCGAGGAAAACGCGAAAGCAACGAGGCTTCAGCAAGACTGCAGGATGTGCAGAGAGCAGGCAGGCACGTTCAGAAAGTTTGATTGCAAATTCGTTTTAGAAGATCGCCTTCCAAGAAGAGGGATATATTCCCACGATTCCTCGACGCCACAGACGCGCCCGGGCCAACCGCGTTCCAACTTGAACTTCGCCGTCACGGTTCCGCCAGGTTCCGCCCTCATTCACCAACACTCGCGCGGCCAGCTTCTCTTTGTACCACCATCTGAGTGCCCAATCCCGTTTCATACAACTCCTGTTTTGAAAGCGCTGGAGATCAGGCGCATCTGCGCCCACTGGGAACGCCATCATGGAAACGCCAGAGCCACCACCGACCACTCACACTCTGAGGCCACACCATCTCTGCCTCCTCATGATTATAATGCTAGTAATCAAGCACATGGAACGGACAACAGCCAACAATGACTTCCTAATGCATGTACTTCCGGTGCTGATATACGAGGTCGCAGAGGTTTGTATCCCCACATCGTCCTCTCGAAGCACGAGCACCACAATAACAGTCATAAACAGGTTTCCCGTCCCAAAACATATACACAACTACTCGCGATATTTTACATGCTTCCTCATAGTCAAGATCCTGGAGCTGTTCAATTCTTTGAATCAATCAAACCGATGGTGAGTGGCGTTCTGCACTTATACAACAATCCTGGGCTGAGCTCTGCTGCGCAAGCATGTGGATTTTGTCTCCGTGGACCATCTCGCAAATTTCTTCGCAAGTAATGATGTTCTCATGTTTAGTGTCATTTTCTGGATCTCTAAGTATTTTATCAAGGTGTTTTTTTCCTTGTCGCAGATAATAACAGGCCATCGGGTCAAGTGAGCATTTCGTAGACATCCTTTTTCTTCAGAGCTGACGCGAGCTGCACCTTCTCTTTCAGTCAGATCTGGTGGGCCCCGTATCTTTGAGACCACAAAGTAAACTCCCTCACACATCCTCTAGGCTCGACGTTCTCTGCTCGGCTACTACTGCCGCAGGTGTCATACCACCTACCAGAAGATGTCCTACAACGGCATCGCCAAGCTTATACAAGACTATCACGACTGGATCTACGTGAATCCACTGGCAGGTTACCACCCGGTGAGGAAAGACATCATCACCTATGGTGAGTTGTTGTTTTGAGCTGCACAAAGGGTCCACTGATCAATAGCGCTCCAGACACGGTACTGCACAAGACACATGCAGACGAATACCAGTGGGCCATACCGGATCCCTACGCCGTGTGAGTCCGTGATTGTCTTTGTTGTCGCGGGCCTCACACAAAACTGATGATTTAAACAAGCTTCGAGAGAGGCCTGGCGATCGCTGATACAAACGTGGCCTCCGAAAGTCTTCGCCGCTTCTTCGAGCAACATTTCCACGACGGCAGTGATTCGTATGTTCAGGTTTTTCCGTTTATATTGTGCACCGAACTGATGTGACTCTCAGAGGGGTTCGTCAGCATGCACTGCTAAACCTGTCTCGTATGCATTATCTCCACCACGAATATGCGGCAGCTCGCAAGGTCTGTTGAGGCAATATTTACGGTGATGGATTATTGCTGATAACGCGACCTTGACTCCAGTACTTGGCGGAAGCCATTGATGTGTCACGAATAGCAAACGACAAGGAGACTCTACAGCACTGCCAGAGGTCTGCCATATATTGTCCTTGTTTTCAATCTTGCAGTAACTGAGCCCGTTTCAGTTTATTGAACAGACTCCCTGCCCTAGTTCGAGGATCTAGACCAGCCCTAAATGAAATTCAGCCCGGTGTTCACCCTTTGGAACTATTATTTGATGTACAGAAACTCATGAGAGTCTCAAGCGTATGATTGTTTCTCGTTGCTTGTTTTGGCCCTCCTAACATTCGGCGTTGACCACAGGAGCAACCGCTGAATGCTGCATTTGAGAAGATTACACAAGCAGTGGGGTTGTATGACCATTGGATCGACGTACAACAAAATGTTCCAGAGGACTCGGAACAATGGGCGCATCATGCTGTGCAATCCATCGTCTGGAGTGCGGCAGGTGTGTTGTCCGGCAACTATCCTTGTTCGTCTCCCCTAACTGTCAATGCAGGTTGCGACAGACTTGCCGCAATCGAGGAAGACATTGTTACCGCATTTACCGAAGTCGCCGGGGATGACAATTGTACGATCACAGTGGCTTTGAACCGTGCTTATCGGGTGAGTAGGTTTTCTCGTGAGCTTGTTGACCGGCCGCTGATACTTGTTTCCGATGACATAGCGAGCACGTCAAGGAAAGTATGAAGAATCCATTGCCACACTGCTCGAACCCGACGTATGGCGTGGTCTGGCTCTCGACGACTACGTCAAATGGGCTACCGAGATATGGAACATCCTGGTTCTGAGAGCAAGTCGTCGGTAAACAGAACCTCTATTCGATCATGTCCCGTTCATTCCGCTGTTTTGTCTCGGAAGGCTGATCGCCTGTCTTCCTTCCATTCAGTGGCCAAGAAAGGCAATACACCGACTTCCTGAAAGCTAGAATGCCGTCAACACCGTGGAACCCGCGATCGTATTTCTTCAATACGCCTGCGCCGCCAGAGTCGATCATTCGTGATCCGTTGCACGAGGTCATGCGCATGCGAGTCAGTTTTGTCTCGCTCTTGTTCATCCGCTTCCTTTCTCTGACAGGTAATCCGCTGATTTCAAATAATATTGTTTTTGATGCCCACTGCCGGTTCTACTCTCTTGTCCTTCTGACTTGCCGCTACGCTCGGACATCTTTAGCATACCGACCAGGCAGCGATCTCGGTTGACAAGCTGTTGAAGGCCTTGTGGCATGCCGAATTTCAATGTCGGTATGGGACTTACCGCACGGGTATCATTTTGCTTGCCGATCTTGGACTCGAGTTTGGCATGACGAAGAGGAGCAGGAGGATTGTAGAGGAAATTATGCCACAGGTATGGAAGGGTCCCATCCCCTTCTCTCTCTATCTCTAGTGACTCGTCTTCGATCCATCGCTCACCGTGATATCTTGTTTACTTCCGAGACAGGTCATTTCTGGAAACGACCTCGAACAGCGAGCCTTTGCGTGCTTCACGTATGCACGATGCATTATGGCTGCCGGGAACAAATCTCAGGACTCCATACGGGAAGCCATTCCCTACATTGAAATGGCAGAAAAGGATTACAAGACAATAGAGATCCTGAGGTCTCTCGCCGACACGCAGTATTATCTTGCCGTGATGTACCACAACTTGGGGATGGAGGCGGAGAGGGATGCCGCAGCTGAGCGGCATGAAAAGACGGAAGAGGAGAGGCAGAAGGCCGCGATTTGCGGAGTTGAGACATGGGTGAAGGATGTCTGGGATTTGGTATGTGAGGTGGGAGTGGCCCTCGCGGCGCGGTGACCTTTCTACGTTGCTTTTCAGGTCCATGCTGGTACAAGCGAATTTTACTCTACGAGGACATGTTGTTTACATACATCATCTTTGAGCTGACTGCCTGAATTTATCATCAACGAGAGTTCCGAACAAGATCCCGGAGAAGTTTATTGGAACTCAGTGGCGAGCCGTCCGCATGGTGACTAGAACGGAACGGAAGCAAAAGAAATCGAATTCCCGTGCTTCGGCTGGCCGCGGAGTTTTCGTAGCATGCTGTTCCTTCTTCGAGTCCCGATCGGTTGTTCTACAGACTACTACTTAACTTTTCATGATGGATTCAGAGTCTGACACGCGCGTACGACGCGGAGTCTCAGTCAGTCAGACATATTGCCAGTGTGACATGGACTTACATGCATTATTCAACCCGCCCGCAAGTCAGAGTCAGCACGATTTTTCGTGACAAGTCCGGAGGACGAAAGGAGGTCGACGCATGCTGTTTCCGTCGAGACCCTGACACCCTATCTGCCCCACAGCAGCCTCCGAGACCTGTTGGGGATGGACACCCGCCCGTACTTATCGACAGGATCACGTCAGCTTAGAGACTGAGGTGGATGGCGCAAATTACAACAGATCGGTAAAAACTCATACAATGCGGATATCAAAATATATCTCATGCGGGCATCTAGATGTACTGGTGGGGAACATAAGTCGATCAACTACGGCGTTTCACGCTCTAAGGAGCACCGAGACCACTAAAGTCATACGCCAACTTCCTCCTCACGTAGTACGACTTCCCAATCGTCCACAAAACCCAGTCTCTGATAGTGTTCAGTTTGATGAATGGGAGCCAAGGATGGTACTCGCTCGCTCTAATTGACATCCCGACGGTGCTGGCCATCGTTTTCGCAATGTTGATGACTCTGAGAGCCCTTTCGCGGCGGAGATTGGCGTACGACTCAATGATGCTATCGGGATGAGAGTCGTGGGTCATGTGCTCAGCGATGGTGGGTCCGATAGTGATGGCGTCTCGTAGACCGAGGTTCATGCCTTGACCTCCAGCCGGTGGGTGTATGTGGGCTGCATCACCGATAAGGTTGATCATGCCGCCGAGTTCATTGCGGGAACCAGAGAAACGAGTCCAGAAACGAGAGGCGATTGCGCTGCGGGTGCGGAAACGGGTGTACCACACGAGCTCTGTTTTCGTGCCGTCAGTTATGAATAAAGGCAGTTCGTCCGCGGGACCCTCGCACCTTCGACTTCGAATGGTTTCTCGTTTACAGCAGGATCCGATGACATCCTCAATGGTCCGAAGCGGTTGATAAGATCCTGGACGTATTCTTTCGTGGTGTTTGCGGGCGGTACGCCTTCGGCTATCGGAACACCACTTGCGATACGATAAATACCACTCTTCGATGGGTCATGCGACGCCTTTCTTTCGGGATAGGGCAGAGGGGAGAACACGAAGAAGTTGTTTGTTGAGAGAGCTGAGGTCGAGGTTGTATGGTGAGACGGTTATATTAGGAGGTCCAGGATGCTAGGGACGTACCACCGAACAGGATGTTATGGCCCGCAATTGTAGGTGGCTTAGAGAAAGTGACGTCGCAGATAACCATCTGGGCAAGAGTTCCAGCCTCGTCACTATCACCGTCCGGGTCTCCAAAATCGATTCCTGCTTGCTGGCGAATCTGTGTGCATCCAAATATAAGTCAACAACATGAGCGCCGGCAGTCATGATTGTACGTACCACTGACTGCGACCCATCAGCACCAATGACGTATCGTGCACGAATGCTTGCTCCGTCTTCAAATATGACAGTGGTATACCCCTTGCTATCAGTGCCCTTTTGCATGCTCTTGGCTTTGTAAGGACGGTGTACATGGATACCCTCGGAAACGAGTTTGTCTGCGAGGACCTCCTCCGTCTACAATCATTGTTCAAAAAACCTTAAGACCAATGAGATGGGACTGGTGACCAGTGACTGGACATACCTTGTTCTGGGGCAAAAGAACATAGAAGGGGAATCGGGTGTATGGGTGAAGGGCGGAGAACTCGACGTTGATCAGAAGTGACTTTCGGTCATAGTATGACATGATTGGAACTTTCTCCCCGAGCTCAATCATCTTCTCGGCTACGCCAATTGTGTCCAATTTCTACATAGAATAAGCTATGAGTATGAAAGTCAATGCATTTTGATGCCGTTCGAAACATACCTCCAGCGTAGCAGCGTGGATAACCATGGCGCGCGAGAAGTGAACACCCTGCTCCGTGGCATCAACGATGGTGATGTTCTTGACACCGTTCTTGTGAAGAGACAGCGCAGCAGACATGCCGGCAGGGCCGGCGCCAACAATCAAGACATCGGTTTCAGTGGGAGGAGCCATGGCGGCTGGGGTTGGTCGAGCGCAAGAGTTGGGACGCTGGTGCTGACCCATATCAAGCACGTCAAAGGTCCTATATACCTGCGATGAGTGCGTTCAGTCATGATTACCGAGATGTGAGACGCCAGTGGAATCTCCGCGCATAAGTTGGAGAGCAGTGGAACGCGCTGGCAAGGAGTACGTATGAGTAACGTCTGCCATGATGCGGTGGCCGAGCTCAAGGGGAAAGTAGCGCAGGGTTTAAGCGACTATAGGTATCTCTCTATGTCCGGACGAGAGCAGCATCTAAGCAAGCTGATCAAGAGAGTGATGGCAAGGAGGAGCTGAATTGTCTGTAACCCCTTAAGGCGCTGTCGATGGGATTATCACTGTGCGAGAGTACGAAAGCAAGCGAGCTTGCCGGATATCGTCGAACATTCATATAGCTTGAGAAATACCGAGTCGAAAGAACTGAGAAACTGGTTGAGATGGTTTGAGACTGAGTGCCACGGTGGCGAGAGGCAAGAAACGTGATTACGCAATGGGTTGGTTGAAGGCTAGCACGCGTTGGAAATGCGATTTACCGCTTGAAGCCATACACTACCTTACACTCGTTCGCCGTTCGACCCTCTCCAGTCCTCGTTCCCATGGACGGACAGCCTCCTCAGGAGGAGGACTTCTCTTCCCTCTCTATTGAAGACCGCCTCGCTCACAAAAATTGGAAGGCTCGCGTCAACGCTTATGAAGCCCTCATCAAGACTTTCCAATTCTCATCCTCCGACACTGATCCCGCTTTCAAACCATTCCTTAACAATCCCGATACACTCAAGAAGATCGCAACGGACTCTAATGCTGTGGCCCAGGAGAAGGGTGTTGAATGTTTGGTGGCATTGGTCAAGTTCGCCGGCGAGAATGCTGCGAAGACGAGGGAGGTAGTGGTACCTGCATTGGTCGACAAGTGCTTAGGTTCAACGAGGGCGGGAACGAAGAATCAGGCTTTAGAGCTGGCCCTGCAGTATGTTGAAGTAGAGAACACGGGTGCGGGTGTCGTGGTATGTCCCCATCCAATCATGTTAATGCTGTCCGAGCAATGTTCACCTCCAATTTGACACGCTCTCCAGGAAAACATTCTAGCGGGCCTTGCAGCCAAGCAACCCAAGATCGTGGCCGGAACTGTACTTGTTTTGAAGGAGGTCATTCGGTGAGCACCATATTATTACAAGTTATAATGTGCTTTGGCGCGAGGATGTTCATCGTCCTCCAGTCAGTTCGGAATTCAAGTCACGCCACCAGCTCCCGTTCTCAAGTCCCTACCGAAGATTTTTGGGCACTCTGACAAGACTGTTCGTGCCGAAGGGACAGGTCTGACGCATGCGTTGTATCAGTATCTCGGGGCTGGCATCGAGCCATGGCTCAACGATTTGAAGCCCGTGCAAGTGAAGGAGTTGAAGGAGGCTTGGGAAGGAATGGAGAAGGAAGGGCAGGGCAAGGGGAGTCTCAAACCAGCACGGATGACGCGACAGCACGCTCGTGAGGCAGAAGAGCGTGAAGCGGCTGGAGGTGACGATGCTGGAGATGAACCTGCTGAAGAAGGTGCGCACTCTATCAGTCCTTGCGCGCATGCAATTCATTCATTTCGTCTTCATTACTGTCAGGTGCTCCCGTCGATTTGCGAGCATTAGCCGAAGAGGAGGACATCGTGCCGAGGCTTCCAGCGAATCTCAGTGGGAACCTGGCTTCATCGAAATGGAAAGAGCGCAAGGAAGCACTCGACGATCTTCTTACCCTTGTCAACGCGACCCAGCGAATCAAAGACGCACCAGAACTTGGAGACCTGTCCAAAACTTTGGCTTCAAAAGTTCAGAGCGATGCAAATATCAACTGTGTTATGGTTGCAGCTCAATGCATCGAAGGACTAGCAACGGCTATAATGGGTTCATACGGACGGTATAGGGAGAGTGTCGTACCTCCGATGCTGGAACGATTGAAAGAAAGGAAAGCAACGGTCACTGACACCATTGGTGGAGCCCTGGATGCAGTGTTTGCAACGGTATGTTCGAGAATTAGTCGGATTTTCCCTCTGTCCTGACCAATTACGAAAGACGACCCTGTCTGATATTGTAGGAGATCTTATGCCCGTCATGTCTCACAAGAATCCCCAAGTCAAGGAAGGATCGCTCAAATTCCTCACACGATGTCTCTCTACGTCGACTCAGCCTTTACCTCCCCCTCAGCTCAAACCGTTATCAGAAGCACTCGCACACCTACTCGAGGATTCCTTCGCTGGCGCTCGTGATGAAGCTGCATCAGCACTAGGCACACTAATGAAGATGGTCGGAGAGCGACCGTTGGCCGCCCTCATGGATGGTCTCGCTGATGTACGGAAAGCGAAGGTCAAGGAAGCTTACGAGAAGGCGACGGTGAAAGCGAAGGCTGGGGGTCCTCCGAAACCATCCGCACCACCTCCGGCAGTGAAGGAGCCTCCAAAGAAGAAAGCACCGCCACCGAAGAAGGTCGAGGCACAACCTCCGTCAGATGCTCTTGAAGAAGAACCCATTTCGCCTCCAAAGAAAGGTCCTCCAGCACGATTTCTCGCGAAGAAGGGCCCCGCCGCGGCGGCCTCTGCACCGGCAGCGGCTGCACCTGCGCCAGCGAAGAAGCCCCCACCAGCTGCTGCAGCAGCTGCAGCCGCAGCCGCGTCTTCCAAGCCGGCGAAGGGTGGTGCTGCTCCTGCTCCCGGCACTCTGGACACCTTCAAGTTCAAGCATACGCCTGACGATGCTGAAGCTCTCGCTGCCGACCTCATTCCGCCGAGCATCGCCAAGGATTTCGTCGATTCAAACTGGAAGACAAGGCTCGCTGCGTTGGAGGAGATGACAACATGGGTCGAGAGCTCCGCCCAGGACCTTGATGCCGAAGTCGTAGTTCGTTTCCTGGCGAAGAAAGGTTGGAGTGAGAAGAACTTCCAGGTCAATTCTCTCGCAGTATTCGATGGAAGGCACTTTCTAACATTGGTATCATCTAGGTTTCTGCGAAGCTCTACGGTATTCTGGTATTGCTCGCGGAACAGTGTCCTTCATTTGGCCGATCGTGTGGTGCTTTATCGATACCTCATCTTTCTGAGAAACTGGGTGATATGAAGCTCAAGAAACCAGCTGGAGACACCTTACTCGTGTACGCCGAGAAGACGTCTCTGCAATTCGTTCTCGGTCAAGGTTAGTGACCAATGGTGTTGTCCATTTATATATTCGAGGCTAACCCTTATGATCTCAGCCTATGAACCATTGGCGAAGACGAAGGCGCCCAAGGCTTTGGCCGATGCTGTGGGATGGATCGAGTCCGCTCTGATCGAGTTCGGCATCGCGGGGTTGAGCCTTCGCAGTCTTGTCGAATTCCTGAAGGGCGCGCTAAAGAACTCTAATGCCGCTGTCCGAACAAGCGCGACTAAAGCTGTCGTCACTGTCAGAATCTTTGCGGGCCCAAGTAAGTGCTGCGTCCATGGTGACATCTAAAATACCGAATTCTAATCACCGAATTCTGGTACAGGCATCAAGGACCTCCTTGAGGACCTGAACCCTCAGCTCCTAGCCACAATTCACAGTGAACTGGACAAAGTCGATGGCCAATCTCCTCCGGAGCCTACACGCGTGTCGGCTGATGTCGTGAACATGGCCCCGCAAGGCGGTTCATCCGCGAAAGGTGGCGCCGCTGCTGCAGACCCTCTGGACGAGCTCTTCCCCCGCGTGGAGATCGATGGTCTACTGAAGGGTACGACTATTCTAGCCGACGCCAAGAGCGATGCTTGGAAGACGAAGAAAGAAGCCCTGGAAACTCTGCAGGCGATCTTGGACCAAGGGGCTAACAAACGTCTGAAACCGCAGATGGGTACGTGTGCTGCTAACTGCGTCTACTGATGATATGGTAGCTGGAGGTGACTGATAAATTGGATTGATAGGCGAGATTGGTACAGTGTTGAAGTCTCGAATCACCGACACGAATAAGGCCGTTCAAACGCTCGCGCTGGATATTGTGGCCAGAATCGCTACGGGAATGGGCAAGCCGTTCGAGAAACAAACCAAGTTCTTCGTTGTTCCCGTTGCCTCCGTTCTTTCTGATCAAAAAGCTCCTATTCGCGCATCAGCACTCACCACGCTCACTGCTATTGCGACCGCCTGCGAGGGTATGGACCCCTTGGTTCACTGGCTTACCACCGCTCTCGAAGTCAATAACCCCGTCCAGCGCTCTAACCTTCTCAATTGGATTGCTGGGTGGTTCAAGGAGCATGAAATGACTCCTGGAATCGACTTGGGTAGCTGGTTGGCGACTGTAGTGTCTTGTCTCGACGATCGAAGTGCAGACGTTCGGAAAGGAGCTCAAGCAGTATTACCCTTCCTCATCGCATCCGCCGGCTTCGACAAAGTTATGGCGCAGACAAACAACCTCAAGCCTGCCTCGAAGGCGTCCGCCGTCCCTTTCATCAACGCTGCTCGTGCATCTGCCCCTTCATCGTCTGCCCCGAGCGCAGCGCCAGCAGCCGCCGCACCTGCTCCAGCGAAGCCCGCTCCAGCTGCCAAAGCTGCTCCAAACAAGCCTGTCATGCCTTCATCTCCCCCTTCGTCAGGAGCAGGTACTCTCCCTCCATCACCAACAACCGCTGCGCCGCCCACGTCAAAGATGGCTCCTGCTGGCAAGCTCACAGGGATCCGCCGCAAGCTTCCTCAAGGCACGATATCGCGTCCTGAGTCGCGAGCTGAGAGTGTTGACGAGGCTCCCACATCACGGCTTCCTGGGAAACCAGGCCCTGGGTTCGGTCTGCGCCGCCCTGGTATGCCAGTTCCATCGGCTCTCAAGACAGCCCCGCCACCTGCCGCAGCAATATCGCCTCCCCCAGCGATGACAGGTGATATGGCCTTCACCGGCATGAACGTGGACGCGAAAAGGTCACGTCTTGCTAAGGATCCCGGCAAGTGGATCAATGAGGCTGGGACGACACGAAAGGACCTTGCTGACCTCTTACAGCACCAAATGGAGCCCTATGCGTCGAAAGATCTGGTCGGACAGTTGTTTAGTACCGACCACAATGCTGTCAATGACCACGTCGCCGGTTTGGCCACTATCGCAGAGTTCTACAGCGACCTTCAGGCAGGAGACGAGAGGTTCGGGCTATCCGATGAGGACCTCAAGACGGTTGGCATCGCCAATTCTGATCTTGCCCTCAAATACGTGTCCATCAAAGCTCACGAACCACAGTCCAATCTCATAGCGAAGTCTCTGGACGCCGTCGATTCCGTACTCGCTTTCCTACGATCAATCGACTATCAGCTCTCCGACAACGAAGCATTGTGTTTCATTCCGACTATGGTCTACAAAGTGAGGACCGATCGTTTTCAACATTGTGCTAGTGATACTGATATATAAATGCATCTAGCTCGGAGACGCGAGGGAACCTGTTCGCGTCCGCGTCCAGCAGATAATTCAGTCGTTACCAAAAGTTTACGCATACAGCCGGGTTTTCCAGCTGCTCCTCGAACATGGTCTCAAACACAAGGTAGCCAAAACACGGCAGGGTACATTAGACGAGCTCGCTGGCATTCTGAAACGGTTTGGACTGGGCGCGTGCGACCCTCCCAAAGCATGCCCCGTGCTGGCTTCAATGATCGCTGACAAGGACCCCAGCGTGCGCAAAGCGTCCCTTGGAGCACTTGGGTAAGAGTCCTTGAAGCTTGCTAGTCTACATAGTACTTACCATATCGTTTGCAGCGAGGTATTCAGTCTGGTAGGGGAGAAAATTTGGTCGATGGTCGGACCACTCTCACCGAAAGACAAGACACAACTTGAGGAACGACTTCGTCGTGTCTCAGGGCCTAGCTCCCCGGAAAGACCGGGAACTTCCATGTCTACTGCCCCTTCTCAAGTTTCTCGTCTAGCCACAGCAATTGCGAAACCATCTTCACCATCTGCCCCTGCTACCAGTCGGTTTGGAGCCTTGCCACGGCCCTCGAGTCCCTCTGCTGGTCCTTCTCGCCTCGCCCGTCCATCTTCCCCAGCTGCAAGGTCCACGTCACCAGCTCCATCACAGATGTCACGGCCTTTGTCACACCTCCCTGGCCCATCATCCCCATCCTCTCGCGGCAAAACTCTGTTGCCTTCGCGGCTAGGTCAACCCAGAGCTCGAACATCCACCTTACGATCACACCTTCCTGCTCCCTCTCACGTTGAGGCTCCTCCCGACGAAGACGATTATACCCCTCCTGTCCGAAATGGAGCACCTTCCAAGGGCGCAAACATCGAGTCGTGGCGTAGCAAACAGCCCGAAGAAGAACTTGATACACCGCCCGAGATGCCACCATCATCGTCCAACGACATCACTCTGACGATTTCAAGTGTACTCAGCAGCGATTCGGACCGGAGTGTCGATGCACTGAAGAAGATACAAAAGGTCCTTCAGTTAGGCCCGGATGCTGGACCTTCATCGTCGACGTATCGTGATCTCGCAGAACACACAGAAGGCCTCATCGAGACTGTTACACTTCAGATAGCCCATGCTTTCGAGCACCCGGAAAGTAACATTCGACTAGCTAAGCACCTCATTCAGACACTCAATGCGTTCTGCGACAACCCATTGCTTGCGGAATCCCTCACGGTGGACATATTGACTGCGCTCCTCGAGGAGCTTGCCATTCGGCTCCTACAAACGGACGATAGCAAGGACGCCGAGGTCAAGAATCTCTCGCGATTCATCAATATGATCATGCTCCGTATGTTCTCGACAGGAAGGCGAATAACGGTTTTCAGGTAATACTAGTCTTGTACGGTCTTCATGTGCGTGCACATATCTAACTCTATGGTCACTAGATCCTTGTTCGCTCTCCTCTTGCAGATCGTGAAGCCCTTCCCTGCCAACGGCACGCTCTCCGATTCACAAGAGGCGAAAGTGGCAGAACTAGTGCTCAAGTGCATCTGGAAGTTGGCTAGAAACATTCCGCAGGATTTGACGGAGCTGAAGCTTGACCCGGTCGAACTCTTCCCTGCGGTCGAACATTTCCTGCAGTCTATTCCTCCCAACGAGTGGCGAGCGAGGGCGACCAATCGCGTGCCTTGTGGCGACATGCCGCTGAGGACCATCAAAGTCATCATTCAGCATGTTGTCGGTGAGTCCTCCTGTCAAGTATTATCTCAATGACATATCTGACATTGTCTTGATAGCACACTATGCAGACGACGTGTACGACATTCTGTCCAACTCATTCGATGACCCGTCTGCGACGATTGTGTACCCATACGTCTACCGAATACTCAACGCCGCAGCCTCGAAAGAGGCCTCCGCACCACCTCGAACCAACGGAAGAAACGGCAACGGCCATGCTCAGGTGCACAAGTTCTCCCACAGTCGTCCTATGTCCATGGTCAGCGGAGCCTCTGCTAGCCGTCCAGCGTCGCCTTTGGAGACTGCATCCTCGGTCACTTCAGGGGAAGTCCGACAGTCATCGCCCAGCCATCATAGCAGGTCCTCGATAAACGGCATGGTATCGCCACCAACTGACGAGCCAGATCCCGACGCTCAACTGCTTATCATTTTGGGCCACATATCGAGCGAAACCACGGGGGCGATGCACAAGGAGGGCATAACAGAGTTGCATCAGTTCTTGAAGGCCTATCCGCACAAGAAGCCAAAGGTCGACAAGATGCTGGAGGCAACTGGACCTGCATTCCGTAAGTATATATCGCGAGCGCTGGCTAGTCGGGCAGCCGACGACGAGGAGAGAGATGTCGCTGTAGCTGATACCCTATCGAGTGAGTCACGCCAACGTGATTCCTTTTCACCATAAGTCTGACGTTTCATTCACAGAACTGGAGTCGAAAGCGACCACACCTGTATCTCCAACACGTCCCGACTCCTTACAAGTACCCATGTCGCCCACTTCGACAACAGGCGGCGACTCACATGACCAGCAGGAGAAGCTTTCACGACTACACAATTTGTTCCAATACCGTCAGAGCTCGGCTAGCAACGGCTCCTCGCAAGGTCGGCCGCCTGCCTCTTCTGTTTCACGACCCACGCCTTAGAAGGTTGTTCTGTACCCACTGTATTAGCTCGTAACTGTAACCTCGATTATGTGTTATACTGTCTTTTTGTTCCCTTTGTTCCTTCTCCTTCGCTTTTGGGTGTTACAGATTGACATTGATTCATTACCATGGCTGTTTCTCTTCGTTTTATTACAACCATATTATGCCATTTTATGATATATACCGTGCGTCAAATAATCAGAGGATACATGCATGCTCCACAACCATCCCCTCGCCCGTGTTCACAGAGAGCAGGATGTAAAGTCGTGAAGAAGTACATTGTACAGATCATTCGCATGAAGAAGTGGTGGCAGGTGCGTTTATCTTCGCAGACAGGTTATCACCCGCGAAAGTGACAGATCAAAAGAGAATTCATGTTGACTTGGAGGTCGCACCAGGAAATCATAGAATCATAGAATCAAGGCGATGATTGGAAGCGGTGTAACTTTGAGTCTGAGTTGGGGGGTAGATGGATAGGATTGCTAGCACACCAAAACAAGGAAACAGTAGTAAATTGAGATATTTATTCTCTAGGAATGAATGGACTCGAGCGTGACGAAGGAGCAACAACGACAGGTGGGAGGTCCTTTGCCATATCCTTCGTGCCTGCTGGGAATGGAAGATCGACGAGACCCTTGGGAAGAACCTTCTCGTACAAGCCCTTCGCCTGATTGTGTTGCGCGGGGCAGATCATCTTCTTTTTGGCATCGCGGACCATGACTTGAGCGTCGTCGAAACCAGGAACACAACCTCGGACAAATATCAAGTCAAGGGCAGAGTCGACACGGACGACAGTGAGGTTCTGGGTCGTGATGCGCTCACAGCCCATATGACCAGGCATTTTCTTTCCGGGCCACACTCTGCCCGGATCCTAAAGACGAGGAGCCGCTTAAGAGACCACCATAGAGAAAATGACACTGTGGACGACATACCTGATGTCCACCTGTCGAACCTATTGACCGATGGGAGAGGGAAGCACCGTGGCTCGCACGCTGACCCTTGAAACCCCATCGTTTCATGCCTCCCTGGAAGCCCTTCCCGATCCTACAGAACGAGCGTTGAGTTTGATAATTCGCTGGAGCCAGAACTTGTAGAGTCTTACGAGTTTGAGACGACATCAACAAATTGGCCGGGTACAAAGTGGACTGCCGACAGTGTAGTCCCTGGAAGAGGGTTAAGAGAGGACGTTGAAAGACACACAACATAACACGTACCAACTGGAACATGAGCATCTGGAGTTACCGGAAACTCCTTTACAATCCGCTTTGGTGGAACGCCAGCCTTCTTGAAATGACCCAGCATCTGCTTCGTAGCAGTCTTCGCTGGTCTATCCGAAGCAGCAACTTGAACTGCGTGGTACTCTGTCTTGTTCCTCCGCACGGTCTTGACATTAGCTGTCACCTGACAGTTTTCCAACTATGCCGACTTCTGATGAGTATTTGTAGTGATTAAAGCAAGTTTTACGACGCACCTGGAGGACCGTGACCGGGAAACGAGCGCCATGGTCGTCCCACATCGCAGTCATTCCGCGTTTGCGCGCGATGAGCCCTGTCCGGACAGAATTTGGTGTCCATTTTGAGGGCGTCGTGGCGGAAGAGCTAGCGACCACAGTAGCATTATTAACGAGAGAAGTGTGGATATGCCTCGACGGCGCGGTGACTGGCCGCTGAGCAAGAGTCCATAGCCTGAGCATCGTCGAGGCTGATGCGGAGAACGGTTTGAGACTCGTGCAGACGCGAGGCCAAGTGGCGGCGGACTTTGAAATCGCTTCTTGCTCATCTTCACCGCGACCGCTTCTTCGAATCCACCAAGTTCAGCTCACACTTCTGTCAAATGGAATGGATGCTTGGCCTTCGAATACGGATCATGCAGCGACAGCCTCTGAGAAGCGCAAGCGTTCAAAGAAGCAGTCGCAAGGAATCTTGAAGCTCTCTCAGTCTTACCCTTCACTCGAAGCTGGAGGTTTGGCCGCTGCCACTCTTCACTCAAACAACGGGCGACTTGAATGGTCTAGTATTAAAGACGGAAGGCAAGGTGTGTAAATTTATTTCCAAGTTTTTCAATCTCTCATGTACAGTAAAAGCTCGCCAAATCAGACCGAAGGGACAAACCACCAAAGTATTTCCCGAGACGCGTCCTTCGGCAGTTGTTGCCCCTCATGTTTCTATGAAGCAACGGATAGAGCAAGGGGTACGACGTTTTTCTATGTCGTCCTTCACATTACCAATTCTGACTGAGCATCTATCGCAGGCCCACTTCTTGAGAACTTACCATCCAGATGTAGACATTCCATCAGAGCTCATCGGCGACGAGCTCAAGGAGGACGTCCATCACTCTAAACTGAACAGTTCTTTTGATCCATATCGTGGCACTCCTCTGGAGACTATCAGACACGCAGATGGACGCGGCAGGCAGTTCGCGTTCATTGCACATCCTGTTGGACCTACTAGTTCGGAATTACGTCAGTTCCCAGTTTTGTTATCTCTTTTTGCCTGCATGGGCTGAAGCTCGAATACACAGACCTGTCCCTCTTCAGCAGTGGACAAGGGGGAAGACATAACAACTCTATGTTCAGACCATCTGCGCAGCCCTCCATCTCGTTTGAGACACCTATCAGGCAGGTCAAGGCCGGCGTTGATCGCACAGGCAACAGTGAGCACAGTCTTTCTGAACTATGAACTGTAGATGCTGAGGAGTGGATTCAGCTCAACTTCTCGCCGTCCGGACCATGGCATCGACGAGCATCTTCTCAGTAAAATTTAAGGGAAACCAATCACTTCAAAATGTCGCCCCTACTATAACCGAGTTGGCCTGCTTCAAACGGTCGTCTCTGGGAGATCGGCCTGCTGTTGATATAGCCCTGCCGTATCAGTCAAATGTCGCATTCAGCATTAACGACTACGGCGATGTCTTCAAGGTTGATCTACGTAATAATGGATCCATGTAAGCCATCCTTCTTTCAATATGATGCACGGCTACTGATGAGCTCCACGTCAGCGAGAAGAGTTTCTCCGCGCAGGATGCATCTCTGCCAGTCTCGCGCGAGCCTTTCTGGAGGATATCTATGAATGCGGAGGACAATGCTTGTTTTGTGACCTCGAGCAAGACGGTCGATAATTGGGATTTACGTGTATGTACGTGCAACTCCACCGACATAATGCTACTGAACGTTTCTCTACAGACAAGGGTGTCAACTACGTTGCACTCCCTCTCGAATGGCGATAATGTCATCACTGCTATCGAACGTCAATATACCGACAATCTAATCAAGCTCTCTACGACCGAGGAAATGTTATGGTTGGACAAACGCTATCTCGGCCGGCCTCTCATGGGATACAAACATGGACGCAGCTTCGATCGGACTTTGCAGAGCTCTACGGTTACCGTCCGAGACCGTGTGTTCTTCCTTCTAGTTCCATCTGCGGCCCCTCATTAAGCTTACGACTTTTAGTGACCTTAACCCTACTAACATCTCAGAAGAACGGTCTTATCACAGTTTACGATGTCGGTCGAGGCTCGGACGCTTTATTACATGCCTACACTCCTGCATATGCCCTCACTGCCCCGCTCGGCTCTGCTACTGCACACGAAGGCTGCCATTTCGTCTCGCCGACAGAGACTACTGCAAGCGGAGTTGACCTTCACCTCTTCCAAATTTCGAACCGTGGAGGCCTGCACCAGTTGGATTGTATTTTGGCACCGCTTCAGGAAGATACTGCCTCCGAACCTGTTCACTATCTACCGAGCGTCCAGTGGAGTCCAGAAGTCAAGCAAATGGACAAATTAGCTGCTCGCATGCAACCCGAGGATGGTCCTCTCAGTCGGCGGAATGGACTCGAGGTTGATTTTAGCGAGTTGTACCAGAGTACGTATTTTGAACTTGTCGTGAATCTCAGATTTCTGACATTCTACTTTTAGCACTCTTCGAGGTCGGTGGCTCCACCAATCCTCTGCTCGATGAGGAGAAACCGGACGAGATATTCGATACGCTTGATAAAATGCCCTCGTTCTGGCAGGACACGAATGCCCCAATCGACCATATGCTCACAAGGTAAGTTGTCATATCTCAGATCACCCGTGCCGGCCATTGAGACGGTCTGCTTTATAGTTTTGATGTTGCCTTTCGATCCGGAAACCAGCCTTCGTACGCCTCAAGAGCAGACTTTCTGACTCGAAGCAAGGTCAACTCGAAGAGAGGCTATCGGGCAGTCGTACAAGATCGAATCCCTTTGGCAGACGTAGCCAAAGGCGCTGCGTGGCACTATAACATTAATCCTTTCCTTCGATATGTTATGCCTGAAGTGCCGCACAACCCACAGGAAGTCATGGAACACCTTGGAGCCTACGATCTTCTGGAGAGCGATAATCGTCCAGGTTCCTCGTATAGAAGAGAGACAGAAGCCAAGGAACAGCTGACTGTCGACCTTGCCCTTTCCACCGACATATTCTCGCCCAAACCATTCTCGAAATCATCCAATCTCTCCGCTCTCGATGACGCGCTCGAAACCATGTCCCGAGCGACTGAAGCCTTGTCCTTATCCAACACGGACCTACCTCCCGTGCAATTTGGATATCTTTCTCCAACGCCCAAAGTTGAACCCTTTACTCAGACAGACGGCCAACCGACAGACGGCCAGAAGGCTGACCAGAAAATGCCACTCGGCGTGCGTTTACTTCTGAAGGAGTGGGATATCGGCACAGATCCGGAGACGTATAGTTATCACGACCCATACGGCTCTCACATCTCTGTGCTTCCTCCCACTCACACCGAGCTGCGCCGTTTATATCCCATGGCGCCCCCAGCTTCAGGCGCCACACCCACCCAAATAGACGACGGTCGCAGCCAAAGTAAAAGTCAGACACAGCGCCCTCCTATGGTGGTTACTGCTCCAAGAGCTATCCCTCCTGCTGTCGCTGGCAGTCAATCCGACGCGCCGGTGCGTCGTCCACCGCTGGCTAGTTTTGGAGCTCAGTCGCAGGACGCGATGGTACAACAATATTCGTCGCAGAAGAATCCGAGCCAGGATAGGATAGATGGGTCGCAGGATGCTATGCCTAGTACACAGGTCGTCCCCGGCCCGTATGGAGGAAGGCTGACCGCGGGCAAGAAAAAGGTGGTGAAGAAGAGACTGGGCGGCTTTTGATCATGGTCGTCGTATGTGGCGTTGTGGTTGGGTGGTGTTACTACTCGTTCGAACACATTCGGGTAGAGATATTTGGAGGATTTTTTGTAGCCGTTGTGGCCGTCTGTTCTACTATGTGCTGGACAGTTATGTTCTGGTTCCATGGTCAGGCAGCCAAAAGAGTGCCGTCCACGCCACCCTCTGTTTTCGGAAGTACATGTGATTGTGCGCCACAGAACAGAGGAAAGGGGCTAGCGCCGCCGCGGCACCTGAAAAGGAAGTCTATGCGGCCGGTGGCCGGTGGTCACCGGAGAGTTTTGTTAGCTTCGCGTCTTGCCTTCGATCGAGCTGTATCCCTTCGTCATTCATGTTTGTACCCTCCATCGAAAACCGTATCTCACTCCCTCTTCTGCTCTAATTGCTCACCACACAACACGTTTGCTGGCTCGTGTTGCTGCACGAAAATTGAACTCCCAGCCAGCCCCGACCATTCATGGATGGACACAGGTGCTCCTCATAACCTAGCGGCGCTCCTATACCCCGCACATGATCTAACTCTGAGCGTGATTTGTAGGCCATCTAGCTCGTTGTATGACTCTGCCAGCCTCAATGAGTCTTTACGGCGTAATTACTGGCGCTCAGTACGGTCGGTTGCAAGTGACTGATCGGCTTTATAGGAAACAAGGCGGTCGTATGCGCCATATCCGCCAGCTATATCTCTACGTTTGCGGGATATCCGGTGCGTTTACTAGGGCCCGAAGTTATTCTTCTCCTCATGTATATTTTGTCGCGTCTTTCAGCTGGACTCCCTCAAATCCAGGTTGCAGACTATGAGAACACGAATTTCGGTCCCCAAATTGGCTCTTTCTGTGTACCGTGAGGAGGGTGTTGCTGGGTTTTATCGAGGACTCTGGATCCCATTGATGACCATATCGTTCGTTCGTGAGTTTCTGTTTATCTGGGGGAGCTGGTTTGTCGCATCTTTCTGAACTGTAATCAACTGTGACGTGCTGCAGGCGCCGCTTCCTTCACGATTTACACTCGCACAAAGGAGTACTGTCGAGATCGCGCTGTGCTCGACGAGAACAGACTATTGGGTGCCGCATGTGTGGGAGGTCTGGGTGGTGCTATGGCAGGCTCTTTGATTTCTTTCTGCAGTGCACGTAAGTCATTCTGTTTGTTGCATGTGCTGTTAACGGACTGTTGAACAATTTCACGAAATCCAGCATTTGAGCTCGTCAAGGTCCGTCGTTACTTTTGGTTTGATATGGGCTCGGGTGTCGAACTTGCCTGGTTAGATTCGACGACAACTTGAATACGCTATTGCCGAAGCGAAGGGTGTCAGAATCACAAAACCTCCTGGGACGCTGAGTGCCGTACGAGAGATCGTGAAATCGAATGGCCTGACTGGGCTCTATTTCGGCTTCCCTCTTCACTTTGGTCAGTATTTTACGATATTCTTATTCTCCCTACTTTGAACGTCTCATTGAGTCTAGATTGGATGTTTAGTTCGGGATACTTCGGGCACGGCACTGTATTTCCTTGAGTATGACGGGCTCCGACATCTGTTGGGACGGCTGCCGTCAGGGGAACAGGGACCAACGCCAAACTGGCTTCCTATCCCTGTTTCACTTGTGCCTTTTGTCTGCGGATCGTTCAGTGGTGTAACCAGTTGGGCCCTCATATACCCCCTTGATGTGTAAGTCTGTTCCCTCTCTATCCCGCCGACCAGGACTTATAGCGACTTGCAGGGTAAAAACGAAAGTCCAGCAACGAGCTTTGGCAGGTGAACCTCATCGAACCATCCCAACTACGCTATATCGGTTGATCAGAGGTTCGCTTCTTGAGTTGCTTTCATCCATCTTCGTTGTCATTGACTCCAATTGACCCCGCCTAGGACCTGATCCCGAGAATCCCAAGGCGTTCTTCGCCGGTGTAGCAAGGATCTATCGTGGCCTCGGCGTTAGCGCCCTGCGGAGCGTTACCACGCACGGACTCCTCTGGACTTTCTTCGACCTTACTTCGAATGCTATTGACCGTTTACCCCGGAATGGCGAGAACGACTAGTCTACAGTGATTCCGATTCGACACGGCTTTTTGTGAAACCTGGCTTCTGACCTTTACGCGTCGATGATACCGTCCGTCGTTCTTAGTCTGGCTCATGCGTCCTTGCTCACGTTTCGTCCTGCTTCATGACACGAAAACATCGCTTCCGTCATCCGCATCCATTCGCCCAAATTATTGTCAAGTCTTACTTGCTTTTCTGCATCATCATCGTCGTTCATCATCATCATCATCATCACCACCTAAGCTATAGATATGCCACGCTAGGCGTTGTAACACCCCCTCACTGCACATTTATTAATATATCTCCACCCAACGCTCTTGTCGTTTGTACACACTCGAATACGCATCGTGCTCGAGATGCTGTACATAGCGAATCTCTGCACGTACTGTTCTGCTGAGAGCCCTTGCTCGACATGCTGAAAATCGTCCCCAAGAGACGACTTCGCTGTTGACGACCTCCATCTGGATTCTGTTTCTCGCGTCGTCTCGAAGTTGGTCTTCACAGAGGGCATTCAAGAAAGCAGGACCAACAATTATATTGTGATAATCACGAGTCGAGATATACCCTGCCCATTGAAGGGAGGAACATGAGGCCTAACCTGCCACCCTTTGGAGCGTCGTAGATAACGTACGTCCGCTCTGCCATCTGTCGGTCTTGGTGGGTGGTTCAGGAATACGAACCGACGGTTACCCCGCACGGTCGTCAAAACAGCCTCCGGTACGAGAGATCCACCCATCGAGAGCTGGACCCCTCGCCCACCGATGTTCCAGGTCGTGTATAGTACAGAAGCCACATGGACGGGCCTGTCGTCTGGAGCGGGAGGAGGGGGATGTATAGCGTACGGATAGGGGATAAAACTCACAAGCATCTGTTAGCTTCCCTCTTCTACAGAGGTACTGGTCTCCTGGGCCACGAAGAGGCCGACGCCGTACCAGGAGAAAAAGAAAAGGGAGGACCAGCCTCGGAAGAAATTGAAAGAAAAGGCCCAACTGCTGGGTCGCACAACGAGGAAGGCCCCAGTGGGTCAAGTTAACCACCTGCCACGTCCAGTCGATGAGCTACCAACAGCGGGAGGAGATCACTGCGCCAACCGGGAGAGCGGCATAGGGTGTCCTAGGCGTCCACCGGCCTAACTCATCAGCAACGACACAGCTCCCTCCGAAACGCGCTTCCATACCAGGAATACGCGCGGAGTATAGTATAAGAAAGACAAAAGGGTGGGTAAGGTTCACGAAGGCCGACCAGCAGCGCTAAGGAGAGAGAAGGCAGGTTTGGTAGGGGATGGTGGAAGTTGGGGGGGAGAGAGGTGATGCGGAGGTCAGGCCAGGACGGCGCCCTTTTATGTGTGTTCGCAGCGATCGGTTCGCACGCCATCGTAACGATGGCGATAATGGGACAAAAGACAGAAGCCATGGCACAGATGGCACCGGCGGCAAGAGAACAATGGGATCCAGAGAACAGACTCGATCGCGATTAGTGCCGTTGATACGCGACGCGCCGATTGATGAACGCGACGCGTTCCAGGTCACGTGTCTGATGACTACGCGTTCCAATTTAAATGAAATTCAGGGCCTGACACTCCTTGTCTCCTCCTCAGCTCGTTGAGTTTGCGAACTCGCTGCATCCTCGGGATGCAGCTAAGCCGCCCTTGAAAACTTGCCACTATACAACCAGGATCTCGTCGGTTTTTGCTATGGAGTCTCAATCGTTCTAAATCTTCCCCTGCAGAACCCCACTTCTGACGCGTGTTGTTGACGCGCCGGTGAGCTCGGTGAGGCCAACTAGATCAACTACTTACTCATGAATCTGCAGATTTCATCAAAACGTCACCACTGGCTCGAAGCGGCTCGCAGTTATTGATATTCGACTGCACCAGGATGGCATAACAATAGTTACTGGAGCATCCGAACTGTATCCCATCGTAACGCTGGCGCTTTAGATGCTATCGTACAGGTTTCAGTCGTACACACCTGGCCATTTTACCTTAGGTTGACTTACTCAGCTACCGTGACTGAAATCAGTCAGCGGAGGACTGCTCGTTCTACGATATTCTTGGCTACTCCTTCAGCGACCCGTCCCTCTTGTCTCGAGGCGGTTAAATATGTCCAACCAAACCTTGGGAATCACCGATGCTGGACAACCTCAATTCGCGTCCATTCCTCGGCCATTACAAATAACACTCATTTGTGTCGTCGTTCTGAGACACTCTGCCCGATGACCGACTGCTTTCGACTTGATTCCTAACCTGCTGACATATTTCTTCCCGGAGGACACTCACCATGTGGCCATACATCGGTATAAGTACTGCTGGGATGCTCTCACAAGCCATATACTTTAGCTTCTCTATCTACAGGCCCATAACTCGACATAACCGCCACAATATCTCTATCTCTCAGGACAACATCTATATCGTCTAGCATGCCTGCTTCTGCGATCCCTCAAGGCTCTGTCGTCCTTGTCACCGGTGTCAATGGATACATTGGGTCCCATACCGTCGACCAGCTTCTATTCGCGGGCTACAAGGTCCGCGGAACGGTTCGCGACCCCTCTCGAGCACGATGGGTCCAGGCACTCTTCGACCAGAAGTACGGCTCTGGAAAATTCGAGCTCTTCGTCGTACCCAAGATGAATGTGGACGGAGCTTTTGATGAGGCCGTGAAAGGTAAATACGCCCCGCATTACCTGTAGCATCTTTCTTTTGACGATATTTTTCCTGTAGGTGTCAGTGGTGTAGTCCATGTTGCGTCGAACACATCCCTCTCGCCCGACCCAAATGCGGTTATTCCCGAAGTGATCAACGGCGCTGTTGGTATTCTCAAATCTGCCTCGCGCGAATCTTCCGTCAAACGCGTTGTCTACACCTCATCCTCCGTAACCACCGGATTCGTGCTACCCAACACCCCCGTTATCACGACGCATGACTCTTGGAACGATCTCGCCAGCACGCTTGCGTGGGCGCCTCCTCCGTATGAAGCCGAGAGGAAGTGGATCGTGTATGCGGCGAGCAAGACGGAGGCGGAGAGAGCTTGCTGGAAGTTCGTCGAGGAGGAGAAGCCCAGATTTGAGTTCAACACCGTGCTGCCGAGTGTAAACTTCGGGGCACCGTTGCATGAGGGCCCGGCGTCGGAGACTTTGATCTGGCTGAAGACCCTGGTGAAGGGAGACTTAGAGGCTGCGAAGAAGGAAGGATTGGCACCTAGTGAGTTTTATCAACTTACCATCGTCTCGCACGTCATACTAATGTTCGCGTATCATAGACTGGTTTATCGATGTCAGCGATTCCGCGCGTCTTCACGTCGCTGCTCTGGTCAACCCGACCGTCAAATCTGAGCGGGTTTTCGGGCACTCGCAGCCTTTTAATTGCAGCGACGTCCTCGACATCCTGCGCAAGGCGTACCCCGACCGCTCGTGGCCCTCGAATATACCCGATGAGCCAAGAGATCTCAGCGCCATCGAGAGGAGGGAGCGTAGCCTGGAGTTATTGAAAGGCTTGGGAAGGGACGGCTTTATTTCGCTGGAGGACTCAGTGAAGTCTGTCGGTGCTCCTGCTATTTGAGTCTTGTAAATTTGAAGTTTGATCTTTTATGTGTATGCTGGGCTCTCCTAAGATGCGGAGTTCACAGATTATATCTGTTCTAGGTCCACCCTGTCCCGCGCAAAGAGAGAATGACCAACAATTATATTGCCAGCCAAGAGATAACCCCGCCCATCGAAGGGAGGAACACGAGGCCTAACCTGCCACCCTTTGGAGCGTCGTAGATAACATACGTCCGCTCTGCCGTCTATCGGTCTTGGTGGGTGGTTCAGGAATACGAACCGACGGTTACCCCGTACGGTCGCCAAAACGGCCTCCGGTACGAAGGTCCACCCCACTTAAGAGATCGAACCCTCGCCCACCAATGTTCCGGGTTGTGTATAGTACAGGAGCCACATGGACGGGCCTGTCGTCTGGAGCACTGATATCAATGAGAGAAGGGACATAAGCGTCGGGCACTGGCACTGTGTCGATGTACGGTTGGGGTACCACGGTGGGACGTCAATAAACAAAACGATATGATACAATAGAAGAAGGAGAACGCACACGTCGGCAGTGGTCCAATCCGTCTCTTCAGCGTCTGTTAGCTTCCCTCCGAAGAGGTACTAGTCTCCTGGGCCACGAAGAGGCCCACGCTATACCAGGAGGGTCTTGACGCTCTTGAGGAAGTCGTGTCCATCGCCCTGCCGCGCCGAGCATCTAGGAGATAAGAGAGAAAGAATCACAGAAGTCGAGACCAAAGAAGGAGAGACCAAAAAAAGAAGGGCTCAAAGTCGGTTTTGCCCACCGAGGATAGCCGCGAGTTCTTCAACCACGACGTCCACTCGATGAACTAGCCGCGACGGGGAAGGTCGCTGGTTTAAGCAAGGGATGAGTGTCACATACGTTCACCCAAACACCCCTCGGTCTTGCAGCTTCCTCCGAAAAACAACAACACCACCACCACCCAGTAAAAACCGAAGCTAAAAAGAAGGGCCCAGAAGTCGAAATCGTACAACGAGGAAGGCCTCAGTGGGACAAAGTTATCCACCTGCCACGTCCAGTCGATGATACGATCCCGCAGCGGGGGAGCTCTCTGTGTCGACCGCAGGCGAATGTTATCGTGGCCGTATGCAGCACGAGCGAAGCGACATGCATATGCCCAGACACCCTTGGTCTCGCAGCGAACCCCGAGAAACGGCGTGTTTCCATACCAGGAAGACACGCATAGTATAGTACAAAATATGAAGATGGAAGCATACCTATGCCCGGCAAGGCAGGTGCTTGAGTAGAAGAGGTGGCATGTTCGAGTCGTTGTGCTGGAGGTGAGAGGTTGGGCTGAGGAAGGGATGATGGGAAAGAGTCCTAGACGAGGGCCCTTTATACTTTTTGCGAAGCGGGGGCTGTGCATTCACGGCCTTTGTCTCACTCGATAAAACAAAGATCGTCGCCGGGCAGGCCTAAGAACGTGTCACCGGGTGTGCCGGAGCGAATGCAGAACAAAGGGAGAACCAGCAGGCAAGACAAGGGACAATGCCATGCTTGGCACGGCGCGATCGGTTTGAACGCGACGTGTCTTCCACGTGGACCGCGACCCAGCGCCACAGACGCGTAGACGCTTGGCAACGAGGCGCCAGACTGCCAGTGGCAACTGATCTTTGTACTTCTCGCCCACCACCTTTGCTATTCGATACAATCAGCTATTCAGAGGCACCTCGGAAAGCTCATACCACGCTGGATTCAGGGCGTACGAATCATGCCGGGCCATGGTAGGTAATTCTCAGGACGATCTTGGGACTGGGGTGAGCGTTGACATCTCCCACGTGATACAAAGCTCGAGCTCGCGATCGCCGACTCGAAGGCTGAAGCGATGAAGCACCTCGAAGCACTCAGTGATACAGCAACAAAAGCCAAGCCTTTCGTCCGTCGGAAGGACACCGGCGATGTATTCATTCTACATAAGTAGAGCGTGAATGTTGGAGGTTGCTCTGTGCTTCCCTCCTCTACATCTACGTCGCAATTGATGGGTTTTCTGTTTTCTAAACCAAAGTACGACCCCTCTCGTGATATTCCTGACCTGACAGGTAAAGTTGCATTGGTGACCGGAGCAAAGTACGTGTACCACATCATGCTCTACACTCTGCTGTCCCTCATACTTTTTTTTGGACAAATTAGCACTGGTGTGGGATTCGAGACAGCTTTGCAACTAGCCAAACGAGGAGCGAAGGTTTATCTTGGTTGTAGGTCGGAGACAAGGGCTAAGGATGCTATTGCCAGGATGCGCAAAACTAGTCCTGAACTTGATGCGGAGGACAAGATTGTGTGGTTACCTCTCGACTTGTCGGTCATGAGACTTGCGAAGAAGGCTGGGGAGGAGCTTCTGTCGAAGGAGACACGGTTGGATATTCTTGGTCAGTGATCTTTTCTTCATATTGCAAAGAGTCGGACGCGAGGACACCGCTGACGCGACTGGTTGATATGCCTGCATCTTGGGACACGACCAGTCAATAACGCTGCATGGGCTATGAAGGATTATGAACTTTCTGAAGACGGTATTGAAAAGGCTGTAGCTGTCAAGTACGCATCTATATTTTTCTATAGACCTGGCTCATTCATTCTAAATGTTGATTTGCAGTTACCTCGGTCACTTCGTTCTCGCTGAGACTGTGTTGCCCCTCATGAAGTCGACTGCTCAGTTACCTGGCGCTGACGTTCGCATCGTATCAGTAAGTCATTGATACAGACTACAATTCTGCAGTCTTTGCTGATGCACCTGCTCCCTCGACAGGTTGCTTCGATTGTATACGACCAAGCAGGATCGAAGGACTTTTCGAGTCTGGAAGCCCTCAACTCTATCCAAGGCAAGCCTGGAAAAGAGGATGGCTGGTTCTCGAAGCTCTGGAGATATGGTATGACTAGATTACGCTACCTGCTCGTTCGATAGCCTCTGTGACTAACCATCGCTCGCCGCTGCTTAGCGACCTCAAAATTTCAGATCGTACTTTGGGTGGGCGAACTACAGCGTAGGCTCGACGCTGAGGGAACTCATATAACCGTCATTGCACTCCATCCCGGGGCCGTCAACACAGGTGCGTCCATTGCGCGGTCACAATTCCATTATTCTCTGTGACTTGGATATCAACCTCGACTTCACCCGTCTTCTCGTTCTAGACGGTCTTGCCAATGGTTTGCCTTCCTGGGCTTTACGGCTCGTTCATCCCTTCTCTGCCACCCCCTTGCAAGGCGCATTCACGTCTCTGTTCGCTGCTACCTCTGAGGAGGTGGCAGCTGCTAGGGAGAAGTATAAGGGCGCATTTTTGGTGCCCTACGGTAAACTGCTCAAGTTGACGAAAGAGGCGACGGACCCTGTTCTTGCGAAGACGCTCTGGGAGACTTCGGAGGGTGTTGTGCGAGATGCTTTACAGAGAAGAGAAGAGTAGTCTTCTATGGCGAGCTGCATGCAATTCATGCTTGTGTAAGGCTCTTGCCTATGGTTATGAACTGTGAGTCGTCTACGCAGTTGGAGCAGCACAATCAAGTGGTTCCTGATGTGTCCCAGTTTAAAGTGATATTGGATGCTGCTGGTTTATTATTGACGACTATGGATCTATTAATGTTGACTGTTTGACTCTTCATCACACAATTGACCGCGTCGGTGACCGGTTAGCCCTTGGGTTAGATCCGTAGCGGCCATACATCTCCTCGTAGCGCGTGGGGATACAAGCCACGTAAAAAGCGCTCAATGTTCGGTCACCGCCAATACTTATTCCTGCACTCTCTGGTATCGGCGCTCTTCTTGTTCGCAGTAAATCTAGGATCAGGATGGCTGGAAGGAGAACGGCTCACACAGCTACGGAGTCGGTCGCCGCGCCGGCACCGAGACTTGCGCACCGTGTCGCTCTATTATCAATCTCTTCTCAGGGTTACGCTAGAGTGTAGGTTAAAAGGGCCTGAGAGGCCTTTTTTTGGGGGGGGAACATCCCCTTTGTTTCTCCCGTCAAAAATATGGGCTTCTTATTCTCTAGACCTCAATATGACCCCTGTCGCGATATGTATTCCTGATCTGACAGGGAAAGTTGCGCTTGTCACTGGAGCAAAGTATGCACCCATCATGGATCAATCCACATTTTATGCGCTCACTGACATGATATAATGGACTTACTAGTTCTGGAGTCGGCTTTCAGACGGCTTTGCAACTGGCAAAACGGGGGGCGAAAGTGTACCTTGGCTGTAGGTCCGAGTCAAGGGCCAAGGATGCCATTGCTAGGATGTGTGAGGCCAGTCCTGGACTTGGTCTTGAGGACAAAATCGTATGGTTACCGCTTGACTTATCGGTCATGAGACTTGCGAGGAAGGCTGGAGAGGAGCTATTGTCGAAGGAGACACGATTGGATATATTAGGTCAGTCCTCCGTCCTTCAAGTACATGTTGCAAGGACTGAGCTCATTGATACTACCTCGTCTGGGTCGTCATTAGTCAACAATGCAGCATGGGCTACAAGGGACTACGAACTATCTGAAGATGGTATCGAAAAGGCCGTCGCTGTCAAGTTTGTTGCCCTCTGCTTTTTGACGACGTTTTTTCTCCCTAATTTTGAACATCGATCGGTAGTCATCTCGGTCACTTCGTACTCACAGACACCGTCCTGCCTCTCATGAGATCGACTGCTCACTTACTCGGAGCAGACGTTCGTATTGTAGCTGTGAGTCTCCGTTAGACAACGCTCTGCGCACCCGCCGCTGTGAACAGACGCACCTGCTTGCTCTTGACAGGTTAGCTCGATGGTCTACAACCGCGCGGGTTCAAAGGACTTCTCCAGCTTGGAAGCCCTCAATTCCGTTCAAGGCAAACCTGGACAAAAAAATACCTTTACCTCGAAACTCTGGCGATATTGTATGTCCAGTTCACATCTCCTCGTTTGTTGTTCGGAACTCCGACTCACGCTTTCCATTTGGCATTTAACAGCGACCACAAAGTTGCAGAACATACTCTGGGTGGCGGAACTCCAGCGCAGGCTTGATGCCGAAGGGACTCCCATAACCGTCATGGCAGTCCATCCTGGAACCGTCTACACAGGTACGTCGAACCTTTCACCCCCATCATGACCCAGAGACTTGCGATCGTCAATGGGGCAGATTTTAACACTGGTCTCACTCGTACTCTTACCTCAGAGGGTCTCAACGACAACACACCTTCCTGGATAGTACGTCTCATATATCCCTTCTCCATCACGTCCTTGCAAGGTGCCTACACGTCGCTCTTTGCCGCTACGTCTGCAGAGGTGGCTGCTGCACGAGAGAAGTACAAGGGTGCGTACTTGGTGCCGTACGATGAGGTGGCTGCGGTGACGAAGGAAGCGAGGGACACGGCTCTCGCAAAAACGCTGTGGGAGACTTCGGAGACTGTTGTGCGAGATGTGTTACAGAGAGGGGGATGCTAAGAACAAACAGCGCTAGCCTTTCGTGACTCCAGACTTTGTTCCACTGTCCAATGCGTCATCTAAGCATGAGTCCATGCGCACACAATGGGAGATAACTCGATCAAAAATTATATTCGTCATGATATTAAGATAACCCTGCCCATCGAAGGGAGGAACACGAGGCCCAACCTGCCACCCTTTGGAGCGTCGTAGATGACATACGTCCGCTCTGCCGTATATCGGTCTTGGTGGGTGGTTCAGGAATACGAACCGACGGTTGCCCCGCACGGTCGTCAAAACAGCCTCCGGTACGAGAGGTCCACCCATCGAGAGCTGGACCCCTCGCCCACCGATGTTCCAGGTCGTGTATAGTACAGAAGCCACATGGACGGGCCTGTCGTCTGGAGCGGGAGGAGGGGGATGCATAGCGTACGGATAGGGGATAAAACTCACAAGCATCTGTTAGCTTCCCTCTTCTACAGAGGTACTGGTCTCCTGGGCCACGAAGAGGCCGACGCCGTACCAGGAGAAAAAGAAAAGGGAGGACCAGCCTCGGAAGAAATTGAAAGAAAAGGCCCAACTGCTGGGTCGCACAACGAGGAAGGCCCCAGTGGGTCAAGTTAACCACCTGCCACGTCCAGTCGATGAGCTACCAACAGCGGGAGGAGATCACTGCGCCAACCGGGAGAGCGGCATAGGGTGTCCTAGGCGTCCACCGGCCTAACTCATCGGCAGCGACGCAGCTCCCTCCGAAACGCGCTTCCATACCAGGAATACGCGCGAGTATAGTAATAAAGAGGACAAAAGGGTGGATGAGGCTCACGAAGGCCGACCAGCAGCGCTAAGGAGAGGGTTGGCAGATTTGGCGGAGGATGGTGGAAGTTGGGGGAAGAGAGGTGATGGTGAAGGTCAGGCCAGGAGGCGCCCTTTTATGTGTGTTCGCAGCGATCGGTTCGCACGCCATCGTAACGATGGCGATAATGGGACAAAAGACAGAAGCCATGGCACAGATGGTACCAGATGGCACCGGCGGCAAGAGAACAATGGCACACAGAATTGAACAGACTCGATCGCGACACGAACCGTGACGGCGCGACGCGACGCGGGTCACGTGTCGCAACATTGCGTCACCTTGAATTCCAATTTGTCAGACTCCGTCCCTCTCCGAGTCACTTTTTGACGGCAACGCCAACTTGCAGAGGACACGCGATGACACGGACCTTCTCTAGTTCCATTGTTTCTTGCTTTCGATTCCCGATACCTGCTGCACCAACAGCATTCCCGGACATCTGGATAATCGGCGGCATTAATGGTCCATCCTAGATTTTGCGCTAGGAGTAGTCCACGAGAGTCCACGGTAGTCCATCAAAAGCCATCAGCCCACTCATTATGGGATAAGGTCTAGGGACGTGTAGCTCACTCAGTGCCCACCGCTAATACCATCGCTCCTCCGTGTTCGATGCAGCGAAAAATGGCAAGGTATGTCAGCGAATGGACAACTGGGCTAGGACGTGAAGCGGCATCAAGACGTACACGTCGCCGTCCCAGGAGTATTTATTCTCAAGGTCGTGCCAGAGTGTGAATACATATCTCTCTTGCACCTCATACTTCCTCGCAAACATGGGCTTCTTGTTCTCTAAACCAAAGTACGACCCCTCTCGCGATATTCCCGACCTTACAGGAAAAGTCGCATTGGTGACTGGAGCAAAGTACGTATCATTACCCGTATACTCTCTACGGTCCCTCACACGTTTCTTCTTTTGAATCAAACTTTAGCTCTGGAGTAGGCTTCGAGACTGCTCTGCAACTAGCAAAACGGGGAGCGAAGGTCTACCTTGGTTGTAGGTCGGAATCAAGAGCCAAAGATGCCATCTCCAGGATGTGCAAAGCTGCTCCTCAACTGGATCTGGAGGATAGACTCGTATGTTTGCCGCTTGATTTGTCGGTCATGAAACTTGCGAAGAAGGCTGGGGAGGAGCTGTTGTCGAAAGAGACACGATTGGATATTCTCGGTCAGTATTCATTTCTCCGTCATGCGAGGCGAGTCAGTTACACTCCAGATCACTACTCACGCACATTGTCGATACTCGTTAGTCAATAACGCTGCATGGGCTTTCAAAGACTATGAATTATCTGAAGATGGCATCGAAAAGACTGTAGCTGTCAAGTACGCATCTCAGTGCTTCTAGATGCTTTTATTGCTAATTCTGAGCCATGGTATAGCCATCTCGGCCACTTCATTCTCACAGAGACTGTGCTGCCTCTCATGAAAGCGACTTCCCAATTACCTGGAGCTGATGTTCGCATTGTAGCAGTGAGTCCTTGACCCAAACACGACGTTTGCAACTATTGTTGATGTGCTTCTTTTTGGCGTTCTCAGGTCAGTTCGGCGGTGTACAGCCAAGCAGCGACGAAGGACTTCTCCAGTCTGGAAGCCCTCAACTCTACTCACGGCAAACCCGGAAGTGAAAACACATTCTTCACGAAGCTCTGGAGATACGGTACGTCCAGCTCACATCGCTCGTATGTTCACCAACCCATATTGACATTCACTACGCGTCATCGAAAAGCGACGACAAAGTTTCAGATCGTACTATGGGTGGGAGAACTACAGCGTAGGCTTGATGCTGAAGGAACACCGATAACCGTCATCGTAGTCCATCCCGGTAGCGTCGAGACAGGTACGTTCATCGTGCGACCATACATCTTGTAACTTCACGTTGACTTACACGTCGTTTGATCCAGAGGGATTTAATAATGGTCTGCCTACCTGGTTCTTACGGCTCGTTTCCCCCATCACCGTCACTTCCTCGCACGGCGCATTCACGTCGCTCTTTGCAGCTACGTCTGCGGAGGTGGCGGCTGCGAAGGAGAAGTACAAGGGCGCGTTCCTGATGCCGTACGGTAAGGTGACCAAGGTAACGAAGGAGGCAAGGGATCCGGTCCTTGCGAAGACGCTCTGGGAGACTTCGGAGAGGGTTATAAGGGACGCTTTGCAGAGATAGTCCGATTAGTTTCATATGGCCGTCATCACAGCCTTTTTCGAGTAGGCCTATCATTGGGCGACCAGTCTTACGCTTGCTTATTAGTATTGTACCTTGGAAGACATCTCAGTATGAATTGTGGCACATTGGTTAGCACAATTTTTTGGTATGTGTGATGTGCTAGATGTGCGACAAGATGATGGTTGCTTTGGGGCCATTAGCAAGACCGTGATAGCGGTGCCACAGGTAAGACACTGTGGCCCGTAAGCCCACAGGTGGGTTGATGCAAGTGGCGCTAAGAATTCAGCTTGTGGCCCTCGCCGTTAGATAACTAGGGCATGTCTCGCAAGCAGTCTCCAAGAACGATGATGATAAAAATAATAATCATTGAAGTAAGCAGTCATAAGGTTATGAAGGTGAAAGAAAATTAAGAAAGTCGGAAGTGGATATGGGTGGCGTAGCAGACCAGCGAGACATCGACAGAGGCAGCAACGTCGGTAAGGAGTACATCAAGCACAGACGATTCTCGTCGAGCTCCTGCGCATCCAACAACTCCTTCTCCGTCGCAACACATCCTTCCGAAGACGTGAGACGCTCGAGCTTGAAAAAGTATTTCAGGATTTGGAGCCGCTCGAGGGCTTCGTTCGAGATGTTGTTGCGCCGAAGAGCCTATGTCTCCTTACTAGACGAAAATACACGTTCGCATGGCACTGCCGATGCTTGAACGGGAAGAACGTCACAAGCGACCTTCAACATGATCGGGAGTTCGAAACGTTCGACCTGCGAGTATGCATGAACAGTGTGGTCAACGAAAAGAGATCTAGTCACCTTGCTTGCAAGGTCTCTGGACCTGCACAAATCGTGGGAATAATCAAGCAGCTTCAACCGGCGTTTCCCGGGTTTCCCGCCGCTTGCCGCCGGTCCGAATATCGTTGTTCTCTCGACCATCCCCCACGTTCTACGTTCACGTCCTTAAAGGCCACATGTGTCGTCCTCTACTGACAACTATACTCAATTTCGCTTCATGAAGAGTCTACCCTCAAAATTCTGAAGCAGCCGGATGGTAGATGTTCCTGAACTTCGTTGTAGATTAAATAGTCAACCCTCCTCTCGGACATGACACTATTTCTGTCCCTAAGACTGGAATGCTCTTGCCTTGTGCTCTGGGATTCGTGAAGCCATATGCTGCTGTCATTGAGAACTGTTGCTTGACGATGCGGTCTACGGCTTTTTTTCACCGCTTTGTCCCGGTCAACTTCATCTTCAGCTTACACTCCTTGGGGAGTATACAAATGGCAGTTGCACGGCAATCCCTTGTAGTGAAGTATGTCCCTTGATTCATCACCTTATTCGGGCTCGTCAGGGCTTGTCCAAGGTTAACTAGTACGATCAGTGAGCTCTACATAATATTTTGAACACCATAACCGACGCACGGACTAACGCCCCATACAGGTTTGAACACGAAGATCGGGAACAGGCTGCTTAGTTAGACCTGGGCGGTCATAGTCCTCCGTTAGAGCTAGATTATGTGGAGTCTTTTGACAGCAATTTGCAGAATCGTAGTCGCTCCCACTGTTTCTCTTGATGGAGCGACCAGCGTTTCTTGACGCAACCGCTTGCCATTTGGAGAAGCGAACGCCACCCCCGGCACATTTCAATGGCGTGGCCACAATTGACCACTGAGTAGCATTCCACCTCAGGATATTGGACAAAATCTCGCCGAGTGGGCCCCTGACTCGCGGGGTCTCGCTATACCAATGGCATTCATCGACAATGCGCAATGAGCTCGTATTGTGCATTGAGGGCCTGCAAGAGCGATGTGGCCCAGCTCGTGGCAGCCCCGTCGGGAGCGTCGGGTAAGGCTTCGTGTGGAGCAGAGCTTCTCTGCGCGAAATCGAGGTGCGACTACGATTCTGCAAATCGCTGGAATTGTTTTGCAGATACACGTCGGCGACGGTTCCATATGGTTCGGTGTTTACTGTAGATTTTTGACCTGAAGTTCATCAGTGGCGTGGGAACTTCACCCTCCAAATCCAGCCTGTCCCCCCTCCGAAGTTCGTTGAGCTCGGGGGACAGGGGACAATTACCTTTTTGAGTATGTTTGTCAGGTTCTGAGAAAACATAGTAAATCTTCCGTCAAATATATCCAAATGGGGTTGTCACAAGGGAGGGGACGGTGGACAGTCCCCCCGAACAGGTTCAGTTCGGCGGTCCCGCCGGTGGACCGGGGACGAACTTTAGGTCAAAAATCTACAGTAATGTAGTGCACTCGTATTCAACACAATGTTCCGCTCTTGGAATGAGAGTCTATACACATGACAAATCATTTATCTCAAGCAAGGTGTCCGGCGACGAAGTCGACACTTCCCCCAGTGGCAAAGCAGTTCAAAAAAACAATGTTCACCTGCCAGAAACGAACGAGGCTAAAGTCCTTCGCATCAATCTCCTCCTCACTCAGCTTTCTAAATTTCTTCCACTTCACGATCTCAGCCGCAACCTCATCGTCATCCCGACGCACCGCCGCCTCCTCAAGGTCTTCTTCGGTCATGGTAGGTGCAATAGGGGTCTCAGGAGAGGAAGAACTCGAACGTGAACTCGAAGAAACGGAAGACTGCTTGCGAAGATCGGCAAGGCGCTGACGTAGACCGCTCATGCCAGTCGTAGAGTCACCGGAATGAGAAGAAGTCGAGGTTGAGGTTGAGGGCGTAGACTGAGCTGAAGTGGACGAAGTCGAAGAAGCATGGCGGATAGCAGTCTTATGCTCGAGCATCTAGTGGGGACACACAGGCACTGTCAGCTTCATAAGTTCGCTCTTAGGGGCCCTAGCTAGTCATGTTCACAGAAATCCGAGCTGAAGGTCGGCGGAGTGAGTAGCTAAGACTCCGGTTTAAGTAGGGTAGCACGAGAGCAGTCACCAGAGCGCGAGAGCGAGAGAAGCGAAGAAAGATCGCAAGAGCACGATAGAAGCCAGCGTGGAACTCTGGCCAGAGACTTCGCCGAGTGCAGTGTGAGAAGAGATAAAACAAACATACAGCAGAGTGAAGCTGACGTTCAGCCTGCTCAGCGTCTGCAGCATTCCAAGTGTCGTAGAGCCAGTCGAGTTTATAGCCTGGGTGAAGAACTTTGAAAGGGAGGGTGTTCATAGACATGATAACATGGTGAAGCCAGAGAGAGAATAGAGGAGGCGTACTGATCGACAAGGCATATATAGGTTTGCGGCGTTCGATGTTCATGTATTTCTCGATCTTCCGGATACACTCGTCAATAGCCTCGCTGAGTCGAGGGAGGACGGTTTTGGCTTCACGAAGGTCGCAGAGGAGTATCTGGTATGTCGGAATAGCGTCGTAAGGTGTTGGTGTCTTCTGAGCGGACATGGCTTTCTGTGCGGCATGAGGTATTGAGAGGAACTCGCGTATAGCCTTGAGTGCTTCCAGGGTGTAGTAGTCGAGTTTGTGATCGGCGTTGAGTCCATCCTGAGACTGGCAGAGCTTGTTGATTGGTTAATGTATGTATGCATACTATCATGAGTTCGTTGTACAGGAGCACATGAAGCCTCGATGACGGAAGGTAGATTGAGAACGTACCAAAGAGAGGTAAAGAGCACGGTCGATCATGAGGAATGTTGAAGACTAACGTGTGTCGACATCGCGCAGAAGCTGGAGGACCCGGAGTTGGAGTCCGTGAGGCCATTCGTTTGTGTTGTTGCCATCCTCGAATTGTTCAAGTCGGAGATGAGACTCGCGACGAGCGTTGACGGTCGTTCGACAGTGGGAAACCGGATCGTTGAGTAGCGCCTGGGCGTAGTTACTGTCGTGGATGACTGAGGTGTCGATGGAATTTACGGTGACGTCGGGAGGGGGACTTCCAGATGAGTTGGAAGGGAATTTGAGAGCGGTTTAGACCACTATGTTGACGACATGTGGGAAGCACCTGAAAATCGAAATCTCACAAGGTCAGAACTTTGTCAAACAGAAGGAAGATGCAAAAATATAGACTTGTTGAACGTGATTGTAAATGACGCTGAAAGGGATGCGACGACGCATCAATTGACGCTCGATCTCAGCGACCGTCGTGCCATTATTGGATGCGTTGTCAGTCGTGACGGTCGAGATCTAAACAGATTCGAATCAGTAAGCCTCCAACAACCTGAACATAGTCGATAAAGACGAGGGTGCAGTCTGATAAACACACCTTCGTAAGGAGCCCGAGTGGATCGAGCATCTGTACGAATATATACCCTAGAAAAACTCCTGCATGCGATCCGTGGACCCAGAGAAAAGCAAGCAGCTGCGAGCAGAGTGTAAGATGGCCACTATCTTCGAAGAAAAGATAGTGCGCCGCGGCTGTGATCGCCATAAAAGGTGTGTTCCATGGCGTGGTCCAGATGTCAGTAGTGTATGAGATTCGTCCTTCGGCATTCTAGAGAAAAAATGCATGAGAACAATTGATATTGATGAGGCACGTCAATCGAACTCACCCGGAGACGCTCCACCATCTTGATGTACTCCTCCGAGTCCTTGAATCGCTTACCTATCAACTCGGTTACCTTCGTTTGATGCGGAATCTCTTCGTCCTCCAAGTATCCCTGATAATATACAAAAGGAGGTCACGGAATTCTGGACAGTCCATGACGTTCATAGACTTCCAGCATAGATTGACGGCTCATGCCAATGCGGGAGCTCGAGGGATGAGCAGAACAAACTCGATCGCGATTAGTGCCGCGACACGAACGACGCGACGCGACGCGTGTCACGTGTCGGAACATTCCGCGTCACTTTGAATTTGTCAGACCGTAGACGCCCTGCATGCCAGTCACAGCCACCGGACTCTGAGAACGCACTGCATGGGCCATCACGGAAATCTGCCGAGTCTTGCAAGCTCATATATTTCATTCGCAAGGTCATATATGAGATCCAATTGCTGAAATACTACTACAACAAGTAAAATGGGTTATTGTGCTCATTCACATATTGCAAGGCCTATAGCGAGGGTGCCCAAGTTACTACAGGTCCTCGAAATCTGTCCATGGGCCCATCTCTTCGGCTCGGTTGTACTTTCGGTTATTCATTTCACAACGTAGTCGAGCGACAAAAGAGCCGTTTGCAGCGGCATCATACATTCTGAGTGACGATGAGATACATTACTACATATGTATATACAGGGGAAAGAGAGCAAGGTACAAGAAGTGTCTGACATGAAGGACCCACAAGGTCGGGCAAGAAACAAAATAGATAAATGAGAAAGTATCGTACATTACTGGGGGCAAAGATTGCATATGACTACGCGTAGATATGTACAAGAT